AGTAGAATGTGTGCTTACGGTCCATTCGGCCGTGTTGTGTCTGCAGTTTCTGGCCGCTACCCCTAGATGTTGTGTTGCGACAAAGCTTAGTTAGGTGTTAAAGGGATGCCTAAAAGTGTTTAGGATGCTACAGGTCATTAGAAAGGCACTCTAATGGATAACAGTTCCGTGATTGTGGGCGCTCTTCACAAGACTAGAATTTGAGTTTGTGAACTGATTTCGTCTGTCGTCGTTGTACATGTTTTAGAGTATTCTTATCCTTTTGGAGTGAAGAGAAACTATTGTTTCCATGCTCTATACAGGGTCGAATAAGACTTTTGGAGATTAATTGGAAAGTTTTTCCGTCGAAATGGCCGAAAATGTTCGTCAATTTTATAAATGCATGGTTTTCTTGAAAGCATTTTTTCGAAGTTATCGTAAAACTTCAGATCATAGGATAAAAACACTCCCATATCTTCAACTTGGAGTGCCTATTCATTCGAGCTTATTGGTGTTATAAATAAGGCTGACTCTATCAAAGCTTTTGAGGAGTCGACATTTGTGACATCTACCTTCTCCTTGAGATCAAGGATGGCTGTCCATCTGTCCACTGCAGTCAGTAGGTTGATCATACACGAGTGACCTTTTCTAAAACCGTGACGGGGTGAGAAGTTTATAGGTAGTAGATGGTCACGTAGACCGCTACATATCAAAGACTGCACAACTTTTGAGGGTGTAGAGAGATGTTTGCCGCATCGACCTTCTTTGAAAATTGGTATGATATTGTAGTGACTCACTTTTATCACGAGAACACGATTGGTTTATTGAAAACAATTATTATTATAACCATTTGTACCTGTGCCTGTTTAATGTGCTCTTTGTTTAACTGTGCTAATGACAGCTATATTATGCTTCCATTGTTATTCTTACACTTTGATTGTGATCTCGCGCGAATTCGGTTACGCTCTGTAACCAAGTTTGTATCCTGGTACGATCTCGGTATTCTTTCGATACCACGAGATCGCCAGAAAATATATCTCGACTTGGTCCATTAACTGCCTTCTGATATTTCGCTTCCGGGGGGGTTTTATGGATTTATTTGGCACGTGTATTCTCTCTAGCGGTGTTCATAGTCAATTTCGACTCGACGCGACGCTACAATATGAGCCAGCTTCCAATTTTTCAGTAATTTACCTCGGCTTAGCGAATTTGTTAATATCACGTTAAGCAGTGTTGCCCAGATTCAAACTGCCTCCCTCAGTATAGTAGAGTGAACCATATCCGAGCTAGGAGAAGTGTCCCTTTATAAGTGCTGCAGTTTCCATATAACCAAATTAGCGCCCAGATTCACTTTCCGGAGTCCTGTTGAGTGGCAGGTTAATGTCCTAATCAGTATATTTAGTACGGGTCATTTGAAATGTCCGAAAGTGCTGTCTAACCAGAAGACCGGTGACGTGATCGTCGTTGTTGTTTGAGTGTAGAGTCTACGAAACTTAGATTTTGGCTCGTCGAAGAGAGGCTGGATGACGGAATAAGCTTTCGAGATTGGAGACAAATTTATCGTTAGGTTTTTATCTGATAATGAAGCCTGTCTCTTATTGCCTTTGTGTATATGTTCCTCATTAATCTGGACTGCCTATATGCGCCGTCTTTACCAGATCGTCTCTATTTCGCCTAGCAATGCCTCTTGTAACTTAGCAAACAAAAAGTGCGGTTCTTGATGACTGTAGATTGCTCGTAGATTTTGAGGACCGTTAGCGGGACAGACTGCCTTTTAGTATATACAAATGTGTGCAGTAAGAAATCCCAATGAGCATCCACATCAAGTTGAGCGTGAATTTCGCAATCCACCTACTGTAGATTGTCCTGTAAAGCTGACACATCCAACTGTTTGGGATTACAGCCCCTGTTGTTGGTAGAAAATCTTAGCTCGGTTTTACAGTTTCTAAGCTGTAATGAAGGTAAGGAAACTGATACAGAGACGGTAATTCATGAGAAATACATGATTGTGTGAGCTTCGTCTCGAAGTTGTCCACCATGATGATCGTCGTCCCCGAAGTCTAGGAAGTATTCGGGATGAAGAAAACTTGTCATAAAAACGAAGAATTTGTTTGTATTTTCACTCTTAAATTTTTCTGATGACAACTTGCAGAGTGCGGCAAATTAGGAAGTTCGTGTTGTATGACAGTGTATCTAGCACGTTACGCACTCTCAGCAAATCATTACTTGTTTTCCTGTAGCCCAGCGAGAAAAACCCCTTTCATAAAAGCAAACTTCAAAGAATTTGCTACTCAGCTTTATTAGCCACTTTGTCTTTTATCTCTGCACATGTTCTTAGTAATTTGTATCTATTTTTAAAGAGAGGTAGTGTGCACCCATGAACACACCAGAAAACAAATCCGGAACCTCCGGGTCTGTGGAGAAAATATCTGGACTTCCAGAGAGATATCTTACCTATCGGACTGCAAACATATCAGGTGAAGCAGTTTCCCACCAAAGATTATAAAAAACGGTCGGTAAGTATACTTGACCGATTGAAGTTAAACGTGTTGATCATTGTATGGTGGCTCAATAACCTAAAGTTTAGATGGCCATCGAGAGGGCTAATAGTCTTGAATTATACTTGGGTTACTGAATGCTCACTGTTAAAACTTTATGTTGCAGAGCTAAACAGCTATCAAGTACCTCTTGATTTCCGACAATTTCCTTACTCCTGTCGATTTGTGATTTCTAAAACATTCAACAATCCCCGAAACTCCACACAATATCATTAAATCTGCCGTTTTAGCAAAATCTATACAACGTTTTACACGAGGTGACACTGAAAGCTATCAGCAAGCGAATAAATCTAATATGTTCTGTGGGAGCCGCAAGGTTACAGTAGTTTCCAAAATATTGCACTGTCATACTCTTTCGGTCGCTTTACTTTTTTCACAATATTACGAGTTTTAGTCTTTGTGAACTTGAAACAAGGACCATCGCAAACCAAATAAATGATTTAGAATAATGTTTGTTTTTTGAGATGGTGGGGAAAATTTGTTGCTCAGGTGGATGATTTTGATGAAGTTTTGTTCTCTGATCCGGATGGTTTGGTCGTGGATCCTTCATCGTTCTTCTGGACTACATCATCAGCACATACATCAGGTAACGTCCAAGAGTATCCCAGAATTCACTTGCAATATAGTGAGAGGCAGTGAACGAGAGCGTCCTTCATAAAAATTTGGATTCGCATACAGGTTGATTTCTAACAGGGCACGTGGTATTCAATAAAAAGGCAAATTGGTAAAAGTGCGCATACATGGTACAGATTTGTAGTAATTTGCTTCAAGCATGGTCAAACTAACCAGTGTACGTGTTTATTGTCTGCAATGACTTCCAAATCCCATGCAACTAAAGTTATCTCCTTAATCTGAGTTAGTCTAAGTAATTCTAAATTCGCCCGGCATGATTCCGACTACACTTGGTTAAAGGCGTAACAAGTCTTACTCCCCCCCAAATGGATTAAATCTGTGAAGGTGGCTCGCAACTTGTCAGAATTTGAATAACCTGATACTATTTGTGCGGCAGAATGTATGCATTCGTAATATAAAGCAATGGGGTTGAAATTTAGTAGGTTTTAAGATCCGCTGTAATTCAGCTGTCTCACCTTGGCGATAAGACCACAGTGTCAATACAAGATCTCTCATTAGGATTGTTATATACAGACTATTAGTTTTGCTCTACAGTTTTTAATAATGCTCTTAAGAAATTTATTTAATCGTGGGATGGTTGCAACATCCTCTTTTCCTCTAGCCTTATCTTCTGAAGTGATGATGTTGGTTACTCTTCTGAAAAGATTGAGGCTAGAGAGGGTTTGGCACTGCATAAATGTGCTGAGTTAAAACCAATATACCGACTTCAATGTGTCGATTCTCGGTATATGGTTAGATTTCCATTAGAATTCATTACAAATAAACAGTTTAAGGATGGCAGTTCACTATATCTATTTTCTTTTTTGAAGTTGACTTGATATTTTCTTAGAACGTGCTTATGTATTTGGGGAAATTTTTAAGGAGTCTTTTTAATAATGACAAGTGTGTCACCTAAGTATCAGAGCCAGATGCGTGGTTTGATGGTACTGGCAAAAATAAGTGACTCAGCACGAGACACTATAAATAAGCAACAATCGGAGATACTGGAGATGACATGGCTGCTCCATTCGTTTGTTTATATAGAAATATAGTTCGAGGAATTTCATTGATATTTAATGGACAAGTGCTAGACAGGGGTATCATGATTCTCCAGTAAATTATTGTAGTTTTGACATTTATCAGTTGCGATTCTAGTGTTTAAAGATACAACATCATAGCTTACGGTTGTTCTGTTCTTGTTGATGGATGATTCCGAGATCTTCGGTTTGAATTCATATGAATCTTTTACGACATTAAATAATCTGTGTTGAACTGGTTTCAGTGTGCTGCTTAGATATTTAGATAAAGCATACGTTAGAGTATTTGTGAAGTTCACTATGGATCTTAAAGTAGTGTCAGGCTAGTGAATTTTGGTAGCCCGCAGAAACGTGAGGTTGTATTGGATTTAGGGTATAAAATAATCTATAGGGAAACGCCAATAGATGAATGTAGCCGTTCCAGAAGTTAACTTATTTTTTTATTAGATTTTATTTTTAATCAATCTCTAAATATGCTCTTGTTGATAGATGTTTACGAGCTTTTCGCGATAGTCGCCTTTGTTTATGATCACTGTTATATTCCCTTTATCATATTTGATAATGACAATCTTTCTATCTTTCTGCAATGGGTATAAAGCTTTCCATACTTCAGAAACGTTATTTCACCTGTTTTATATGTATTCAGAAATAATAAACCTTCATGTTGAGTGGACATTTTGTTGCGCAACATCTTACAAGTCTGATTTTTGACAAACGAAGGAAAAGCTACACTTTCTGTCTATTAGCTGACCGTTTTAAAACAGAATGACATATCACCAATGGAAGTACTCTGTAAAAAGTCATCTAAAAGATTGATTGCTTACAATCAGATTTTAAATTAAAACAATGAAGTTTAAATTAACGCAACCAAATGGCGTAGACCGACTAGAAAGTGATGGGAATAGTCAACAACAGCAACAAGAACAAGCCTTCATCGACACAAAGGTTACTCTAACTTCCTCATTTAGTGCGTTATATGTGTTGAGAGGCACACCAGAAAAACACCAATCGAAAACTACGTGAAAACTAATCTGACTAGGTACATTCACAGTGGAACATTAGAACGTAGATTCAGCAATCATACAGCATAGTTTCATAAACAAATTAACAGAATGTGACATAGTGTTTAACTAAAGCATGGAAATGAAGTTGCATGTATAAAATTTTGATATCAATTGCTTTGTAAAAACGGAAAATAGTGAGTGAGAAACAGAGAACTACCTTTTTACTTCGCAAACGTCCTGTTTATTTTTAAGTATAGGCACGTTACGAGAGTTTAGAAGTGTTCAATTATCTAACAAGTATATAAGTTCATCAATGTTTTTTTCAGTAACAATGCACTGAGCAAATTAACATTGATCACAATGCTGGATATCAGTGAATAAACAAAATCCGATTTACAATTCTGCTTCATCTGGTATTTCGGAAGTAAAAGCTTCACGATTTTCATGGGCCCAAAAACCTTGGAGATCAATCAATATGTTTATTACGGTGTCGCCCTTACCACTGTATATATAAATATGAACAAAAACTCCAAATTATAAACATATATGGGAAGAAAAATATATGAGACAAGAACAGACGTAAACAATCAATCAAATAGTGCTTTTTGTGAGGAAGTATTATAAAAGTTTAAAAAATACACTCAACGAAGTGGGATCGCAGACACTCATTGTAAATGAAAATAACCTAGTGTTTAATAACTCACTGAACATATACCAGTGATCAGGGTCATTTTATAATGACTACTGTGAGCTGACTGGCTAGTCAACAAAGTATCGGATACAAGTGCTAATTCGTCAGGAAGATAAGTGACATTTGGAAAACGATCGATTTATTTTACGGCATTAAAACATGCCAAGTGAACCAAACAAACGAAATATTACCCTAACGTAGTAGGGACGTTATTTTTTGTAGCATAGTGTTCATGATTTGTTGGAAGATTGAAGGGGGGGGTCATTACTGCAAACGGAATTCTGTTATATCAGAACAAACCTTTATGCATGTTTATTGTCAAGCAATGCTACTGGAATCTGTAGATAAGCTTCTGATAGACCCAGTTTTGCAAAACACTTCTCCCCATTCATTTTTGCAAATAAGTCTTTTGGTAGTGACAAGTGGTACTGATGGGCTTCAAGTGCTTTGTTTAATCCAGCCTAATATTCTACACATAGCCGGATACTTTCATTAGGCTTCTAAACAATCACTGTTGATGTTGCCCAATCAGAAGAATTCACTGGTCCTATGATTTAACTTCTTTGTAGGCGCTCTAATTCTTGTTCAACAACAGGTAGCGCTGCATAAGATACCGAACGTTTTGGTCTAAAAACGGGGGTGACTTCCGGTTTAGGAATTAGTAGTGCTTTTACCTTTTCGCATTCCCCAAATTCTTCCGTGAACACTTGACTATGTCTAACACAACATTCCTCAGATTCTTTTCCGCTGATTTGTTGGTTCTCACGCAGCTGTATATGTGGTTAATGGAGTGGGTCAGATCGGAAATATACTGTACCTAATCCAAAGAAATGTTGGAACGTGTATAAGACACGTAAATCAAGTTCAAAAGGGATGGCAGAACATTGATCCCACAAATCTGACTCCCGTTTCAATTGCTCGCAGATTCATCTCGAAAAAACTCAGGAGTGTGAATGTAGAAGAGATAAAAGACGCAAGGGCAAAGCGGTACAACCTACGAGAATGATGAACTACAAGAGGAGTGCAATAACGAAGTTTTAGGTGGACCCGAGAAAAGTCACAATTGACGCAGAAGATTTGGGAGATGTAAAAACCTTTACATATCTGGGCAGCATCATTGATGAACACGGTGGATCTGATGCAGATGTGAAGGCGCAGATCGGAAAAGCAAGAGCAGTATGTTTACAACTGAGGAACATCTGGAACTCAAAACAACTGTCAACCAACATCAAGGTCAGGATTTTCAATACAAATGTCAAGACAGTTCTACTGTATGGAGCAAAAACTTGGAGAACTACGAAAGCCATCATCCAGAAAATACAGGTGTTTATTAACAGTTGTCTACGCAAAATACTTCGGATCAGTTGACCGGACACGATTAACGACAACCTACTGTGGGAGAGAACAAACCAGATCCCAGTGGAGGAAGAAATAAGGAAGAAGTGTTGGAAGTGGACAGGACACACATTGAGGAAAGCACCCAACTGCGTCACAAGACAAGCCCTCACATGAAACCCTCAGGGCCAAAGGAGAAGAGGAAGATCAAAGAACACATTACGCCGGGAAATGGAGATAGACATGAGAAGAATGAACAAAAATTGGATGGAACTAGAAAAGAAGGCCCAGGACATAGTGCGTTGGGGAATGCTGGTCGGCGGCCTATGCTCCATTGGGAGTAACAGGAATAAGTAAGTAAGTAAGAGAAAAGTCTTACATAACAGACTTTAAAGAGTGGAAGTGTGAGTACGGTTCACGAGTGAACTCAAGGAAGCCCTAAGAAGCTCGGGAAGAGATGAAGATATTCCATCCAATCATCCTTCCGAAGAATATTCCAGAATCCCTACGTGGAGCTTCCCTATTGGACAAATGCTAATAACCCCCTGTATGTGGATTGGAGGACTATAATGATGATTTCGTTTTTACCAAAAACTATAAATATCTGACAGTTCTGTACTATAATAGACACTATTTGGAATAGCATTACTTTCACTTGTCCTCTGTCTCCTCATTTGTGACTTTAGAGGGTTCTAGCGTTCGAGTGCTCAAGTTATAAGCGGTATATCAAGAATCTAAGCACAAAATATAACAAAATCGAGAAATTTCGAAATAGTCCTCTAATACACTACTATTTCGATCTAATCGTGATAAGTCCATAAAATAAATTTATAGTAAATACAATTTTCATTGATTGTTTAGCCATAGTTCTAGTAATTTATTAAGTCGCAGTAATCCTACTAGTTGTATATCTATAAACTAATGACTAGTGAATGCTAAATTCCTATCAACATGTATTTATACTAAATTCAGTGTTTTACCATTCAGTAAATACAATATTTCAATTACAGTTGGCATTGTCTGAACTAAGGGGTGTGAGTTAATGAAGGCTCAATACGAATATAAAATCGAAATAATTAACCTAGTTCATACATATACATAACCAATAGAGATATGAAACTCCAGCTTCTTAAAAACCAGCATGGACTTACCAATTGATAAGGTCATCTAAAGTGATGTAATGGGGATTCGCTGGTCGTACCATATCAAAGATTTCATTTAATACATTCTCAAAACTTGGTATATCATTATCTGAAGCACGTAGTTTGTCTTCGATTCCATCATAGAAATACCGTAATGTTAGTGAAGTCAGTTTACCTTGACCACCAACATCAAGAATACGAAAAAGATAAGCAATTGCTTGCGGCTCATGTTTATTTTCCATAGCCAAAACCAAGTCTAAATAAGTTTTGTAGTCCTGGTAAAGACGTAAAAAATGAATTTTGAGTAGGGAATCATAATACTACTGTGACCAATTATAACAATCGCGTATGGATTTCATTTGTAACGATCTGACAACCTCACAACTAACCACTAAGGATAATGACTAAACACATAACTGGTTTTAATACAACTAGGCGACCAAGTACAGAACGATGTGGCTCGAGGCTACAATGCATCATTTTTTCGTGATGAGGTGGTACCACGCAAATTCTCAAAGTAAAGTAAGTGAGGCAAGTGTAAACCCGAAACTCTGTGAATGAAAAAATAACGCCTTATCTACAAAACTACTATTCCACAATAAATAGATATAATACTTGATCAAAAACATATCTGAGTTACTGACTGCTGCGTAATATACACCTGAGGTCGCCCATTTTAAACGGTTTGATTTGATTATAACAAATAAAAGACTTAGTATAATAGGCACTCAAATTAAACCCAGAGCCACACATTTATGTGAGGGTACGTGGTACTACTTGGCTAGCCAAGCCAAGGTAGATGGGGGAAAATGAGAAACAGCAAATATAAGAAATTTAGTCTGAAAGGAAGAAATGAAGTTGTAAAATAAAAAGGCTATAGAAAAGCAGTAAGCTGCAAACTGAAAGGAGGATAAGAAACGAATAAAAAGTAACCAAACATAAATAAAGACTATAATATGGGTTCCAACAAAGAAGTCCGAACTTCTTGAATTCTCATCCAATAGTTAGTGGCGTTAAGGATTAATATTGATCAGTTAGTCCCTAGCTTTTTCTAGCTTCATTAGTTAGCTTCGAGAGAGGAGGAATAGTCTTCCATGCGTTTGGATCTTTAGCACCTATTTACAACGAAGAGAAGATCAAGTTTAAGAATGAAGGTTGATAACAGGGTGAGAGGAAGTTAAAATAAAAAGAAACGTTTCAGGACGAAGAAGATGGAGTCGATTACTGATTACATACTATATTTTAATGAGTAGTTGTTTTTGTGGCATTAGCTCGATACTTTTTAAGAGTTTACCATTGGTGAAAGTAACCCATCCTTTTGACCACTAAACAGTAGCATCACTAAGCATACCGTTTATCTACTAGAAATGCTGTAATGCAAGTAATCATAAGAAATGATGACAAATTCACTACTTAGGATAACACTGAAATATGCATTTATTTCTGAAAGGCAAAAATATCATAGAATTATTATTACAACAATATTTGAATGCAAATTTGGTAAATAAAAAATAAACTAACCATTTCACCTTCATAAGTTAAACATTCTTGAAATACACGATCGAGAAATACGTCGGTCAATGTACCATTTCCAAACCTTTACAACAAATTTAAAAAATGATATATAAATCAATACTCTTCGATAACGATAAAATAATACACTAACCGAATTTTACAGTCATATGCTAATTTTTACAGATCGCATCAACATCTTCGTTGGTGATATCAATCGAAGTCACCAGACCACATGACAAACAATCATTTAAATTATTGGTTCGGAAATGGTAGAGCCAAAAATCAAATCAGTATAACTAGTCTCAAACAGGAATACAAAAAGACGAATATAGAGAGAAAAATAAAGGATCCGCAAAAATATAGTAATACTTATTGTTTGGATCCCATCAGTGATATAGAGGAAATGAATTTGTATCATTACAGTTGGGCACACTTAACAGTTTAAGTTTTCGAAATAGACTTTGAGTTTCTCACACACACTTACTCTTAAACATCATTTACTTGCCTAAATTGGATAGTAGTTAAATTTGTAGTGGTGACTTGGTTTAAAAGATTTTATCCGTTAAGCAAAACTATATAAGGGTAAAAAGGATAATGTTGGTGCTACATCACAAATAGGTAAAAACCACAGAAAATGAGACATAGTTTTCTATTTGTATCAAGGAGAGAAGCTCCCACATCTAATCTAGTTTGAGATTATAGTTGAGTAAAAATAAAGAATTCCAAGCGAAGATGAACAAATAATTTAGTGCTACTGGATTGTCAATGGTTCTCAAACCCGAGTCAGTTCATGATTGAAATGAATACATAAAATGAACAAATCTTCATAATTATGAGACCAAATAGACCGTAATATTTTTCTACGTCAATTGTTTGGAAAAAAACTGGCAAGAAGTCTTGGGTCTGGTTTTGAATGGTTACTCATTTATTTGAACACATGAACCTTGGTACAAGAGGGCACCAAATACATATGCGCCACACAATAACAATGAGGTTGTGAAGAGAGAGAGGTAAATTGCGTATAACAAAAACGAAGAACAACGATGAACAGAAATTAATGTATGAGAGTCAAACAATAATAATAATAATAATAATAATAATAATAATAATAATAATAATAATAATAATAATAATTGTTAGCGGGACATAGACTAGATTAAAGCATGCTCAATGCATGATTGCTTTGGTGCACGCTGATTGGCTAATTCTTATCCAATCAGCACTAGTCGATAGTTGGAGAATACTCTGGAATCTTCTTATGTAAAACTATAAATATACTGACGTTTTCCCTATTGTGCTTCTGGCTTGCATCTTGCCTCCATCTAACCTTGTTATTTGGAATATAATCTCTTTCCTGTTCAACCGTGTTCTGATTTGGGGTCTTGTCGAGTGAATCGGTGTCCAAGAATACTAAGCAATAGGAATAACTGGGTCATAACCGCAAGAAAACAGAGTTATAACAACAATAATAATAATAATAATAATAATAATAATAATAATAATAATAATAACAATAATAATAATAATAACAATAACAATAATAATAATAACAATAACAATAATAATAATAATAACAATAATAATAATAATAATAATAATAATAATAATAATAATAATGGGAGAAACAGTTCAGTTAGCGAAAATACAATCAGAAAAAATCCTTTTAGTCAGAGAATTTACGTTCATTTTTATGAAGAAATTAAAACAAAACTACAGCAGGATCTCCACTGCCTTTTATCCTAAGGTACGTTTAGTAACATCACAGGCCATTATGTTGCACTGTCTTAAGGACTCCAATTAGAGAGTCATGAAGTACCAACAGAAGCCAGTCCTGTACAGTCTTCTTTCGTAGCACGACGCCATGTTATATACTGACAACCTCTCCGCTTTTTCCAACCACGACGTGAAATTCGCCTGGACGACATTAGTAAGATATACCCAAGCCACCGAAGTCGGTCTTTCAAGATGGTGACACCAATTGAATTATCATCTCTGTGCCCGAACACACGATGCTGAACCTCTGCATTACTAACATGGTGTTGCAACTGGATGTCAGCAATCCTTCGGAGACAGCGATGATCGAACACAGAGAGTCGTCTAACATCCTCAACTCGGAGAGACCAGGTTTCACAAGCATAGAGCAAAACTGCTCTCACCGACGCGTTGTAGATCCGACCTTTTACAGCCAGACTAACATCACGAAGGCGCCAAAGGTGGTCCAGATTGGCATAAGCCGCTCTGGCTTTCACTATTCGTGCATTGATCTCATCACTCACGCCACCACCAGCACTTATGCAGCTACCTAGATACACGAACTTTTCGACTACTTCTATCTGCTCACCATCCAGGGTGAGTACAGGATTGGAATCCTGCCAGTCTTGTAGAAGTACGCTGCACTTCGAAGGTGCAAAGCACATACCATACCTACGGACAATGATTGCCAACTGATTAAGTGCGGATTAAATGGCTTGGATATCATCACACAGTAAAATAATATGGTTTTATGCCATCACTCTGCCTGAGGTGTTTGTATATAGGGCTTTTAAGATGTTAATAAATTTCTCAGGTATACCCTTCTTCAATAGACAATCCCAGAGAGCAGTCCCGTCCAATGAATCGAAGGCAGCCCTGATGTCAAGAAACACTACAACTGTTGGTCTGTGATGACGGTGTTCTAACATTTGGCAGAGGGTGAAGATATGATCAATACATCTTGGACCAGAACGAAAACCAGCCTGCTCCTCATGAGTCAATCTCTCTCGGGTTTTGAACAACCTACGAAGTAAGACGGAAGCCAATAGTTTGGACACAGTCGGAAGTAGACTTGTCTCATGATAGTTGTTGTAGAAAAAACATGAACCGTTTCTAAGGATAGGGACAACTGTCGATTCATTCCACGATGTTGGTACACTCACTAATTGCCAGAAGTAGGTAAAAAACAACCAGAAAGTCTCCACCATCTATAAAAAGGTCCGGGGGTAGGTCATCTGGGCCTGGTGATTTGTAGAGCCTCAAGAGTTGGAGTTCTTCGAGGACTTCAACCTCGGTAGGTGGATCAGTCGTCACCGGTTATGGAGGGCAGGATAGTCTGATAGATGTCCCCGAAGTAGAAGACCAGTTGAACTCTGCCTGTCGTCCAAGACGGAGGTAGATGTTATTGATTGACATCCCATCATCGTCACGAATCGCCTCAGTGATCTCAAGTGCTGAGAGAAGTATGAGGGCGGCTATAACTTCCCATACGTCCACACCGTGCAAGGGTTCTACTGGAGGTACCTGAAAATTAAATTGGATTAGTGGCATTAGTGACCTGAGAGCGTGACCTCAGTACCCAAGGGACAACTGCTTGAGGTCAGTCACACACGACCTTTTTATGAGTAATTTTTGTGTTAGCTCCGTACTTGTTGAGACCTTACCGCCGGAGACGGATATCCGTAGGTTAAGGCGAGGTGCGCATTTTTAGGGTTGACCTTTTGTAACCCCACAGTTCCCTATCGGAAGGTAGAATCGCTGTTATGCTGGTTGTCTGAAGGAAACACCTTACTGCCGTTACACCTCTGTACAGTCAGAAGTACGGCTTCGTCTTCGGACCTTGGGTTTACTGCTTTTAGTTTAACCGTTCTTCAACCCACCTATCTGGCATGGTAGAACCTTGAATAACAATTTTTCCAGCCAGCGTAGCTCGACTGGTTCATCACGATAGGCAAGCCTGACCACAACGTCAAGGTAGCAATAACGGTCGGGAAAAATGCCTCACTCACACCAGACTTCTGGATGCCAGTAATTTGGATGAATTGAAAGAGCTTCCAACAGTTATTAGATGCAACTGATGCGTCTATTTCATTGGCACGCCAGCGACTTTAATCGCCATCTTCATGGGGTCATTTAATTGCAACCAACTGTGCCAGTAGTTATTGATAGCCAGAAACAGGTTTTGGTCTGCGCACAGTTGCAGTAGATGGTCCCCGTTATCTGACCTGCAACCAACAAGTCCCCACCGGCTACCTAAACGACTATCTTCTGTACCTAGACGCCCGACCTGAGTATTCAAGTCTCCGGCTAATACTACAATATCTGTCGAACGCACTTTCCGTGGAAGAACAGTTAAGTGGTGACAAAACTCATCCATCACTGTATTCGAGTTACAATCTGTGGGAGCGTATGTGTAGACGAAAAGACATCTTTTTTCACACTATTTTTTTCTCACTTTGATTGAGTTTTGAGTGATAACAATCGTCAACAGGGCGAACATAGAACTTTAGAGAAAGCGTATAATTGATTATTCACTTTTTAAACACGTTTAATTTACATACCAAAAAATTTATCACAAGTTAGCCTGTATTGGTCAAATGGTTGAAACCGACAAAGGTGTCCAGTTCAGAAAATGTCACTGTATAAAAAACTGATGACAATGAAGAGTTAAAAACTGAATGATCAAAAAGATTAATAAAGCCCTACAGCAAAAATAACCTTTATGAGATGCTAAATGTTATTCATCTTACCGTGATAATTCACTGCGTGTTAACAAGCCATTTCGATCTTCATCTAAGAGCAAATAGCTACCGTAAACACGTACAGCTGATTGATGACTAAACCAATTAGCGGCTAATTGTGCCTCTGATGTAGATACTTCACGTAATTCAAGCATAGAGTCTAGAAATCCACTAGCTAAAATGTCGGTGATACGCACACGACCCGAACGTAAAGGATCAAGGAAAAAGAAGAACTTTCGTACAGCCGTGCATACATAGAATGTTTGGAACGTTGGCTCCAACTCTGATAGCTAAAGTTATTTTTGGGTAAGGAATACAAATTTTTTTAATATTTAAGAAGTGTTTCAAGGGTTTAAAAATTTTCATAATTACCAAATGAACACAGTCAAGTCCTATTAAACATGGGCAAAATGAAGGTTTAAAAGCTAGCAAAAGTTTGAGGGACAATGGGACAGTGAAAATAATTCTGACGTACTGTAGTCAACCAAACTTTAGTGTCTGTAAAATGAGAACTTACTGTCACAATCCAGGAGTCTTGGTTATGTACAGTCAAATTCTGTGTAGTGGTTTTTGAGTAAGATAGAATTTAAGGGAGCAATATCTGAGAGGAGGGCAAAGTTCGACTTGCACTTTCGCGTAGTGTTCTCTGGATAGTGAGTGATCTCTTTCCCCATGAAATGACGCAAGAGACACAGCAGAAACCGGACTGACCAACCACCGTCAGATAGAGATCGGACTAATCACCCACTCTGTCTAAACATTGATTATAGGAGAAGAGAGGTTGACTTGAATTGGCTTTGTGGCTGTGGTATTGGAGAAAACTTCTCTTTTGGCGCCTGTACAGACTAGTCTGGAAAGGCCCATGAGGTCTGGCAAGGGCGGGTCAAAGCGTAGGCCATTATCTATGCCGTAACCAGTGCAGTGGTCGACAATAAACTGGCTTATGGTAAGAGCGTGGAGTGAGGTCATCATCTATGGCGACTTAGATGCTAACTTGAATACTCAATATTCATTCAGTGAAATGCTGCTGGACTTGGGGCATTCGTATCTATGCTTATGTGCATACTATGGAGTGCGTGGGCCTGGCTTAAGCATTCAGTATATACATATATTGTATACGTGCGAGTGGAAACTTCTATGTCTATATGTAATTGTGGGAGATGTGGACTTGTCGTCGCTTTCTTTGACTACATATGTTAGCATACTAGCAACTGTGCCCATCTATACCAATATGTACGTCACTGGAATGTATGTATCCCCGACACCTGCATTTGAATATGTACAGATGAAGCATACTTAGGTACAGATAAGCTCTACGTTTGTCCGCTGGTGAACTTATTAGTAGCTTATCAGAGCTTTTGGTTGCATAAAAGCTTCCGAAAGTGGTGGGAAAAGAGTAGTGTAAGCCAAAATAATACGTCTGCACTACCAGGTGTGGGTCGAGAAATTCGTTCATACTACTGATATCATATCCCCATCTACATAATTCTCCAGTGTCCAGTCGTACTGTCCCTTGGAGCTCTTCTCTCTGCCCGAATAGCCATGAGGCTCCAACCACTTCGTTGGGCGGGTAACAGTAACCGTAATATCCGAAAGGTTTTGAACCATCGGAGCCGAGTGGTTATATTATTTAGCTAGAGCTACAGTTGAATTATTCATGCGCCATGAACTGATCGCATTTATAGAGTAAGATGAACCAACGAAAAACTGTAATGAGTTAATAAGTGAAATTAAACAACACTGAATGCTGAAGGAAGACCCTGGTTATTAAAGAAAATTGGTTGACATGCGATTCTGTGTTAGGGTTTGAAATCATTTTTTTTCATAATTTATAAAGATTAACCAATACAGGTCTTAGTCTCATTAGGTGATTTTTAAGCAATGTAAAAGCGCAAGTATGGACTGGCCATTAGGTCGTGTCAGATCTATCACCTTATCAGAGTAACATATTTATTAAGAAGGATATTGAAGTCACACGTTTGACGAAATTAATGAGTACAGCGCATAGTTCATTTTTTCAAATACTCAATACATTTTAAAGTATGTCATGTGGTCTAACTAAACAGTATCACCTCCTAAATGGTATCAAGACAATTCCTCCACCAAAGCAGTCACATTCACGATCAAATGTAGAATGAACAAGTTACCTGACACAAAGTAGGGATAAGTTCCAACATATAGTTTTCCAAATCTGTTTCTCTCAAATAACCTTCACCGCACACATCATAAAGAGATATCCCAACATGGGTTTGTTGCAACCATACTTTCTTCATGACATAATTGAAAAATGTCAAGATATTAATACGTGACAAAACTTCATCTTCACGAAGTAATTTTACAAATGTAGCTGCTGTGAAATATTGCCTAAAATATATTAATTCGTAAATTTTGATTAGCATGTAACTGTAAGTATTGCAATCATGAGAAACAAACAAAATTTACAGATATTTAAGGTATAAGTAAACGCTAATTCCCGACATCGGTCGGTAGTAGTTTTAAGTAAAAAGTGTAGTTGATAGGTTAGTAACCACTAGAAATAGCCAGCGTTGACCGATAATCATCATATCTACATGAAAGGACTAAATGAATGTTCATAGTTTATAAGATTGCGATGAAATGATTTAAGAGCGATTTCGTGACAAGTTTTTGATCATTAGTATCTAAGATCATTGCTTGTGCATGATACAACGACCAAATGAATGATCTTTGAGCTACAAATATTTTAAGTAAATTAATAAAATTCATGTCATGTAATTTTTGTATCTTGCCTCGCTTTTGGAATTTGTGTTGTGATATTTAGAAAGGTGGCAAAGTGAACTAATGTCTAAGGTTCTATATCGCATTCCAAGGTTGTTTGTCGAAATAAGATTTACTTTTCTTCTACATTTCTAGGCATTTTATGAATATTTTATTGAAAATTATAAGAGCTTAAATAGCTCAGTATCTGTGAGACTCGTAATTCTTTAATTTTAGGTGGATTCTTAAGCATGACAAATTATGATCGTCCCTATGGAGACTTGACTTGATAAATTTAAATAAGTTGGGTTGGACTGATAATAATGAGACAACAACGTATTTATAATGTTCCAGTGAGAAGAAAATAAAACTTCCTGTTCTAATTCGAAAAATGTTATTTTTTTCCTCTGAAGACAGGACCTACACCAAGCTGAAAAAGTAGGGGATTTAACCTTCTACAGACCATAATAACATAAACGTAGTATCTCGTTACCACAAAAGGTATACTTTAAAACTGACTGCACAATAACCTGTTGCCTAAATAAAACATAAATGTTTAAAAGCAGATTAAAAATAAAACCAATCAAGCCGAAAAAAGTATTTGATACTTACTTTGCCTTGGGAGATGCTTCTTTAGATGCCTTGCGAAAATTCTCATAGTCCATGAATTTTTCACCATTAACTGTAGGAGGTGAATGATAGCGTTCCAAAAGATACCAAAACTCCTTGTACAAAAATAACGTATAACAGAAACTACCTTACTTGAAGTTCAACATTAGACAACAATCTCAAACTTTTTCTCTCCAACAAAGCAGACCTAAAAATGATCATAGTTTGTTTAAATATCTACCTAGCATCCTCCCGTAATTTCGCAGGTAAAATCTCATTATCTTGTGGTACCTGCACAGTAAGTTAATAGTATCTTAATATGTACTAACACGTTGAAAAAAATCTGGTATCCCTAAGTTCTCTGATTCATAATCTTCAACTCCACCCCACGCTTTATAATAATGCAGGAATAAATCACTATGTAGGTTTACTAATACAGAAAAATGATTGTTAAAGTGAGTTACAAACCACTTGACATTTTAACGCCTGGTAATTACAATGGATGACATTCAACGGTAGAAAGGCTGTAAACAGACATATTGTTTAGTCGGCATCAGATAACTGAAAACCAGAACAAAAACAGGTTAAAAACCAAACTCTTAAAGAAGACTGATTTTTATACAGGTGGTCATTGGAAAGAAATAAAGAGATTAGGTAAAAAAAAATGAAAGAACATAAGGATTTGTGTATAACAGTATGTAAATTACTGCTTATCTATTGACTGAAAATTTAAAAATTTGCATACATATTTCATCATTACTTTTAATATTATATTAATCAAGGGTACGTGAATAAACAAGTCTTCACCTACGGTCTTGTTTATTTTCTTGCGCTGACATGTTCCATTGCAATAAGTATCAGTTATTTCAGTCATAGCAAACAGCCATATCAGCAGAAAAAACAGAATTTTTATAAGCATAAATTAGGTAAGACCTTAACAGTTTTATGAAATTCAGTACTCCACTTCCACAACCGTCATATTTAGTCGTAATGAAAAAGCATGAATTGATGTTAAATGACTTTGCACATAAGTGGAACAATTGACGAGACTATAATGTTTGAACGACCTTTGAGCAATATAAAAGTGCCTTTGGGAACCACGACTACTTGCTACAGTCGAAATACGGCTATAAATTCATGTGAAGAATCGAGACCAGATGTTAGAGGTTTAAGTCGGGATTAAGAATTCAAATTAGGGTTTTCGTCACGACTTGATATCAACTATGGTTCCAAAATGTAATTTTGTTATATGTATGAGTGGATTCTGTACCAAAGTCCAGGAACCGAAATCTTAGATCTGACTTGTTAGGCCATGAATTATAGTTTCGCCGACCAGTGGATCAAAAGTACATTTCAGGTTTATCACTGACAACAGTAAACTACTATCGCCTGACTCAGCATCCCAGAAAGAACCATGGTTCTTGTGACTGCAGTCACAATTCAGGGAAGACCTAATCTTTCCAAAAGTCAAAAAGGAGTTTTTGCATTATGTATGATGTCGATTTGTAATATAAATCATGAAAATTTGCATACAATAGTTCATCATTCACGTTCAACAGCTTTTTCTACTATATTTTAGTAAGATTATGATATGCAGATGACTCTTGGGCGATATAAATAGTCGATTAACCTAAAGGTGTCTTCTTGTTGGCTGAAAAATTGTCAATAACACCCATTTACTAAACTTCCGAAGGGAAACTCGTTTTTTTTACTCAACCCTAGTTTGGCCTCTGTACAAGGTCAAATTTATCCTATCCGCGGTCACCGCCAAGGTTTTACCCCAAACAGTAAATAATTTTCAATGTTCCTTTGTCTGAGGTCAGTTAAAACATGTTTAAAATATTCCACCCTTCTTCTTCAATTACTTACTCCTTATTCTTCATCGCCGAATCCAAAACCATGTAGCTTGTATAAACCGACTGATTTCTTTGCGCTCGTTTTCTGTTATTTTGGTACAGTTCCAGGTGGATGATAGTCTAGCCACTCGGTTGCCCCTATTCTAGTTTGTTCGTTTATTATCTGTGGATTTGTGTGTTTTGTATGTCAAGTGCGTTTGTCCTATGGCACCAGGGTTTCTGGATTCAAACAGCTATCACATTACCATGTAGAAGACTGGTTAGATGCACTGCGAAAGTAACAAAGTGGTAGTTTGAGTGTCAAGGGGATACTGTTATTTCAAGAATAATGCGTAAGTAAATAAGTTGGTAGTGTGTAGGAAAACGGAAATGAAGGAATAAGAAGGGAGACGAAGACGATAATAAGAGATATAGGAAACCGTTACTGATATGTGGTAGTGATAACCTTTGTAAAATATATGATGTGCATCAGACATATCAGGTCTAAGAGGGAGATGGTAATCTATAGGTTAGTATGTGTCCGTCAAGTCTCGTCTTGTAACTACCCATTGATAGGACTGTGGTCACTTCGGCCGGGAAAGCTTTGTAAATGGAGGCAACTCTTGATAAGAAAAAATATGATCGCGCCTGGGCTCTCTTTCCTCGATATGCTATCATTCTGATTTCTTGTAATTTACCCCTTGGTCCTCTTGAGTTGATATAACGTAAAATAACGGTCTGCCTATTACCTGATGCCTCATCTGTCTTCTGGGATTTAAGTGGATTGTTGTTCAAAATATGTTGGCCATTTCCATGCGATCAAAGTAAACTGACACCAAAGTCTATTTTATTGGGATTATTTGTTGCTGCCCTACCGACCTAAGTTGACTTTCACATAGAATGCAACTGTGGGGGTCGTTTTCCAAGCATCACCAGGTCTGAACAGCCTCCGTGAAGTCTCTTCGGTTCCTGAAATTCGAAGCCATCGGACGCGGAAACTGTGGCCGTGGGGGGTAACGGACATGGAAGCCTGGACACGCTAATTATTGTAGTGGTGTGAAAGCATGTGCTGCGTGATAGACAATGCTACTGTAGCAGCTGGTATTTATGAGCTTCAACCCGACTACCGCACACTAGATCAGGCACTCCGTGAACCATCATGTTGGTTGCCTTTCGGGTTTTTGCTGATCTTCTGTCGACACCTCCCACACCCCACATTTTGTCGTGTCTAACTCGGATTTGAGATGACCGCTTGGCCGATGGTCACTGAGATTTCGGTAAAATCTCTTCCATAACGTGTGCTGAGCCATGCTTTCACCAATTCTCTTCCCAAAACTCACCCACCGCTCTTTACCCTTAGAAGATACTGGATTATTGGCAATGGTCGGCAGTTTCATTTATATATGAGCTCGAGTTTTGGCTTCCAGAATCGTGTGCTTAGTCGAGCCACTGTTTTAAGGATCGGACATACTAGTGGGAACTGTTATGGTTGTTTCCATAGGAATCTTATGACACTCTTGTCCATTCAGCTTGTATATTTTTTCTACACAGCAGGCAGATATATCAAAACCATAGGCACGGTTGACTTAAAACAAATCCACAATACTTTCTAGGTACCGCAGTATCGACAGTGAATTCTGCCTCTACACAGGATACATTCCAATGCTGAGTCGATATTGTATAAATTTAACGTGAACTACGCTCAGTATGATAGACAGATTTGATTTTGTTAAAACTCACTATTTTTTATAAATGCTATTTTATTATTATTAATATATTTTGAGTTTATTCTCGATTAGGGTTGTCGTGCTTTGAGCCTAATAAATCTTCACTTGTACCAGCGATGATGTTCTTACTTCGCGTTATTGGAATCGCAGTGGTTCCTCGTTCTTTCAAGTATATGAATAAGCGACATGGATACGAGATAGGAGTATTTGAATGTATGAATCACGAAAATAGAACCTGAAAGACATTTAAATATGCAATTTTGCCTTTGGCCGTCCTAGCAAGCAACCCCAGTGGTTTGTCTGCAAGCCCTGTATTTGCAAGAAAATAAGTGTGTATGTCTCGGTTGAAGTAATGAGGAAGTGACCAATCAGTCGAGACAGCTAGACCTACTATATAGCGGTTCGATCTAAGTTTGATTACGGCTGTCAGATTTTTCATTAAGATCTTCTTCCAGCCAGGTGAAGACTCTGTTCTTACCGTCTGAAGTGTTTACATATTCCAGTGTGGTAACTGAAAAGTGGTTATTTCCAGTTATTGAGAGATCAACGAAGTCACGCTAGAATCGAAGGGCGCGCAGTTGTTGAATAATTTTCGCGAAAAATTTTGAGAATTAGTGGTCTCTGATTCTACACTTTTACAAGCGGCAAATATATTTACTTTGTGTACAAGAGAGCTTTGGTGTTAATCATCATTATTTTACATAATACAGCTTTTGACATTGAAATGTTAATCTTGACATTGCAAATGTGAAATTATATCAGTTAAAGGATATATGGAAGGCAGATATGGAGACAACCAATTCCGCAGCATCGACTGAAAACTGGGAATTTGACTCAAGAGCATCAGTGCAAGAGGCATGAACTCTTTTCAGGCAGTTATACAATCGGGTAACTCAACCATACATACCCTGGACAGTTCCAAAGACGTAGGATCATGGCCATAGCTGGACAGACTGGGATATTCGACGTCAACTAAGACAAAAGAAGGAATGTCGGGATATTGCCATCCGCCTCGTCACAGCAGGTGGGATGGAACGCTACAGATCGATAAGAAACGAGTGTATAACAAAAATTCAGGAAGCTCAAAGAAAATATGGAATACAGCTGGCACAACCTGCACTCAAACAGCCCAAGAGAATATTATCGTACATAAACTACAGAAAAGGGATGCATCATTGGATTCCCAACCAAATTAAAGAAGGGAGCCAATCTGAAACGTTATAGGAAGATCAGAAAAAAGGAGAGGCTATGGCTGACTATTTTGGGGCAGTTTTCACTCAGGAACCTCTCTCTGACAAAGAACCAGACCAAAATAAAAAGTCGAAAAACACCTGCTCACCGTGGACTTCGATCAAGACGATTGGCTCAAGTCTCTTAGCATCTTAAACATGGACGGGACCAGATGAACTACATCTCAAAATCTTGAGACATATTGCACAATATATCCCGGCCCTACTGACTGCGGTATTCAATATGTCACTCGACCAAGGTGTGTTACCGATGGACTGGAAGGACGCGATCGTCACTCCCATACATAAAACAGGACCAAGACAACTTCCATCGAACTACAGACCAGTAAGCCTCACCAGCGTTGTAGTTAAAATATTGGAAAGAATAGTCCACAATGGCATTTATGGAAACCGATAACTTGATAAATATAGAACAGCATGGTTTTAGAAAGGGTCTATCTTGTACGACAAACCTCTTTACAGCAAATGAATACTGAATAAAGGCGCTAGACAAGAGAAACTCAGTGGACGTTGTCTACATAGACGTCAGTAAGGCCTTTGACAAGGTGCCAAATAATAGACTGCTAATAAAGTTGGAAAACCTTGGTATTGCCGAACCACTTTTAAAATGGCTTAAGGATTTCCTAGTAGGTCGTCGACAGAAAGTAAGAATAAATTCCAAGCGCTCCGTCTGGAGACCAGTACCTCAAGGCACCGTCCTAGGTCCTTTACTTTAATGATCTTCCAATTATAGTATAATCTCCTATGTTATTATACGCTGATGACGTAAAGATCTGGGGAGTAATAACTGGAGACACAGACGCATGTGCTCTTCAGGCAGACTTAAATAATATGATTAACTGTTCTAAAGAGTGGCTGATGCCTATCAACTCGGAAAAGTGTGTCTACATGCACTTTGGGGATTCAAAGGTTAATAGGTACAACATAGGGGAAGTGCCATTACCCGTGGTCCGGTCTCATAAGGATCTAGGGGTGACAGTGAGTCATGGTCCTAGGAGGTTTCGAACCCTTTGGGCTTTAAAACGGACATTCACCAAGTTAGATACTACCATGTTCATCACAGTATACACATCCTTGTTGAGAACTAAGCTCGAGAACTGCCTTCAGGCTGCAAGCTTCTGCTTAAAAGGTGACTCGGATATCCTAGAAAAGGTACAGTGGGAAGCTACCCGTGCAATTCCAGAACTCCTGGGTTTACCGTACAAAGAGCGGCTTCAAAAGCTGAACCTCTTTACTCTGTCCTATTTCAGATTAAGGGGATCTAATTTTGATGTACAGAATACTGAGAAATGATTTGGGACCTAACTTATTCTCTCTTTTTCTTTCCTCTAGATTGGGGCATCCCAGGGGACATAGCAGGCGAGTGGAGAAGCCAAGAACAAACAAAATACCCGTGGCGTACAGGTTTTCATACCGAGTCATCAATGGTTCAAATGGTTCAAATGGTCGTGGACGGAATAGAAGAACAGGCTTCCGTGTCTAGTAGCAGGGGATCACCAAATCCTAGGTATGTTAACAATAAAAGAGGAAAAAATTGGTAAATCATAGTGTGATGCTGTCCTTGGTCCTTAAGAATAGGTCAAGTTTGCCTCTTGAAGGACTCCTGGGAAGTCTCTTGGACTAGCTCGGCCGGCAGCGAGTTCCATCATTTGACAACTCTTAAGGAATAAAAATTATGTCCACATTCCGTTTTGCTTCCCTATTATCTTATATTGAATGTTGAGAGCCTTTGTTTGTCTGAACAGATAATCCCACTCTCCACTGTGACTGCGCGAAGATCGAAATATGACCTATTCACTACTTGTCTGGTTTCTTCTGTCAATATCACGTCGGGCTCACCAGTTTTGTGCCTCAAGGTAACCCTCGTGCTATTGACAGAAGGTCTTTATTTCGATCTTCGCGCAGTCACAGTGGAGCGTGGGATTATCTGTTCAGACAAACAAAGGCTCTCAACATTCAATATAAGATAATAGGGAATATAACGCTTATAAAAAATAAGGGAGTGAATGAATACTTGGACAATACTGTTTTGGCATATGCTTGGTTGTTTGGGGTCAACTCTTAACCAACCAACCTGAGCTGTTACAGTGTCTCCAGTTTCTGGGTGTTATCCCTTAGGTTAGTGTTCGAACTAAGCTTAAGTAGGTGTTTAAGAGGATGTCCAGAAGTGTTGAGAATACTATAAGCCATTAATAGATCACCTCTAAGACGCCTATACTCTAATGGGTAAAGGTCTAGTGAATGGAGGCGCTCTTCGTAAGGTTTAAATTTGAGTCCTCGAACTCATTTCGTGGCTCGCCGTCGGATACGCTCCAAAGTGTCCTTATCCTTTTGGACTGAGGGGGGAAGTACTATGTTTCCGTACTCTATTAAAGATTATATGGAAAGTTTTTCCGTCGAACTGTCCAAAAATGCGCTTCAACGTCACCAGTGCAAGGTTTGCTCGGAAGGCATTTTTGTTACAGTTGGCGTAAGACTTTAAATCATGGGTCACCAGAACTCCTAAATCTTTTTCGACTTGGGATACTACTAGAGAGGAGTTTCCTAAGTTGTAACTGTAGTTTGCGACATGTCGCAGATGGACTACTTTACACTTTGAAGTGTTAAAAGTAAGTCCATTATTATCTGCCTAACTTTGGAGTCGAGTCAGATCCTCCTGAAGTGCCTGTATATCGTCTTGATTGCGTATCTCTCCAAAGTTTAACATCACCGGCAAAGAGTAACAATTATGACGTTACCTGTTGAGGAAGATCCTTTATGTAGATCAAGAAGAGAAGAGGTCCTAGTACTGAGCCCTGGGGGACCCCACTAGGGCATTCCATAGCCTGAGACAAAGTGAAATTAACCCTAACCTTAAAGTGTCGATTTTTCATGTATGAAGTAAGCCAATCGATTAGAGGTGGTCTGATACCTAGTCGTTTGAGCTTATTGATAAGATACAAGTGGTTAACCTTATCAAAAGCTTTTGGGAAATCTAGGTATATGATGTCAGCCTTTCCCTTGCGGTCGAGGATGCTTGTCCATCTGTTCATCTCAGTCAGCAGGTTCATTATACAAGAGTAACCCTTCCTGAAACCATGCTGTTGGGTTGAGAAGAAATTTAAGGACAGTAGATAGTCGTTTAAACCGTCGCATATCAGGGACTCCATGATCTTTGAAGGTAATGACAGAAGAGCCACCGGCCAATGACTTGAAGGTTCATTGCGTCGACCTCCTTTGAAAATTGGTGTGAAGTGAGCCAACTTCCAATTTTCCGGTAGTTTGCCTCGGCTTAGTGAGTGTGAGAACATCACGCTAAGCGGCATTGCCAGGATTGAGGTTGCTTCTCTCAGTATGGCAGGATGGACCACATCCGGGCCAGGAGAAGTGTCTAGTCTTAAATGCTGCGATTTTCGGAACACCAAGTCAGCGCTTAGGTTCACTTCGGAAAGTACTATGGAGTTGCAGATGAAACTGTCATCAGGAAAGTTGATGTCGGTCGGTTGAAATGTCTGAGAGTAATGTTCAGCCAGAAGGTTAGCGGCGTCGCCATCGTTGCTGGTCGGGCCGCTAAGACCTAGCAGTTGGGAAACTCCAGTTTTGGCTCGACGAAGAGAGGCTGCATAACGGAATAAGCTTTTAGGATTAGAGGCAAGATTGTCCATAAGCTTTTTCTGGTACTGAAGCCTGCCTTCTCTTATAGCCTTCGTGCATATGTTCCTTATATGTTTATACTGCCTGTACGCCCCGTCGTTGTCAGTTCGTTTGTATTCCTCCCAACAGTGCCTTTTGCGGCTTAGCAGGCGAAGGGTACGGTTCTTGATTATTGTAGGTGGCTTGTAGCTTTTGGGGACCGTATAAGGAATTGAATGATTTGTAGCACATAAGGGCGTGTGCAGTAAGAAGTCCCAATGACCGTCCACATCGAGTTGAGGGTGAACATCCCAAACCACCTGTTGTAGATAGTCATGTAGAGCTGGCACATTCAGCCGTTTAAAATTCCAACACAAGTTATTGGTGGGATGGCTGAGCTTAGTTTTGCTGACAAAACTGAAGGCTATGACGTCATGATCGCTTTTTCTCAGGGGAGTCAAGATTGAGAGGTTGTCAACTAGAAATTCTTCGTTTGTAAATACACAGTCTAAGCGCGATGGTGTCTGACTGTTTCTTCGACGAGTTGCCGACCTCACATGTTCGTATAGTCCCAAGTCATTGATGAGGTTGAAGAACCGAGCTTCAATTGAGTTATCGCTTCCAGTATACATGTGATCCGCGAAGTTGACTCTAGGGAGATTAAAATCCCCTAGAATCAGGATGTGTGTGGAACCAAGACGAGTAGAGCTGGATAGCCGTTCCAGCATACGACCATCGTACTCAATGTCGGCAGTTGGCTTCCTATAAATGACTCCGACTAGACACTTCGAAGTACTAGACAATCTTACAAAGCACCATATGGATTCCTCAAGGTTGTTAAATTCGAGGTTATGAACCTGGAGCACCTCCAAGCAAGAACGTATGTATACGGCCACTCCGTCCCCAATTCCTGATTTTCTGTCGTTGCGGAACAAAGACATCCCAGGTAATGCTAACTCTTGGTTCGAGAACTGAGATATCCAGGTTTCAGATATTCCTATCAGATGGGCCTTGTTAGCGTTGCTAAGCTCACGTAATTCATCCAATTTGTTTGGTAGACTCGCGGCGTTCACATATAAGCAGTTTATTCTTTCAATTTGGAACGCGTGAGCTTCGTCCTGTTTGTCTGTATGAGCCTTACGTGAATGGACAGGTGGACCACCTATATGAGGTTTGCCGAGGTGGTAGGCCCTGTCCTTTACACGTTTTTTATGATCAAGAGAGTCCACAAGTGGAATGGTCAGCTCCATCTTGCCTTTGTGTTCGGTCCTAGCTTCGTATGGCCTATCCGGGTGCACGTGGATTCCAGGTGGCAATCGACGTCTTTTTGCACGAAATGTTTCCAGAGTTGCAGCCGCCATGTGGGAGGATGGGAAGGTTATCTTCATTAGACGGGGTCTAGGGTCACCATTCTTCTTGGCTAATCTCGTCACATGCTGAGTCAGTATGTGTTTGAGCCCCAAGGACTGTTTAGTGAATTTCCATTCCCAGATGTCAGAGTTTGATTGAGCAAGGTCCGTATTTTCCGGTATACCTTACACAGTTATGTTTCTTCCACAGAAAAACTTCTCGCGAGACTCTTTAGGAGTGTTCCGGATGATATTGCGCTCAGAGTACGGTATGTCGGGCAATGTTCGTACGTCCCCATCGGATTTCAGCAAGTGACTGGCTAGCAAGACGTCTTCTATGACGGTAGCATTCTTAAGTGTTACTCGAAGAAGCCTCGGGTGAGTTAGATGCTTAGAACCCTTTCCTCGAGTGAGCCGGCTGACCATCAAAGGCTCTATTCCGGGAAGTTCGAGATTCTTGTTCAGCTCACCCCAAAGCATCCTATCATTTTTGTCCTGCAGACTGAGAGGAAGGTCAGGATTGTCAATGAGATCCATGATTATGAGAGAATCGTCACGAACTGTTGTTGATTTACCAGGTTTCCCGATGGGTTCAGGTTTAATACCTTGTTGTTTGGAGGTCAAGGCACGTTTTTGAATCTTGGGCTCTTTGATGACCGGACGAACATTCTTGGGGGTTGACTATGCGACCAAATCACCAGTTGTTTTCCGTACAACAACACTTGGGATGCTCAGCCTAGGCGGTGACACCCAGTTCTTTTGGGTTCTGCTAACGTGGGTCGAATCACCTACAGGGTTTTGGGGAACCACTGTTGTGTTCAGGGAACCTGAGCTGGAACCTGCTGCCTGAAGCAGTGCTGTCCGCACCTTCAATTGACTTATGCAAGAGAAGGCTGTACACTCACAGAAGTATACTAGAAAAGGAATAACATAGGCCGTGTGCCTTCTATCCTTACTACACAAATCTGAAATTGCTGATCTTGCGTCACTGTACTATGCCCTGTTCAAGGTCAAGGTTAAGTACTGTTACGCATTGGAAATATCACGTTAACAGACTTAGCTTTGATTAGTAAGCTGTCTCAGCCTAAAGCTTGATATTATTAGTTGTTATAGACTGCGTCTCCTTATTTAACTTAACCATATCCACCAAGCCATAAAGTTACGTTGTTTTCAAAAGGGCAGTAACTAAGTACTTGTGATTATCTTTGCTCTTGTGTACTTGTTGCATCAAAAAGCTTTCTTGGTCTACTTTAACTCGAAGTATTTCAGTCAAGGCTTGGAATTCTCTAATCTTTTTCGGTACGTTCTTTCCCATTGACTCTAACACTTGTGTTCATATTGTGATCATATTGTATTTTAGACCTTAATATAGTTACAATGGTTGGCAGTGTTTATATATGTAGACAGCCAAATTGTTTATTCCCCGTGAAGGGAGAAATGTAATATGATGAGTGTGAAAAAGTTGTCCCTTAAGATGTGTACTCGTTTAAGTCCTACTCCATACTAAAGATGCTCGAAGCCCAACTCGCATTGGCTTTGTATGTTTTGCTGTAGAAATAAGATGTTACTGATCCAGGAAGTTATTGTCTTGGACCTGTAGGAAGAAAGGTGGTAGTTGCACTGGTAACACGAATACTGACAGTGAAGAATGTGTCACTGTAGTATGTGCTGTTACTGGACGCGTTAAACACCTGTCTGTGATAGACGGAATAGTAAAATCTCTTTTAAAACTAACGAGGAGTAAAGCGTCATTCGATATTGAAATGGGTAGTCATGCATCCAGTGGAAATTGAAGACCCGGATAAAACCGTCACCATTCCAAATAGTCCCGGTTTGGCTGTCCTGAGTGATGTAAAATGGACGGCAGTATGGAGAAAAAGAAATGAAACGGGAAGAGCTATGAGCGATACGCACTTGCTTGGCAAGCCATTGATGAACTCCCATTCTTAGTCACAAAATATACTACCAAAGTCTGATAGTGAGACAGAACTCCACTCTGACATGACTGAGAAGAATTTAATCTCATCGAATACTATTGTGAGTAGTTTGCTAGAGTCAAACGACCCTGATCTCAAAATTAGACACGTACATAATTTGGAAAAGCTCGGAGAATATATCCGTAGCATTTTACCAGATAACTCGAAAGGAATTAAGGTCAAAAAGTTGGTAGGAATAGATGAGAGGATCGACTACGGTGTTAAACTCCCACCAGATAAACCCCTTAAGGTAATCCTAGGTTGGAGAAGCAACGTGCTCTTCTGCTAAGCAGTCACGACAATACCGACATTTGAGTAAGACCTGACATGTATCTTGAAGATAGAATAAAAAAGAAGACGGTACTAACTGAACTAGACACCCCTTGACAAAATGGTGAGGAAAATCGCTTAATGGGTTTTCGAATAATCAGGTCTTGGAAGCGAATGCTATAAAGGTCTGTGTAGATAAGTCATTTTCCCTAAGAGTTTTATATGCAAAGGCTCGTAGCCTAAGAATTAAATTCTATGAACTAGGAGCAGTAGTGAAAAATTTGGGGCCACCCATTATAGCTATGACGAAAACTTGGTTAGTTCATGACTTCCACATTACTCCATAATTATCCGGGTACCACTACCTTAGAAGTGATAGACATAGATGTAGGAAAGGTGGTGTTTTTTATACATAACCAATAATATAGGTATCCGCTCCTTTGCTTGCGAATCCCATGGTAGTCATAAGCTGCAAGCACACTATCGGATGTTGTACATTTATACTCGGTGTCACCCATCGCAGCGCAATCTACTTAGCTGATGATTTTATTTTAGTGCATAATCACCTATGGAGTGCAAATAACAGATGCTTGATATTAGGAGACTTTAATGAACCTGATATTAGTTGGATTGAGATGGCTACGGTAAGATCTATAAACTCCTTTGATAGTAGGTTCCTGATAACGGTAATGGAGCATGCATTAGTACAGCATGTATCCAAACCCATACGTTTTGGTGCAAACCAAGGTTCTTTGTTGGCCTTGGTGATCCTTCGTGCGACTGAGGATATTACCAATCTAAATTTTCTTCCGTTAGCGAATAGCGATCACACTGTTTTTTGATTCACGTTTAGAGCTAATGACATGATATACGATTAGGTCAAGCCTCGCCCAAATGTATGGAGAGCTAACACGTCAGCCATTTATACGTGCGCTGCTAAGACATTGGTCAGTAGATACTGGCTCATCACTTGAAGAAGCATGGTCTATATTTAAAGGCAAGTTTAGTTCAGTTACGTTCTCGCTTATACCATGCCTGGTACCATGTAGACCGAACAACTGCCCACCATGGATAACTAAAGTCAAGAAACTTCTTAGACGTAGGAAAAAGCTTTGGAATATGTTCATTTCTACTGTCTTAAAACAATACAGATCCAGTTATTGTAGGGCTAGAAATGCTTGTAAAGCGTTAATAAGTAAGACTAAACGGTCATATGAAAAATAGTTGGTTAGGGATTGTAAAAATAGCCCAAAACGGTTATTCTCATATATAAAAAGGCGAACTCAGGAAAGTGATGGAATTCCATCACTTTTGGTAGAAGAAAATCTGTTAATATTGGCAAGAAATGATGTCAAAAAAGCCGAAGCTTTATCGAAATATTTCAGTAAAGTGTTTTCTATCAATAATGAGGAACTACTAACGATTCATTGTTATTGTGTGTGTGTTTTATTTCAACACAAATATTGGTATAAGAGGGCACCAAATATATATGCGCCACACCATATTTGTGTATGTGCGGGCTGTGATACTGCCCGGGTGCCCAGACTGAACCAGGTGGTTTTCTTAGGGGGCCACTCCCCGAGCCTTTGACCTAAAGGTCTAACCCACAAGGCAGTGGAGCAGCGTGAGGAGATGCATTCCCATGGTAGCCGGTGACCAACGATTGGTTCATACGCCATTTGTTCCTGCGGGATACTGGAGCCCATGTGCACCATTGGTTTGGGATCCGGTTAAAGCGCCGGACATTCGCTTTTCGTCCTCTCATTTTCGTAAACAACACCCATGGTGCGAGAAGGCAGTGAGTAGGACTTCCCTGGGATAGGCTGTATACGCGTGGCCGTGTTTCACTGGATTACATTCTTTAAATAACATTTCAAACCCTAATCTTCTCGATTACTGCTTATACTTTGACTACCTCTACCACTATGTGATTTGAATCGACTATTGGATCTCTGTGCTAATTTGATATGACAACTCGAACTGATGTACGTACGTACGAAGTTCTACGTTGTTACTGACTGACTGACTGAATGAGGTATGGCGGCTTGTTGATGGACCCTGTATTTATTGAGAAAGATACTGTCTTAAGATTGCTTCAGCATCTCAAACCTGATAAGTGCAGTGGGCCTGATGATATTCATCTTAGGATTATGAAAACCCTATTGGATGTAATTACTGAACCTATGGCCATACTGTTTAATATGTCTCTGCAGCAGTTCAGACTGCCAAGAGACTGGAAAAATGCAATAATTAGTCCGGTGTATAAGGCGGGGAGTAGAGATTTATTTGGTAATTATCGACCCGTTTGTCCAACTGGTGCAGTTGTAAAACTAATGGAAAAGATTATTCGGATGGCTGTTATAAATTATGAGGAAGGGCGTAATCTTTTATCCAGGGAACAACATGGTTTTCGAAAAGGCCTATCATGTTTGACAAATCTCATTGCAAGAGATGATTGGGCTGCGGTAAAAGATCGAAATATTCCTGTAGATGTGATTTTCATAGATCTAGGTAAAGCCTTTGATAAGGTCTCCCATTCAGGTCTTAAATTAAAACGGGAAAGTTTGGGAATCCATTATAAGGTCATAGACTGGGTAAGTGACTTTCTCGATGACTATCATAAGGGGTCCACGCGAATATCGTTACCAATGGTTGGCGACTAGGTGATATGGCTCAGAATCGATCACAATGGCGTAGGTGTATACACTCTTTGTCTTCCCTTAAACTATGAGACTAACATTATTTCACATATTTCTTTCTACGAACTAATTTTTTCTTTCTGTACTATATCCTTACATAAAATATTTCCTTTATATATTACCATCATTGAGTTACCTGCTTCTATGAATCCGGTGATCGTCTTGCTGTGCTAATAAGGTATGGCACAAGTCCATGAAGTCACTGACAAGTGGACTGAGTCATGTTGGTAGATGTAGACTACCTGGTTGGGGACCGCGAGATGATAGCAACCAATGGTTAAAGACCCTGAATGACATGGCTCAAAATCGTTTGCAATGGCGCAGGTGCATACACTCTTTGTGTTCTCCCAAATTTTGATCTCCTTATTCCTCCTTGTCTCTTTTTTTTCTCTTCCCAAATTTGTTTCACTGGATTACATTCTTTAAATAACATCTCCAAACCCTAATCTTCCCGATTACTGCTTATACTTTGACTACCTCTACCACTATGTGATTTGAATCGACTATTGGATCTCTGTGCTAATTTGATATGACAACTCGAACTGATGTACGTACGTACGAAGTTCTACGTTGTTACTGACTGACTGACTGAATGAGGTATGGCAACTTGAACCGGTGCATGTATGTGCTTAGTCTTACGTTGTAACTGACTGACTATGACAAGAGACTAAAGGCATGGTTAAATAGAGCTCTCTCAGCGTTGGAACCTGTAAAAAGTGGAGTTCCCCAAGATACAATCCTCTGTCCTCTTCTCTTTTTACTGTATGTAAATGAATTACCAACTGTGGCAAAGTCATCCATTCTACTCTTCGCTGATGATATTATGATTTGGAGACCCACAAACAGTATGTCAGATAGAATAGTATTACAGGATGATCTCAACTCACCAATGGCATGGATGAACGGATGGTCACTAGAAGTAAATCCTGACAAGTGTGGTGATACAAATAAATAACTAGGATGATACGTATCACTACACAATATTGGGATTCGTGTTACCCAAAGTAAGAAACCATGAAGATTTAGGAGTCATAATAAGCAGTTATTTCAGTACTAGTGATTGTAAGGCTGTTGCTGCAAAAGGCTATAGTGTATTATGGTCTATTCGTCGGTCTTTTCAGTAGTTGGATGAAGAAATGTTTAGATTATTATAGCCAACTTTCGTGCGACCGCATTTGGAATATGGGATTCAAGTACGAGGCGGATATGGTGGGACAAATCCAACGACGAGGTACTAAAATGGTACAAGGTCTATCTGGCTTATCTTATAGAAACAGACTGAGACACCTCAACTTATTTCCGTTATCTTACCGCAGAATACGGGGGATCTAATATTGGCTTATCGTATACTGGACGATGACCTTGGTATTAATATGTCTTATCTTTTCCTTCCGTCTAGGACTGATAATTTGAGAGGACATTCTAAGAAAGGTCAAAAACCGTGATCAAATTGTCTACGTCTGGAGTTTCGTTTCTTGCACCGAGTAGTAAATTACTGGAATTGTCTACCAGAACACGTAATATCAGCACCTTCTGTTGATATATTCTAAACGAGATTGGACCTTGACATTACTACAAACTGCAAGGATTAATATAGGTCGATAGACCTATCCTTATTACTGAAGACTGTTGCCTTCATTTCCAGCTGTCACATTGCGCGCCTCATCGCTACTAAAGCTACCTTCAAACAAGACTCAACCCACCAAAGGCATGACGTACTTATGTTCGTCGTGTAAGGCTGATGTGTCTGTCTCAGAAAGAATCAATCATGTCAGGAGCGACTGGCATATATACAACCTAAAGCGTGTCGTTTCTGGTCTACTGCCAATATCTGAAGATATGTTTGTACATAAAAAACAATTGATTGCTGCAGAAGCACCTGTGGCTATAGAGGTTTGAAAAATTTGCTTCATGTTTTTATCCTAGAAAACGTATTGTGACGCCTGCAAGAAATCCTTCGCAAATAACAAATCTTTTACTGCCCATTTGGTTTCGAAGCGCCATATACACAACAGCCACTTGTTCAAAACGTAAGCATTATATTTCTAAATCCACATTTTATCCACATTCTTCCATACCAACGGGTTACTTATTGAGTTGGTTTTATTATAACGTTTGCAAAGCTTCGTCGTACTAGCCATCACTCAGTACACAAATTAGTTCTTCTGAAGTTTGACCACTAGTAGAATTTCAGATGCAATAGATGACAGTCTGTATCAAAACATAAACACGAACATCTGAGATAACGGCTGAGTTTCGTTTTAAGGTGAGCACTTCACATATATCAATTTTTTGTCATGAATGCACCCAATTTTACTCAACAATTAGTGGGATTTCTGCTTCCCATTTATTGTATCGTGATGAGCTTAAGCGTTATATGTTTTTTGTATTCCCAGTGTATTTTAGATTTTGTCTCAATTTCATCTCGATATTGATCGCATCTCCAATGGTTGCTCATATTCATGCATCTATGAAACGTTTGTAACTCGGATATTTATTTATTTAAACACAAACATTGGTACAAGGACGCACTAAATATATATTACTTACTTACTTACGCCTGTTACTCCTCGTGAAGGAACATAGGCCGCTCAACAGCATTCTCCATCCAACCCTGTCCTGGGTAATCCTTTCTAATAATGCCTCTATAGTTTTCACATTTGCTCAGATCTCCTTTCTTTGGAATCTTGATGAGGTGTCCTTCTTTCCAGTCCATCGGCACTTGTTCCTCCTCCCAAATCTTTTTGAATAGAAGGTGAAGCATGTTTGTAGTTCCTTCGATGTCTGACTTCAGTGCTTCAGCTGGTATGTTGTCGGGTCCTGCTGCTTTCCCGTTCTTGATTTGTTTGATGGCCATCCTGATTTCTTCCGTCGTTGGTGGATTGACATCTATAGGAAGATCTATGTGTGCTGCTTCGATATCCGGTGGATTCATTGGAGCCGGCCTATTCAGGAGTTCCTCGAAGTACTCTACCCATCTGTTCCACTGTTGTTGAATTTCAGTGATTGGCCTGCCTTCTTTGTCTTTGACCGGTCTCTCTGGTTTAATATATTTCCCTGCTAGATTCTTCGTTGTATTGTAAAGATGTTTCATATTTCCTCTTGCAGCTTTTTCCGCTGTCGTTGCTAATTCTTCCATGTATTTCTTCTTGTCGGCTCTAATGCTCTTTTTCACTTGCTTGTTTGCTTCTATGTATTCAGCTTGTGCTTGGACTTTCTCTGCTCGTGTTTCTTACTTACTTACTTACTTACGCCTGTTACTCCTCGTGAAGGAGCATAGGCCGCTCACCAGCATTCTCCATCCAACCCTGTCCTGGGCAATCCTTTCTAGCTCCGTCCAGTTGTAATTCATCGTTTTCATATCTGCTTCTATTATCCGACGCAATGTGTTCTTTGGCCTTCCTCTTTTTCGCTTCCCTTCAGGATTCCAAGTTAGGGCTTGCCTCGTGATGCAGTTTGACGATTTGCGTAATGTATGTCCTATCCATTTCCATCGTCTTCTTCTAATTTCTTCAGCTGAAAGTTGGTTTGTTCTCTCCCACAGAAGGCTATTGCTGATGGTATCCGGCCAATGGATGTTGAGTATCTTGCGAAGACAGCTATTTATAAATACTTGTACTTTCTTGATTGTGGTTGTTGTAGTTCTCCAAGTTTCAGCTCCATACAGTAGAACTGCCTTGACGTTCGTATTGAAGATTCTCACTTTGATATTGGTTGAAAGTTGTTTTGAGTTCCATTTGTTCTTCAATTGTAGGAATGCGACCCTTGCTTTGCCGATCCTCGCCTTTACGTCTGCATCGGATCCTCCTTGTTCATCGATGATGCTTCCCAGGTATGTGAAGGACTCTACATCTTCCAGAGTTTCGCCATCAAGTGTGATTGGATTGCTGTTCTCCGCTTTGAATTTGAGGACCTTAGTTTTCCCTTTGTGTTTGCTGAGGCCTACTGATGCAGAGACTGCTGCTACACTGGCTGTCTTTGTCTGGATCTGTTCGTGTGTATGCGACAGGAGGGCTAGGTCATCTGCGAAGTCCAAATCGTCTAATTGATTCTGAGCTATCCATGTTTTCCTTCAGATGTCGAGGTCTTCATAATCCAGTCGACCACCAGAAGAAAGAGGAAGGGAGAGAGTTAACAGCCTTGTCTGACTCCGTCCTTACTTGAAATGCATCTGTCAGCTGTCCTCCATGCACGACCTTGCATTGTAGTCCGTCGTATGAGTTCCGGATAATATTGACAACCTTCTCAGGAACTCCGTAGTGTCGAAGAAGTTTCCATAATGTCCTCCTATCTACACTGTCAAATGCCTTTTCATAATCAATGATGTTGATGTACAGTGACGAGTTCCACTCAACTGATTGTTCGACGATGATCCATAGTGTCGCAATTTGGTCTGTGCACGATCGATCCTTACGGAATCCAGCTTGTTGATCTCGAAGTTGGGCGTCTACTGCATCTTTCATCCTGTTCAGCAAAACTCTGTTGAAGACTTTTCCTGGTATTGACAGTAGTGTAATGCCTCTGTAGTTTTCACATTTGCTCAGATCTCCTTTCTTTGGAATCTTGACGAGGTGTCCTTCTTTCCAGTCCATCGGCACTTGTTCCTCCTCCCAAATCTTTTTGAATAGAAGATAAAGCATGCTTGTGGTTGTTTCGATGTCTGATTTCAGTGCTTCAGCTGGTATGTTGTCGGGTCCTGCTGCTTTCCCGTTCTTGATTTGTCTGACGGCCATTCTAATTTCTTCCGTAGTTGGTGGATTGACATCTATAGGAAGATCTATGTGTGCTGCTTCGATGTCTGGTGGATTCATTGGAGCCGGCCTATTCAGGAGTTCCTCGAAGTATTCTACCCATCTGTTCCACTGTTGTTGAATTTCAGTGATTGGCTTGCCTTCTTTGTCCTTGACCGGTCTCTCTGGTTTACTGTATTTCCCTGCTAGTTTCTTCGTTGTATCGTAAGGTTGTTTCATATTTCCTTCCCTTGCAGCTTTTTCCACCGTCGTTGCTAGTTCTTCCACGTATTTCCTCTTGTCGGCTCTAATGCTCCTCTTCACTTGTTTGTTTGCTTCTATGTATTCAGCTTGTGCTTGGACTTTCTCTGCTCGTGTTCGGCTGTTGTTTATTGCTGCCTTCTTGTTCTTCCTTTCTTTGATCTTGTCCAGTGTTTCTGTAGTGATCCATTCCTTATGATGGTATTTCTTTAGACCGAGAACCTCTTGACACGTTGAAGTTAATGCTTCTTTGATGCTTTTCCAGTTGTCCTCCATAGTAGTTTCTTCTTCACTAAGTACATCGTGTAAGGCTTGGAACCTGTTATTGAGAACTATCTTGAATTCATTGAGTTTGTCAGTATCTCGAAGGAAGGCAGTATTGAACCTTTGTAGTGCTGATTGTCCAGTTGTTCTTTAGCTTCAGTTTTAAATTGGCCACAACTAGGTGGTGATCTGAAGCTATGTCAGCTCCTCTCCTGGTTCTCACATCTTCGATTGTCCTTCGGAATTTTTTATTGATGCAAATATGATCTATCTGGTTCTCTGTGGTGTGGTCCCGTGGGATCCATGTAGCTTCGTGTATACGTTTGTGTGGAAATATTGTTCCACCTATGACCAATTTGTTGAATGCACATAGATTTGCAAATCTTTCTCCATTTTCGTTTCTTTCTCCCAGTCCATGTCGTCCCATAATATCTTCATATCCAGTGTTGTCTATTCCGACTTTGGCATTTAGATCTCCCATCAGAATAGTTAGGTCCTTTCTTGGGCATTTCTCAATGATTGACTGCAGCCGCTCGTAGAACTGATCTTTAATTTCGTCGTTGCTATCATTGGTGGGTGCATAACATTGGATAATATTCATTAAGACCCCCTCCTTCTTTGTTTTGAATGATGCTTTGATGATTCTGGATCCGTGAGATTCCCATCCTACAAGTGCATTTCGTGCTACTTTGGACAGCATAAGAGCGACTCCCTGAGTGTGTGGAGCATTGTCCTCTTCGTGACCGGAGTATAGCAGCATCTCTCCCGTAGCTAGCTTTTTCTGTCCAGCTTGGGTCCAGTGGGTTTCGCTGATTCCCAGTACTGCTAAGTTGTATCTCCTCATTTCCATTGATATTTGACTGGTCTTCCCGGTTTCCCACATTGTTCGAACGTTCCATGTACCTATAAAAATTTTTGCTCTGGTTGTTAGAAGGGGCATCGGCCTTGTGGCTTCCGAAGGAACTCGGCTTTCACCATGAGGCGTCATAGTTCTTCTAAGTTTATTTATTTATTTATTTGGACACATAAATATTGGTACAAGAGAGCGCCAATATATATGCGCCACACAAAACAATGAGAATTCGAAGAGAAACAGTAAAAAAGAAAGAGAACAATAACGAAGAGATTGGTGTAAGGTAGTGTGGTAGTGATGAGGGAACGGAAACGTACAATCGGAAGAAATCTTTCAGGTAAGGGAGACACAACCACTTTTTATGAAGAAAGTAAAAGAAGATTACAACAGGATCGCCATTGGCTTCTATTCTGAGCCATATCTGATAACGTCTCTAGCCACTGTGTAGCACCATCTCTCGGACCCCAACCACGGAGTCGTGAAGGACCGACAGAAGCCAGTCCTTTGCAGCTTTCTTTCATACCACGACACCATGTCATGCACTGACCACCTCTCCGCTTCTTCCAACCAGTCCCAGAGTCGGCAAATAATGCACGACGTGGAATTCTCTGGGATGACATTCGGAGAACATGTCCAAGCCACAGAAGTCGATGTTTCAAGATGGTGACACCAATTGAGTTATCATCTCTGTGCCCGAACACACGATGCCGAACCTCTGCATTACTAACATGGTGTTGCCACTGGATGTCAGCAATCCTTCGGAGACAGCGATGATCGAACACAGAGAGTCGTCTAACATCCTCAACTCGGAGAGACCAGGTTTCACAAGCATAGAGCAGAACTGCTCTCACCGACGCGTTGTAGATCCGACCTTTTACAGCCAGACTAACATCACGAAGGCGCCAAAGGTGGCCCAGATTGGCATAAGCCGCTCTGGCTTTCACTATACCTGCAATGATCTCATCACTCACACCACCACCAGCACTTATGCAGCTACCTAGATACACGAACTTCTCGACTACGTCTATCTGCTCATCATCCAGGGTGAGTACAGGATTGGAATCCTGCCAGTCTTGTAGAAGTACTTTGCACTTCGAAGGTGCAAAGCACATACCATGCCTACGGACAATGATTGCCAACTGATTAAGTGCGGATTGCATGCCTTGGGCATTATCGCACAGTAAGACAATATCATCCGCATACTCAAGGTCGAGAAGTCTTTCTCCAGGCAACATATCCACACCACCATTACTTACATTCATCAGAGCTGTTTCCAGAATGTCATCGATGGCAAAGTTGAAGAGGAATGGTGAGATTGGGCAACCCTGTCTAACCCCACTGCTCGAATGGAACAATGGAGAGAGGTGGTTGTATGCCCTCACTCTGCCTGAGGTATTTGTATATAGGGCTTTTAGGATGTTAATAAACTTCTCAGGCACACCCTTCAATAGACAATCCCAGAGAACAGCACTGTCCAACGAATCGAAGGCAGCCCTGATGTCAAGAAACACTACGATTGTTGGCCTTTGATAAGTATGGCGGTGTTCTAACATTTGGCGGAGGATGAAGATATGATCAATACATCCTCGACCAGAACGAAACCCAACCTGCTCCTCGCGAGTCAATCTTTCTCGGGTTTTGAACAACCTACGAAGTATGACGGAAGCCAATAGCTTGGATGCAATCGGAAGTAGACTTATCCCCCTATAGTTGTTACAGGAACGACGTGAACCCTTTTTAAAGATAGGGACAACTATCGACTCATTCCATGACGTTGGTACACTCTCTAGTTCCTAAACCTTTGTAAACAACGTTGTCAATTCCTTAGTCAAAAAGTCACCACCATCTTTAAAAAGAGCCGGAGGTAAGTCATCTGGGCCAGGTGATTTGTAACGCTTCAAGAGTTGGAGTTCCTTGCGGACTTCCTCCTCGTTTAGCGGATCAGTCGTCACCGGCCATGGAGGGCAGGACAGTCTGACCGATGTTGCTGGAGCAGCAGGCCAGTTGAACTGCCCCCATCGTCCAAGACGTCGATGGATGTTAGTGATTGGCATCCCATCATCTTCGTAGATTGTTTCACTCACACCAGACTTCTTGCTGCCAGTGGCTCGGATTAGCTGGAAGAGCTTCCGGTAGTTACCAGATGCAGCTGCTGCTTCCAGCTCATTAGCACACCCCAATCACCAGGCTTTTCTGTCCTTACGCAAGCTTTGCCCGATTTCATTACGTAACAGCCTTCGTTTATGGTCAAACTCACGGTCACCCGGAGTAGACCGACGGGCTTCAATGAGTTGTAAGGAACCTGCAGAAACCCAGTGCTTAGAAGCGGGACGTTTCGCAAACCCACAACTGACTGTTCCCGCCATTTTCATGGCGTCATGCAATTGCAACCAATGCTCATCTATACTTTTCGGTGGAGTGGTAGCTAGCCTAGAGGCTAGCTCGGTTCGATACTTACTTGCAACAGAAGTTGCAACCGGCTTGCTAACATCAATCCGTTGATGGCGGTCACTTCGTTGGCCACTGAAAAGTAAGGCAAGATTGGCGCAGGCCATGGCATGGTCAGAGTCCAGATAGGTACTCCAAAAGGAGCGGCAGTCTTGTACACAACCACGCCAGCGGTAGCTGATCGCGATGTGATCAATCTGAGTCCAGGCTTGGGATGCAGAGGGAGGACGCCAGGTGGCACATCGGCGATGACTGTGCCGAGAGTTAGTGCTAGCCAGAAACAGGTTGTGGTCTGTGCACAGTTGCAGTAGACGGTCCCCGTCCCCGTTATCTGACCTGCGACCAACGAGTCCCCATCGGCCACCTAAACGACTCTCTTCTGTACCTAGACGCCCGACCTGAGCATTCAAGTCTCCGGCTAGTACCACAATATCTGTCGAACGCACTTTCTGGAGAAGAACAGATAACTGGTGGTAAAACTCATCCTTGATTGCATCCGGGCTGCAATCTATCGGGGCATAGGCGGAGATGACGAAAAGACATCGTTTCTCACGCCGATTTCTTCTCACTTTGATGGAACTCTCTAATCTAACAGCACATAGCCGACTGTTAATGGGGATCCAATCGACTAGTGCTGCCTCAGCTCTAGCGCTTAGTGCGACACCAACGCCAGCAAGACTAGACGAAGATGCCACAGGGTCCCCGGATAAGCGCACGTAAAACAAGCTTTTTGAAGCGATAGATGGAGAGCGAATTTGTTGTACTTCGCCAGAGTCCTGAATACGGGTCTCGGATAGACAGTAGACATCGATATGAAGACTTTCCGAAGACATAGCCAGCCCTATCTGTTGTCCGACCTGCATAAATGTGCGAACGTTGAAGGCAGCCAGTTTGAATGATGCACGTGGTTTCAGAAAAACTGCTTCAGTCCTCGTATTCGGTGGTAACATACAATTTTCAACCGGACAGTGACTCGAGAACGTTTAGATACAGTCGAATTTCCACCAAAGACGAGCCGCTGTATAAGTATAAAAGAGGGTGAATAATGTGGAAAATAATAATAATAATAATAATAATAATAATAATAATAATAATAATAACAATAATGACAATAATAGTAGTAATAATAATAAAGTATTAATAATGATAATAATTGTAATGATAATAATTTGAATCAATTGATTGTTTTTCGAATCGAGAAAAGTAATTTCCATAGGCATAGAGAGTTCATGAATTTGTGTGTGGGCTGTGATACTGCCCGGGTGCCCAAACCGAAGCAGGTGGTTATCTTAGGAGGCCACTCCCCGAGCCTTTGACCTAAAGGTCTAACCCACAAGGCAGTGTAGCATCGTAAGGAGATGCAATCCCATGGTAGCAGGTGACCAACGATTGGTTCATACGCCATTTGTTCCCGCAGGATACTGGAACCCATGTGCACCATTGGTTTGGGATCCGGTTAAAGCGCCGGACATTCGCTTTTCTTCCTCTCATTTTCGTAAACAACACCCGTGGTGCGAGAAGGCAATAAGTAGGACTTCCATGGCAGAAGCTGTATACGTGCGGCCGTGTGAGAGTATTTCGAGAGGGAGAGCGGACTCTCCCCACTCTCGGTCGTACCAGGGCATTCGGGGGCGTTCTTCTAAATGAAGACCTAACTCCCAGGGCAGAGTTTTAATGGTTTGAGTTATTTTTTCTGGTTAGCGTTTTTTAGCGAGTTAGTTTTCTACAGGATGGGGTCGCTAACCCCATTCTCAACCCTCCTCAACCCGGGCATGGGACTGGCAGTAACTCTAGAAGAGCTACAGGCTGAGTTACTAAATATATATGCACCACACAAATCATTTGATTTGCGTATAAGGTCCTTAAAGATACATAATATTAGTTTGATTCAACTCGTAAATATCAGCACTCTTCTGACGCTTTATTCAAAATCACTGTTGGTACATATTATTTTTTATGAGTATCAAGGGACTAAAAAATAAGAGTTTAGTAAAGGAGGGTAATTATTGAACCACATCAATCGTTATTGTCAGAACGTTTTTTTGCACCTATCCAATCACCATTATATATATATATATATATATATATATATATATATATATATATATATATATATATATATATATATATATACTTATTCCTGTTGTCTTTAGGAAAACTACGCAGACAGCCATCAGTTCTACTAAACCTTCAGCAGAAGACTGTTTGACAGAACCATTACCACTGGGGTCATGTTTGTTCTGTGACCGCTATATATCACTGAATTATTTGCCAAATGAGTCGCTTGATAGTGCCAAACAAAGTGATTTAGCTAAACGTGTCCTAAATCACATGTTCGATGTGCACAAATTTAGTGTTCCATTTCCAGAAAGATTAACCGATCCTGCCGGGTTGTTAATTGAATTAGGACGTATTGTGGGGGAAGAACGCTGTTGCTTGGCTTGTGGTCGTCAGTTTTACGGTAGTTGTGTGGAAGGATCAGACAATGCTCGGATCTCCCTGTCTGCCGTCCGCAGTCATATGTTGGACAAACCTGGCCACAAACAAGTATGGTATGGAGTAGAAGACCCAGTCCAAGTGGCATTATTGGTAGCTAAGGCAGAAGAAGAATCAAATGACGATTGCAAGATAAATTACCCTAAAGCTGCTCTTGCAGGTGGTGAGCTGTTTAGTCAGTTTTACGATCAGTCAGTCCTTGCACCATCTTTCATACTTGTAAGTTGTTTTTTATCCCTAATTGGTGAATTAAAGCGAAGCTTAATTACTCAAGTTATCCAGGAGCTTATTCATGTAAACTAGAATCTTGAGTTAATCAGATTTGTACATTAGTAATCAAAATCCTACTTGTTTTCACTTTTGTATCAATCTCATACACGGGACAACGGTGGGTTTCTTCTCATCTTTAGCTCTTTTAACCTCTCCATTTCGAGACATTTAGTAATAACCTTACTTTTGGGAACAAAAATTAATCTACCTGTATATTCATAAAGAAAGATTTTGTGACACAATGTGACAGGCTGTACGCTAGATAAATAAAGTGACAGTTTGGAGATACGGAAGTACGAACAGTTATCATTAGTTCGTATTAGTATGACTCCACGTATTTAGAAGAGAGAGAGACAAATTAGATGGTAATTTTTGCCTGGAAAAAAATCAAATGTAGTTAATTTTGAAACGTCACTTCACATACATACCCTCTTTCGTATTTTTTGCAGACAAGTTTTAAATCGCCGTATAAATTTACTGCAAGATAAATAGCTATTAGTATATAATCTTATCATTTCTAAGTCATTTATTTTACAATTCATCACGACTCATTGAGTTCCTAATCAATACTCTTATCTATTGAATTCTAGTCAGATGATGAAGACGTTTATGAAGTACGGTTACCATCTGGTACTGTTCTAGGTCATCGAAAGATGAGAACAATTTATAAACAACACTTGGCTGCTACAGATGGAGCTAAATTATTGAACCGTGATAATGGACAGAAGAGCGTTTCAATACGACGTCCAGACTTCAAAGCCTTAATACAGAATAGATCTAATGCCGATTCTGAGAGACGTTTAAACGAACAAAGAAAGTACTGGGATTTAGTAACTGGTGTTCAAGGTAATTTCCACAATCGCCTTCATCTTCGTCGACAGTACTAAATATTTGAGAACTTAACAAAATGTTAAAAAATCTATTTGTATAATCTAATATGGTTTTCGTTCTTTTTCTGTTAATTTATGGCCTTGTATATAGTCACTTAATGTAGGTTCAGTAATAAACTAGTTATATTTCTAATATGTTTAGGATCATGTTAATCTGAGAATCCTAAAGTTCACTCTGATCTGGCTTCCATCAGTGATGAAAACCTTAATCTACCATAATTGTAATACTTTATCGTAGAATATTAAAATATTTTCGTCATGACATGCCTATAGTTATGTTAATTTGTTATTAAAAGACTGGTAAATCAGTAGCCCATAAATGCCCTGGTACGACTGACAGTGGGGAGAGTCAGCCTCCACTCTCGAAATACTCATATGTCCACGCGTATACAGCCAGAGTCAGAGAAGTCCTACTCACTGCCTTCTCGTGGAGGAGGTGCTGTTTACGAAATAGGGAATACGAAAAGCGAATGTCCGGTGCTTTAACCGGGTTGGTGAATATGGAGGATCGATCCACCTAGGGGAGTTGGAAAACCCTGATTCCAAACCAATGGTGCATATAGGCTCCAGGGTCCTAAGGGAACAGAAGGTGTATGAAGTAAGTGTTGGTCACCTTCTGCCATGGGACTGCATCTCCTGACGTTGCTCATGTGCCTCAGTGAACCACCTGCCTCAGTTTGGGAGTCTTGGCACTACCCCAGCCCTCACACAAATCAAATGACTTTTGTGGTGCATATATATCTGGTGCCTCCTCGTACCAATATTTATGTGTTTAAATATATAAAATAAAGTGGTAAATCAGTTTCGAAGTTCCTAAGCTATCTCACAGATTACGTATGCGAAGAAAAAGCGTATGATGATTCCTAATGCTCTGCAAAACCATTGTTACTATAGTGGAGAAAGTTTTCTCACTATTAGCTTTTCAATTTCATCATCAGTATGTTCATATTGGTATCAATGAATTTTAAGACATCCAGGATTGTATATGCACCCTTTTAGTTTGTAAAAATGGAAATGTAATCAGATTCAAAAATTGTATGTTTGGTCACTTGACGGGAAATAAGCTCGTACTTCTTCAGTTTGTCTGCTTATTTAGCTTGCTGTGCAGCATTGTTAACAAAGTATGACAATTGAAAAGTACTATGAACTAGTAATATTGCACTTAAACGCAACGGTAAGACCCGAAAACGTCTGAATTCAAAACCAGAAGTATGATGCCCTATTACAAAATAATCACAAGTAGTAATGAAATACTTAGTGTCCAATCATTTAAATAGTCATTCACAACACAGGCTTACTTCACCAGTAGTTTGCAGCTCTTCCTGACACCATACCATGATTTCAAAGCTATCTAAGCAGATCCTTGACAAATTTAATCCGGAATGTAAAGTATTAGTGCTTCTCTGCCTTAAGTACTGCCTTGCTAATAGTCAAAGATTTGCGACAAAAGACAAGTAACCATGTCATTAAGTTTCAACTGATTTTGAAATTTAAAATTGTGAAAGGTTTTGCATAGTTTGGAATTTGATTTTACAGAAGGTTCATATGCACTAGTTTTTATTAATAAAGCTGTTTAACATTAAATATAACACACGAAATCTTGTCGACCTTTAAAAACATCCGTAGTGTGATCACACGCTTTCAGTTATTACTTTCTAAAAGATCCCATACTTCAATCCTCCAAGTGCTCTAGTATGGTGGGGTTGGGAGAACCCACCCCCTCTCGAAATTCTCTCATATGGCCATCGCTATGTAAGTTCTGTTCATTGCTTTCTCGAAGCCGGAAAATTGAGAGGACGAGAAGCGGATATTCGGCGCCTAAATCGGGTTGGTGGGTACTATGAAAACAGGGAAGTCTTAGAAACTTGATTTCAAACCGGTGGTGCACATGAATTCTGAAAGGTCACTGGCTGCTATAGGACTGTATCTCCTAAAGTTACTCCACTGCCTTGTGGACCAGACCTGTAGGTTAAGTGCTTGGGGAGTGGCTCCCTAGTAAAACCATTTGTTGCAGTTGATGCATCCAGACAGTAACCCAGCCCTCACACAAATCGAATGACAAAGTGTGACGCATGTATATTTGGTGCCTCCTTGTACCAATGTTTATGTGCTTACGTAAATTCATTCGTATTGTTAAAATATCATTCACGTTTAGGACTGCAATTGACCAGTCTTCTTTACCATATTTGCGGATTGCTCTGATATTGTCATTACGTTACAAGTATTATAAGCAGTCGAGTGGTGTCTAGAAGTGGGATGGATAACATGCGTTGTTTTGTTCGGGACTTGTCGGAGAGTTGGCTTTCATCCAGTACCATTCACTTCAAATGCCACCGCGTAATCGACTTAGCTACTGAGTCTAGATTAATTTGTATCAATTGTTTGAATCTTCCCATTAGTGATTAGGACCCCAAATTCCAAGTTGTTTATTGAGGATAATCTCACTTAACTAGCAAAAATTCAGCAATTTCAAAATCCGACGATCCACGTTGTCGTTTTAGATTTCAGTGTTATTAACTATTGTAGGTTTAATTTCTCCGAATGCAACGATTGTAATAAATACTAAATAAGCAGATTTTTGCTAACTAGTCATGTAGCTTCATTGTAAGGTTTGTAGCAAGCGATACTAATTAATGTTCCATCAAAAATCCCATCTAAAAATAGACTTAGTATCGGAAGCGTACAAAATGTTGCTTACAGTTGATGAAAGTAATCGTACTATTCGTGCAGTATACATCAATCGGAATAACTCGTTTGCACAACAATGCGACTCATCCCTTGCAATGTGTAGGTGATGTTTGCTGAAGTCTACTGAACTTTTCTGCAAATAACTTAAATGCATGCTATGTAGAACAGATTTGCCTGCGATAGGTCGAAAGTACATTACCACTACATGGGTATCGATATCAAATTTCGAGGATGTGAGTTGAGTGTAACATGTATAATGAAGCTATACTTGTAGCTCAGGACGATCCTTTTGATTGTCCCTGTTCTGAGTTGGGTCTTTTAATTGCGAAGCATTCATTGGCACCAATATTGGTCGGCAGTATCGACCAGAACAACATAGGAAGCTTCGCAATTAAACCATAGTCTATGGTGTAAACGAGATTAATCTCCTCAAACATCTGATCTTCAGTTTATGGACTATACTTTTAAACGACTTAATTGTCAATGTTTAAAGAAATAAACAATAAAAATTGGAAAACTTCTGAGCTAATAGATCTTATTTCTTGTTGATTGATGCAAAATCCCTTCCAACGAAAAAGTACACAAAGAAACCTCTTCAGTATGTGAATCATTTGCTTTGCTCTCACACTACCTCGCATATATAAAATTTATTCATACAATTCATTTAAATACTGAATGTTAACAATAATACAAACGAGACAAATAGGATAATAAGCATGAACAACTTTGTTTTAAAAAAAATAAGAAGAAATGAAAACTGTTATCAAGAGTTCAAATTAAGAAACACTGAAAGGAGCAAAACATGCTAAATATTTATTTGTGTGTAACAAACCTATCATCATCCCTCATGGATTGAAAATAATAGTGAAAAATGTGTAAAACTTAAAGGAGAAGTGAATATTCGTTAAGCAAGATTATCCATACTATTATCTGAGAGCAGTAGATAAACGAATGATTGATTGATAACAATAACGTATATGTCAAATTCTAATAACCTCTAGATAATATGAATAGGAAATGAATAGCACTAACCAAAACTGATACAGTTAAGAATATATGGTCATATATGCACCTAGAAAGATGGATATATCAAAGTAGTTCAATATAATATAGGAGGAAAGGAATTGAGGTTATTGTTACAATTCGAAGTAAAAATTTCTAAAACAATTCACAACTACAAATCAAATTTTCCTAAAGTCATTTGTATATATAACATAGTACTGAATAAGAAGAAAAAAAAGATTAATAAAGAATAAGCTTTCATCACATACATAGCACAGATTAGGATACGTTGTGTAGTGTTTTTATTTACTGGCAAATAATAATGAATATGTAGAACATTTCAAAATTGATATCCATTCATGCGGGTTAATATTAGCAACGATAATGTACACAATCCAAAGAAAATGCGCAAATAAAGGTCATTTGGAAGAAAACTGTAAATTATGCATAAAATTAGGAGAGAAAATGTTTTTGCACGTTTATTTGGACAATGCTATAGACTAAAATGAGATAAATTTGTTGGAAAGTTATCATTTCTTCTTACTTAGAATCACTGTCATTTACCATTACAACAATACATTCAAACAGAAATGCATTGTCAGACATTAAATTAAAGTATAGTAGTAATTTTGCATTAGTTAAATAATATTAAGATATTGATTTCTCTGTATTGTATGGGTGTCAGGATGCGTAGTAGTGGTGTTGGTGGTGCTCAGTTTAAAAATCATCAAGAAAAACTGTAGACATGAAAAGTCAAGTTAATTTATTACCAGTGTATACCACTAAGGGTCATCATAGATACTTGGGGTGGCCCAGACCGTGTATTCGAGAAAAATACCTGTAGTAATGTAAACAAATTATCTTGATAGATTAGATATGTTGTCACATTTCTTAAAGAATAAAAATTATAGTTATTTAGAATTTAACGACATAAATAAAAGAATTGAGTATTACCTCATGCTTATTTGAAGGATAGTTAGTGTCTACCAAGAGATATCTAGTCCTGACACTCCAAGTAAGCGCTTTTATATTGACGTATAGAGTCTGTTTTACACAGACAACTAAAAATTTGATGGCTTCTATATTAAGCGTTCTGAAGTAGTCATAGTAATTTTACGGGTGAACATTTGCTAAGGGATTCAGAGATTTAGTCTCACTCGACCAGCCTATGATTCTGTTTTTAAAAACCTGTTCGACTGGAATTATCAGCTTTGTTACCTGTGGTCATTTCACTACTTCGTCAATCAAGTGTGCCATCGTAAAGCTAAGTATGCACTCTGAACAAATTAATAAGCAAAAGAGTTTCATTTCTTTTAATAGTTTTGGTTCATCATTATAATTGTAAAGTTCAGAAAGCGACCCAAGATTTCAGTTAAACCATTCTAGAAGAATTAGTTTGATGCGGATACATCCAAGACGATAACTTGTTCCGAAAGAATGGTACAGTTAATTTTAAACAATTCGGACTATTAGATAGAAAAATAAATTTAGAAGACTATCATCTGTAACACTCAGTGTAAAATAATGACTACACATTTTAGGGCATTTTGTGGAAAAAAGTCTTTGGATTTATTAAAAATATTCTTCGATTTAATGATCATATCTAATATACATGGAATGATCTAAGCAGAATTCTTGAATTGTACAACAGACCCATAGGATATTACCTTGCTTGAATATCTAATTCAATATGAAATCATACGTTCTTTCCAAGTGAATCAATAAAACAACTAACCTTATCATTACGTTCACAAAGAAATTTGAATTTCTGTTCACGTTTGTGCATGAATACTCCATCTAAGTGTCCAGTTTCAGCAGATCTAACTTCAATAGCTTTTAAACCCCAACCAAGTAATTGACCGGTAGATATATAGGCTACACAAGTTGGAACTTCACCCCACTGGATAACGATATTTTTTGTTAGTTTTCCATTAGTATCTACATAAACACCTTCAGCTAAAAAGAAAATCGATGCAAGAAAGCGGTTTTACAGTAAGTCCATGTTACTCTATGAAAGGTGCTGATCATAAGAAAATGGATTAAATGCAAGTTTTTACTTAATGTAACTATTATTGTTCTGACGATGGTCTTTATTCTTGACAGATAGAGCGAAGAACCACTGACAAATATGAAAAGTTCCAATGTTGGCAAATAAAATACATCAATTCCAAGGTTAAACTGTTTTCAGTGAAATGTGACTGTAAGAAATTCAGAAGGAAAAATAGTCGCAGTACTGGGAAGTTACAAACCAATTTGATGGCTTACAGTGTTCTATGTAAATAGTCTTAGCGAAAACGCCGATATTTCATGGAATACAAATGAATACGGCTGACAAGTCCCAGACAGTTTGCTTTCATTTAATCTATAAACACTAAAAATTTACTATTGTGGGACAATGAAATGTGAACTAATAAATCGATAGTAATACATGAGTATAAATAAAACTTACTGTCGTAGCATAAAAGTAACTGCATACCACCTGTATTAGGAAGTACTACTATACAATGAGGAGTAATATGTGAATTAATCTAAATATAAAACAAGGAAAAAGCAAAAAAAAAAGAAACTAAAATTAATACTTTAGGGGAGGGGGAAACAATCACTATCTTACAAAAACATTCAACAAGACAAGAGATTTGCAATTTTGAACGTAATCAAATTCGATTACGTGGTCGATTTCTTTAGAAATTAGACTAATGAATAAGTTTTCATCAAATAACTGTTTTGTTAAGTCTCTTTTCTCACGATAAATTTTTGTATGATAATTAAACAGGTATGAATGCTATGATAATCCGCTGTTGTCCTGCTGGGTTAGCTTCCAAATACCACATGATGTTGCGGTCATTTCAGTTAATGTATGATGTCACACTACATAGATATAAGCTGCTATTTTTTCTTACATAGTTCGGATAGGCAAGATATTACTTTTTTATAATAATAACTTTTTAATGAAATACACCAATCCCCAGTGTCCACATAAAAAAATCAATATTCGCGAAAATAAAACTTAGACTCCCTCATTATTACTTTTATTTATGTAAGAAATTTAGCATAGATTTGAAAAATGTTTGCATCTTTATCAGAAGCACAAATTTATGGTAAATGCCAGATGACTCATGCACACATATATCTAATTATTGTATAGTAAACAAGTTTACAAAACGATATCCTACCAAAGAAGGCATATATAAGTCGAATACTATATTTGAATCCAAGTCAATAGCATGAAAACCATCTGATGAACCATATACAACTTTTAAACGGGTGTTTTCTTCAACAGTTAAATCTACCAATAATGGCCGATGTTTGAGTTCAGAGAATCTCTGGTGAAAAATGAAGAAGAAATACAAGGGAAATAAAAATACGACAGATAGTCCTATAAAATATATAACACATATTTAACTAATAATAATAATAATAATAATAATAATAATAATAATAATAATAATAATAATAATAATAATAATAATAATAATAATAATAATAATAATAATAATAATAATAATAGTAATAATAATAATAATAATAATAATAATAATAATAATAATAATAATAATAATAATAATAATAATAATAATAATAATAATAATAATAATAATAATAATAATAATAATAATAATAATAATAATAATAATAATAATAATAATAATAATAATAATAATAATAATAATAATAATAATAATAATAATAATAATAATAATAATAATAATAATAATAATAATAATAATAATAATAATAATAATAATAATAATAATACAATTTCTGTGAATGTGATCGACAAGAAATCAAGACAGCGATTGGGGTAAATTTGTGGAATGACATTGAAGCATGTTTATTATAATGGTAAAATAGTTCAGTTGATCAATTATATAAAATGAACGTTCACCATTGTTATCTCACATTTATTGAATTAAGTTCCTTTTCTATCACAACCTTATCATAAAAGGCTATCATAGTATCCAATTATCTATGAAAAAATCTACTGAAAGTATTCACTAGGGAGGATGAAATATCACGTAAGATTAAGTCATTACAGTGTTTTAATTAGTATAGCTAGGTTTGTGGACATAGCAGAATTTTTATAGTTTGAATCGACCTGAGTCTAGCTAAACAACTACTGAAAACCAGGAACGACTTGATAGCTTTGTCAGTTTAGTATGGAATTCATCAACAGTGCTCATTTACAACCCCACCTGGAACCGAACCCAGGGCCTTCGGTATCGTTTGCGAGCGTTTAACCTTTAGATCATTAAGCCGACATCCGATGATGTACATGTTCGACTAAAATAGATTAGCGATACTGAGTGACCATCTTCGATTGCATGTAGTGGACAACTATATCATACAGGAAAATGTTGAACTCCACTAGTTATGGCTTCTCACTAAAACTGCGAGAATTGCATCTGGAACCTAGCCACCGGTGAGCATATGATTATTATTAGTAAAGGAAGGTTTGTGTAGATTGCAGAATTTAATAATTCAAATTCACTCTACTACAGTTTTACATCATTGATGAATATAAGAAAATTTTTTGCTGGGAACTAGAGAGCCCAGCACTAAATACTCTAAAATCCAGGATATCTGATAATAACATTAGTACTGCATATACATAATCGGGGTCCAGAATGAGTAATATGCGATCCCAGCAAACAAGAAAACTTGTGCGTAATTTAAAAGATTAATTGATGAGTGAAATATATTATTGGCCGACCAACTCAAATACCAAATACAAAGTGTTATGCACAAAAACATCACACTTCAAAAAAAAAACACAGAGAAAACTGAAAGAGGGATTAAAAGACTTGAGAATATTTGGAAAAAACACCAAAGCAAGAAGGCTGAAGGTTAAGTGTATGTTGAATAGAAATTGTTCAACTATTTAGATAAAATAAATAAATGGATAAATGTATTTCTATTTGAATTTATTATAGGCCAAATTACCTACAGTAACAACCATTTTCCTGTGACTCTCTCGCATTAGGGTCCAAAACAAAAACCAATGAAGTGACTATTTTTAGAATTCCTCTAATATTTTTCACACACAAAACTCTATTAACTGCCCTCCTCATTTAAATAAAACATTTGCGTTTCGCTGTTTGATCACAAAATTCATTCAATGTTATGATTTACTCGTCATATTGTTTAATTCTCAAAATAATGTCCAGTTAAATTAGAAATACTAATAAGATTTGGTTATAATGAAAACTTACTTTGAAAGCCATAAATTTATGATATGGACGAGGTGCCCAAGCATAAATCTCTACAGAATCTCTCAATGCGATGACAAGGAATTTAATTTTTTCATATTTTACTGTGAAAAGAAATTTTAAAAAATCGAAAGGAGTGAAAAAGAAGAAAACAAATTAAACTGTTACTGGTTTAAAAAAAATTGTTGTTTTATTTTTCCGAAAAAGTTAAGCAAAAACTAACATCATAAGAAGCATCCATACTGTTGTATAGTAAGTCTTGTGTATTAGCATGTCTTGGACTCCGCGTGTGGTAACAACATAGATCAATCATTTCCAAAACATTCACATCACATCTTATATCATCTTGCATGACAAATAAAATTCTATTATTCAGCTAAACAGTGCATATAATATCATAAAGGTGAAAATCATCCAACATACAGAATATTCGGAGCGACTATGTTTATAGAGCCAATAGGTCAGTAACGTCTCAGTTTTTAGGATATATTTGAAAAGTGGCTAAATTTTCGAAAAAAATTCTCTAAAAACACAAAATTATATATGGATAACACAAGATCGATATAAGCACTATTAAGGGACCTAAGACATCTGGGACCGTACGGTATATATATATACTGAGATGACCAGTATAAATTATATTTCAATAGGAAAAATAAGGGAGTGTAACATTCACTAAACAGTAACGCATAGGATACAATCGTATATATACATGAAACATTGAGAATCGGACTTACCAATTTTAAAATGTACAGCACCTTGTAAATTTTCACCGACATTAACCCAACCATTCTTCTTGTCACACTAGTTAAAAGAAAATGAAACGTTAGTAATCGATCTGCTTATGCAAATGTTGAGTAATGTTTAAAAATTCATAGGTTAACCTGAAGTTCAGCTGACACGCTTCGTTACAGTTCATTATTGAAAGAAAAACCAATAATAGTCCAAAAATAATTTTAATTTTAATCGGAAAAGTGGTTAGACTGCGTCACACACCATTCATTGCGGAGAAGAATTCAATAACTTCAGAGTTTGAAAATGATTATTTTCATTATAGTAAGTTCCATTTTCAGTTTCAATCAACTGGTAACTTAATATTTGTGTAATATGTTTTAGTGTAGATAACCAAGGAATTGAAAATTTTTTGATTTGATTTCTAATAATGTGTATGATTGAAAAGTCCTTCAAAAGGATATGCTTCAAAAAGAAATGTTACGAAATAAAAATAGTTGAATACTCAGACCTAAGACTTAGAGAATAATAAAAAGTCGATCTGTCTATACCATTATGACCGACTTTAAGTTATTATCTAAAATCTCCAAGTATGTATCGTCTAACAGACACTAACCAGGAAAGTTTGTAACTCCCAATATGGTTCAGACGAATAATCAATGACTTAGTCTGATCTCCCTTTGGAAATTTTCTCAAGCTGCTCTTTTATGCTAGTCAGCAGAACAAAATGACAGATTCATATTATTGTATACTAAACATTCAAAGAACACTATAATTTACTTACTCCTTCCGTTTTCATAATTTTACTACGAAGCCAAGATAAATAGTAGACGCGTACACGATTTTTACGTCCAGATATAGTAACTAAAATATTCTGACCTTCTAAAACAGCCATCCTTGAAAATCTTCGTCTTGTAATTAAAGAATAAACTACAAAATTTTGATCGGGAAAAAAGTAAAATGAAAACAAAATAGATGGGTGAAAAAACATCGAATTTTAAATGTGGTTTTATTAACTGAAAAAAATACTGTTCTAGAATCACGAGTTTAATGGTATACATTAAATACAACCCGAAAGTCAGTTTTCTTTCACGGGTCATTAATGTAGCAGAGTTTCTATACAATAAATGAAAAAAACATAAAACCTGAAACACAATAATGTAGAGCATATTTCTATTTACATTTAAAGAGATTATAGATTGTGTATCAAACAAAATGAGTTAGCCAAGTACTTTTGGAAATAAATCCATTCTGATTATTTTATAAAAACAATAGATGACACTCTAATAAAAATAAATTGAATTGAATAGCGGTGAATTTTTAGTGATCGTGTTACATAGTTGTATAAACTACTTCAAAGTTAATCAGAGAGTTAGTCAGTAATAACCAACAAAGAATCTGGATCAGATCAAGTCAAAGTATCATATCAGCAAAATCACGAACAATTATCAAGATAAATGTTACAGTAGTAGAAAGACTCACAGTATCAGTGCTAGTAGAAAAGATTAAACATAGCGTCAAAGCTAATAAGTAGCATGAATAATGAAATACCTATTTTCATTGATACGTACTATAATTAAGCTGCAGTTCTATGAGTAATGATATTTTCACATAAAAATGCACGATCAAAGCATATAAGTCGTCATTGATTGAAAGAAAAATCCACTCAACTACATTTTTTAGTTACATCATATAAGTTTAAATAAAGGAAAACGTACAAAGTTGCGTATTTTTTAAGTTTTTACTTTAAAAAATCAATCAAATTTTCAAATGAACACTCAAAATTCAGTGAATATTATTCCATTCCAACGATTTATGCAATAAGCATATCTCATCAAACAATAGGTCAACGCACAGCAACGACAAAAGATTAACAAAATGAAGAGATTTATATTAGATCCTCGAAAATAACATATCTTTCTCCCAAAATTCAATAAATATTGAGGATTTTATCAATATACTCACGAAATGTCTAGAGTTTGTACTCGCAGATTGCGCTTTATTTATAAATAAAACACGTCTTTACTATTTTTGCATACTTTATAACCACATGAAAAATTACTCCTAAAAAAAGAAATGAGCCATCACGTTCTACTTTATTGCAAATAAAATGATCAAACGACGAATTCATTTTGAAATCAGAAACAAACCTTCTTTGTCACACACAAATAACACATCTCATGCTCATCTAACTGATCTTCACTGGAATAAAACTTCAGGAAGATGAAATTAGAGAACACAAAATTTGAGTTTGAACTGAATAAAACACACCTAAAGACGTTTATCGTTTACATCATCAACTGGTTTTATTCAGATAACTATTGGAAACCAGGACAAATTAGGCATCTATTTCGTCCTAGTGTGGGCCTGCTCAGCAGTGCTCGTCAACTAGTTTCGGACAATTTCAACACATTTCTATTGATGTAAAATTTCATGATTTTGTAACATAATAATGCATGTACATATGCAATAAGATATATATATATATATATCTTGGGAATAACCATAGATTTTGAAATTTGTCTCAACTGTTATTTATTTTAACATATGAATATTGGTACAAAGGGGCACCAAATACATATGAACCACACAAGTCACTTGATTTGTGGTTTGGGTTGTGATACTGCCCGGGTGCCCAGACCGAAGCAACTGCAATTAAAATCAAAGCAACTCAACTTTATTATAAAACATTTAGAACAATGAAGATCACATTCCAACGAGAGTGATGAAGTCCCAAAATAAAAATAATATTTAGTAATCTTTCTATATTACAGAATTTGCTATAGATTAAATGACTTACCACGACCTTCACCACTACGATCTAATAAAGAAAGACCCGTTTCAAGACCAATCAGTAAATTTACACCCCACATAGATGCACACAAAATTTCCGAATTAAAACGTTTTTTATAAACTTGTATTTCCGGTGTATCATTGTTATTTAAACTAGAATTTGTTGTTGAAATATTATTTGAAGCAGTTGATATACAACCAGCACCACCGCTAATACTTGTAGGTAATAAATATGAACCAGTTGTAATAACTGTACTTGTTATCGTACTAATTGATGGTAAATTAAAATTCAATAAATTACCACATAATGAATTAGGCAAAGCGATTGATTTGATTAAACCACCACTGTTGCTAGATGATGAAGGATTAGAACTTGACTGTGAAAGTTGTATATCTAACTGGAAATCCAGAAGAGAAGAAAAGAAAGACGAATCAAAGAGAGAAAGGATTTTCTTTTCTTAAAGAAGAAAAAAGGTAATCGTATTAATTAACAAGAGTTATTGAAAAGATTGATTCAACACAATGACAATAATACATAAATTATAAATGATCTATATGTAAAATTCAATCAAGAAGAAACAAGGTGAGAAATCATACACAATGAGTTATATGAACTACGTGAGAAACATAGACAATAACATTGATGAGGTAAAGCAAATTAACAAACGTATGAAAGACAAACACTTAAACTATTGAGTTATTGTTGTACGTATTATTAAACATGGGAATCGGAATATCCTATAAGTTGTCAAGTCATCGAGATAAAAATTGAAATGTTCTCAAACTACATTTCAAGCTATCATCCCTTAATACAGGTATATACTTCAGCAAAATGCCGTTTAATCAAATATAATCACTCCATAATCGTAGAAATCAATTACATATATGTACAGTTATCTTACAAAACATGAATTGTGTAAGAACAGTGAATTTATTTCAGAACCTCAGTTTTAGTGTTTTGTATAGTCAAAGTAGTTGAACTGAGACTGGCTCATAATTTGTCTTTCGATTAAATTAACCGTTTTTTTATGTCTTATGGCCCATCAAATACGAAACCACCAATGAAAAACTGATTTCTGTGACCTTGTCCCTGTGCCAAACCAATAATTCGTTAACCAGAACTAGCGGTCTTGAGTCCTTATTGGTTCTCTGTACAGTAACTTCTTACCTAGTTCAGCTCGTTCAGTCCAGAATACAAATGCCAGTCTATTCTTTATTAATCATATATTTCAGACATACTTGGTTTATATACAAGGAAATCGGACAGCACCGCATCATAAAATGAAAAACGATAATTATGCAATATCAAGACAAAAGTGGCTGTGAGTATAGGAGACTGTAACTAACAGATTGGGAATAAATTATGAATGGTAAGTCGTATAACAGTAGTCACTAGGTCAAATGAAAGCATAAGAAAAAAAAGAATACGATTATATATCGTAATCTAGTTACTTTATAATTACTCAATAGAAATATATGTATTAATGGTTTATAATAAGTTCTAGCAGCTACCATTCACTTAATCTTCGTTTGGATATAACACTTATGTTATTCAAATGACTATAAACTCAACCAGTAGATGGGAATACGTATGTGTAAACTGTATCAAGGAGATTATATATATATATATATATATATATATATATATATATAAACCATATGATGTACAACTCATTATTCGTTCGGTTCAAGTCGTCAGCAGGAGAGCATGTGATATCCTTAGTTATTTAGTTATATTGGTATTTTAAAAAAAATTATTACTAGCAATGAATTTTATAATACGTACTAGTTGATGATAGTAACACTGTTCAAATTTTTTTTAAGGAATCAGTCTACGTGAATTTCGAATGTCTTTTTTTAAAAGCAGCTACCGTGTTAAATCACTGCACGTGAATTGATAATAATGAGTCGTGTTTTCTACAGATCAACAAATAAATATATGCATGCGTCAGAATAAACATCTTGAAAGATACTATACCATCCACTAAATTACTAGATTTTGCAACTGATCAGTTGAAATTTGAAGATGAGTATATATGACAAAATACAATTATGGCAACTACTAAATCTTTATGACTAACTAACCGATGAATATTTGTGACGAAAATTGTCCTGAAATACAATAATTAAGTAATGTATCTAGATAATCTGGGCTAATGAAAGGAAACAGACATAGCTGTATTCACTATGTATATATGGCTAACTTTATAAGTCCCATTTTGTATGTGTTAATACACTTTATTTATCGACATTGGTTTTTGATAAAATGGTCAGATGTGTCAGCAACTGTTTAACAGAGTTCGAGATATATAACACTAAAATTAGTTAACAACTTAGTACAAATTAAAAATCTCCTTAGAGCTCTAAAATATTTAGCCTTAAATAAATTTATAGTCTATTGATACAATAAATAAAGAACGAATAACAACTGAAGGTCATAAAAGGACAAACGATAACAAGGTAAGTAGAAAAAGTTATTTTTTAATATATCAACTCTAATGCATTCAAGTAAGAAAAAGAGGTCAAGTTTAATCACCTGGGTTCTCGATTTTTGACCTCCACGTGGACTTGGCTCTGAAACTCGAGAACCAAGATTATTGTTTGTTTGAACTGACCAAACTGAACTAGGAAGTGCTTTATTTGAGTCTGTAATCACTACAGACTGAGGAGAGATTTGTGGACTCGTTTTCTGAGCTAAGTTGGATTGTCCTAATGGATGTTGGTTGGTCGGTATATTTGTACATATATCAGTTGGTTGATATGATGGCTTGTTATACGGACCGCCTAGAACAGCAGAAGTAGCATCTGTAGAATGTGGTGGTGGTGACGGTGATCGAGTTTCTTGTATTTTTGTACATCCTGAAGAATGGAAGTGAAGTATAAATGAATAGCGATTAACAACAATCCATTCACAAAATTCTGTACTTATGTGGGACACTGATCTCATAAATAGGCTACACGATTACAATCTCAATATAGCAGATAAACTAGGAAGCGGTGAACTGATGTTTAATAGTTTTAGATAATAATATTCGATGAGTTATAACTCGGTGACTAGCTTATTGTAGCACAAAAGTGGACTTTTATCGTGAAGGAAATTCATTTTCTATTGCATATTGCTCATCGCTAAGTTATTTGTATCTTTAATAACTAATTCACATATAGAAATTCCAAAATGAGTGACGGCTGGTAATTTCAAAGTTTAATTCACTAAAATCTAATAACAATGATAGCCAAAAAGAAATAGATGAACGTGATCAAGGCTTTATGGGAATTGTTGTAAGGCATAGAATTATCAAACGCCAACAGCTACAAAGATATTCACTGGTTTATAAACTAAAAATGTTGGTATCTTTCACGTTATTTTACATGACAATTAATTTATTATTATTATTCAACAAAAAAGTTTACGGAACATCATAGTCATTTGGAGTTATAACATAGCTCATTTATTAAGCACAGGTTGATATGTACTCGAATTTGAGTTATACTTTAGTTGAATGGCGACTAATTGTATCACACAACTACCACAAAAACCGAAGTTGATGAGATGAACCTATTGGTTGAAAGCTGAGAATTTCAATCTCTTCATAACATCGTCTTAAAATAATCTGTCGAAAAATCAAACCATTATCTTGGTATCTTTAACATTAAATTTTTAATAGATTTAATGATAATTAAATGACATATATAGTTTGTTATACAAACACACAATGATTTACTCTCTATCCAAAATTATAAATGGACAGTAGAAAATCGATATAAGAATTTGTAAACAAGTTAGTGCATCTCTCTAGGGCAGCGTTGTTTACATACTGAATTGACCAATTTAATTTACATTTCAATGGTAAAGTGTTGGCAGAGTAACAATACATAAATTATATGGAATGAATATAACAAATATTAATTTTTAAAAAAAAACATACATATAACTAAGGGACAAGGATCACTTGAAAAATTATTTATGAGCTCGTATATCAAATATTGAAAGTAGATATTATACTAAATAACTAATAGTATTATTTTAAATGTCAAGTGCTTGAATCAACATCGATAAGCCTAAATCCTTGTGACATTAGAATGTATTTTGTTGACTGTAAAATGACTGTATAAACTATAGATTTACAAACGATGGTCATTGGTTAGATATATTCTAACATATTCACTTTTACTAATGATAAATGAAATATTTATATTACCTTCTTTTTCATTTGTAATTAATTTTGATGACGATGTATGCGGGACACCAATATGTGAAACATTTTGAGATGAACTTGTAACTTTCACCTTATCTGTACATGAAGACAGATCAGTTGTGTTTGGATAACCATTTGAAACAGTGTACTAAACAAAAGAAATAAAAGTATTTAAGCGAATAAATATTTACACTTATATATTACTGAACAGAAAGTGATGTCACATGGTCTATTCCTCACCAATTTATCAAACTCAACATCGAAGTTCATAATGCTAGATTTGGACCTATGTTTCTTGATACTTGGTACTCGTCAATAGGGTGTATTCCTCAATCTTGTAGGACTTGATGTTCTCTACATGATTTCAACATGGGTATCATAGACAGAAAGCTAAGTTACCATTGAGTTATTGGCGAAGTTGCTAACTTCCTATAGAAGCGAGATATTCTCAAATATTTTGAAATTAGCTTTTCTGTTTTACTTCGCAAACGATCTACCACATACTTTGTGTGAGGTACAATTTCCTATTGCTGATATTCTGAACTGAAATTGATCAATCTCTGATGGTGTATTTGTATTCTGAGTGGATTCACTCAATATTTTTAATATAGTTGGTGTGAGTCTTAGTGCAAAAACTCTAACGCTGGAATCCAAGAACATTCAGTTGATGAGTCCGAAAACGACGAGACCTACCTCATAGATTTCAATACTAGCTAAAACTCAATCCTTATAAAATCTATGAATTACATCTGTGTTTATTTCACTCGGATGCTAATTGTACTGAGCTGTGATCAAACCTACATTATGTGATAATGTGTGAACAGCTCAAAATAAAAGCCAGTAACAGTCCTACTGTAGTTTTCTTTTACATTTTTCGTAAAAGTATGGGGAATTTGCTTAATTCAAAAAAGTCTTCGTGATTGTATTCTCAGCTGAATTGTGTCTCCAATCCCACACTGTTTTTATTATACACCCCAATGATACTACATTTAAATGGTGTAAAGCATTTGAGGGGTGCCCAGTTGTTTCAGAATTTATATGTAATAAATAATAAAAAGTAACACACTTCGGTATACGAAAATGATGATTGTATATATAACCCCATCCATGAATATATATGTATAATATGTACATACACGTGTATTCTTATATAAACTGATCATTTTTATCTGTTATAGAGAAATGTTTAGCAAGGATAATCTCATAAACAATGAAACAATTAGACTACTATGGACGAGTAGAGAAAAATTATGAAATAGATTCTTTTTTAATTGCGTTCTTGACTTAATTGTGATTAGTAAGACAGAGAAAAAAAAGTGAATTTCATTTCAAAGTCAAATGGTTGGTTTAATAAACAGAGTACGAACATCAAGATTTGTTCTGTTTACATTTATCAAAGAATCAAGAAGTACGAAATAGTCAATTGTTAAAATTGATTGGATAGAAATAAAAGACTTAAAAAATAAGTATGGCTTGAATGGAATAGATTATTTTGATGAAAATATGCACAAACTAATTTTAATTCAAAACAAATTATTTCACTATGAAGATAAAAAAATTACATGAAGATTTTGTATGCTACTCATTTTAAAAGGATTAAAAATATTTGAAATGAAATCCTTCATGCTAAATGTTAACTTTACAGGAATCCAGTAAATTCATTAAAACGCAATTATTATGAAAAGAAATCTTATCTGGATCAACTCAATGTTCAATACTGTATTTGTAATTCAACAACGAAAGATTGTACATGCATATATAACAAAATTATCGGGTCGTATGCTTAAACGAATAGCTGCACAGCAACAATTAAGATAAGGTATATACATTAATTAAGATAATACTTATATTTATAGGCTACGGATACTATGAATTTTATTATTGTATATATTTTCTTATTTATTTAGCTACACACAGTTGATTGAAATGATCAAACTGTGGATTACAATGCTCAATAAAAATATTTGGCTTCTACTGTCGTGCATATACCTGGAAATATTATTGAAAACCATAAATATACTTACAAACATATTTTAAAACAAACTAAGAATTATCAATTTACGTTTATAAAATTACCTAAATATGATCTGGATATACCAAATAAATTAGGTGGATTGCTTAAAATTTCGTTTTTGTTACAACGCTTATTACAATTCTCCGGTGTTTACATTATTAGGGACCTGGTTGTATGAATCATATGAAAATGTAGGGGGCTTTAGTAACGTTGCATTTTTTTTACAGTACTCCCAGCATGCCTGAAGTAAATTTTTTTGCAATGAGCTGAAGATGTCATAATGTAGACTTATGTATCATATTAAATAAAACTATTATTATTAATATTCTTATGAGATAAGATTCAGAAAACCTATTGACTGGTCTTCAGAACACAGTAGAACACAACTGTATTAGGTGTACTTCTCAGAACATACTCCTCATGTGTTGACGTTACATTATCGTAAGAAAAACATTCTCAACAACACGATTTCGAATAACTTATCAATAATTTGACTTCAGATTGTGATTATCGTTAGTTTTGTTTTAAGAGAATTAAAGAATATTTGATATATACTAAGTAGATTATTCGTAGTTTTAGGTTCTCTAACTAAAATTGACATATAAACAGACAAATTTAACAGTGTAAATCGGCAACATAAAGTCTAAGAAGACTATTTCTTTTAACATAACAAGGTGCTTCAATCGAAAATGTATTTTTTTTAAAAATTAACAACAACTTCAAAAAAAACAAATTATGAGAAGTACAGTAGATAGATAAATGAGAAAAAAGATGTAGATCAAATCGTAATAACTAAAGTGATTTAAGGATTATGGTAAATTGATATAATGAAAATAATAGCAATAATAATGATAGTCGAGCTTACTTTAACATTATTATTCCCAGTTGATGGATTAACATTAGATCCAGATCGGTCAATTGTCCCAGATGTAGACTCAATAATCGATGCTAAACTGCATAAAGTTTCTTTGGCAAATTCATCTGATGGTCTGTTGTATTCACATATAGATGAAGTGGCAAACCCATGAAAATTTGTGGCGGATAAGACAAAATACAAAAAGCATTCAGATTAAATATTGGTATATAAAGTAATCATACAAGAAAAATACGGTTGAATTCACTGATCTACTCAATCAATTAATTTATCGGGTAACAAGTTAATGAAAAAAAACACAACTCATTTTGCATCAATTTGAATGTGAATAGTTACGCATTATCTTTAACGACCTCATACAATCTATGCATTTGTGCAGGCAATAGATGAAAGCTTGTTGAGATCTTTCACTGATCACCAATCCAGTGAAATATCAATGTTAACGACACATATAATATGAAAGAATGTTCCCCGTAAGAAATACTTCCAAACGATACAACCAATTTAAACTACAGATAAATTCAGAAAAAATGAACGACACAATATTAAATTAAATGTTTAAGGGAAGATTGAGATGTTTCAGTACTAATGGAAGCTGATTGGTGTACTTCTGGAATTTAACAGCTCAAGGGTTTAGTGATTCTAACTGAAAAGCGGTACAAGTTGCTCTATCATAACATAATACCATTCAAAAGCAGCTAACTGAGGGGTGAGATGAAAAACGAATTCTATTTTTCATTATAAGTCATCACTGAAAACGGTAGTATAAAATAATAAACATAAGGTAAAACGAATGACTGTGTAGTAAACTATGAAGGGAAAATCAAGGAAGAAATAAAACCGTCGAGAAAATTGGTGTAAGTTAGATTAGACAATTAGGAAAAAATCCACTTTAATTTCATTAACTACCAACTGATCAGTTTAGTCAGTTATATCAAAGTTGGTAAAATAGAATCAGACACCTTATCAAGCCACTAAATTGAACTATCGGTACTCTATGTAAGACAAAACTAAGCACTAACATTAATCAAACTGAACCCTCGTAATAAAACAAAATGGAACAATTCACAACTAGTAACTATAATGAGTTGGTTATTGATTGAATTAGGTTGAAAAAAACCTATTAAAACTTATCTAACGTTGAATAATTCTGATCATTACCAGCAAAAATATTCTTCAGTTATATATATGCAGATGACAATAATAAAATTACTGACCTTATAATGAGCTACTGTTAGCTAAAAAAAACACGATAGAATTCTGTCCCAAATATATAAGAAAAACTAGAAATTAACTGAGAAATGCGCTGATGTAAGTTAACACGTCTCTTAGAAAAATAAACATTTACGCAGAGAAGAGATAGATGAAGAAAACAAGTGCAGAATAATAAGATACTTTAAATGTGTATGAAAGAAATAAACAATGAATTCATTTTTCCCTAATGTTGAGTCTGTATCTATGCTTGACTAGTCTGGGATTTATTTCTAATACCTTGTAATACGAACATTTGGGCAGTAAAACAAGTTTATATGAACGCAAGAAATCCTTAAAAATTGGTTTAGATCACTGTGTGCATGAGTGTCAACAATGTATAACAGTTCTTCTATCATTATGAAAAATAAACTTACTGTACTAAAAGTTAGAAATTCCGTTTCTCCATTGATATAATCGACAAGATCGGACATTATAAACAATGTTATAGAATTGATTAAATTAATATGTAACGTAATAGGATCCTTTTTGTGTTATTATATTCTCGCAGGTGAATGGGTCAATTACAAATGTCTTATTATACCCCTATATTGTTTTACTCAAGTTAGTTAGATAAGCCGTCTATCCGGATAGAAATAGGTCGGTTGGGATTTGAACCTTCAATTCAGTAGTTCAAAGTAACGTAGTTCTACCATTAGGATACTGTCCATTCCAAACAACGTCACAAAATTTAGTTGGTGATATTTGGTAGTGGGAGTAAGATATGACTGGTCACTGAGCATGGAAAAACAGCCTACTGACTATTAAATTTGCGATCTCCACTTTTGTCATTGATTTGTACTCCGAACTCACTGGAAATGACTGCTCGTAATTAAGTGGAATAATGTACTGTTTAGCCTACACTCTAGGTCGTGAATCCGGATCTGATATAACATGTCTAGTCTTATAATCATACTAACATATCGTAGTATACTTGAGAGAGAGAATATCTTAAACTATCTGTTATATTAGTTGGTTCACATGACAATACAGAATGATCATAAGAAAACTGTTCAACTTATAGAACAGACTATTATCACTAAAAAACATACTATGTAGTGATGAATACTTAACTATTAACCTACCTAATTCTAAACTGTGAATGAATAAATTCATGATCATTCGATGGCTAAATCTTATTGATTGTTTATTATATAGAAAGAATAACAAGTTTATTATGGTCAAATATTCTGTTATTTTTTAAAGTTAACTTACTAATAGAATAGCAATAAATAAATGATAAAGAAGGGATCAATTTAGTTTAAATATCCGCCTTCTTAGTAAAAATTAACAGATTAATTCAAATTTGAAGCTAAAAAATCACATGTGGTTACAACTAGACTGTGTAACAGTAATTGTGTCCCAACGGTCACAATTTTGCAATTTCGGTTAAAATACTATCGAACATCACCATCAATAAACAAGTGCTTTCTCAATAGCATCGGTTTATAGACGATCAACCGCCGATAAAAATTGTGAAATTCACTAACTAAATACAAGTTTATGTATAAGACAGCCATATTTATTGTTACATCACTGATAGATTATTAGGTTTCCTAAACAAAAACTAAACAATGTCGTTTTCAAATCGTCAACCGAATGACTGGGAACCGAGAAATCAAACCCTCAAACTAAACAAAACATTTAGGGGTGAATGATTCACAAAAAATTAATGCAATACAAATTATTTCAAAATAACTAACGATTACTGGAACACTGAATACATAAATAGTACGCTAGTCATTTAAAAAAAAACTTACACACAAATACTAGAATTATAGTGATCAAATGAGCAAAACTACTTGTTAATAATTTAATATAATGGTTAGCAATAATTGTAATCACACAATATTGATGAAAAAACAATCTCTTAGCTTGTGTGGTGTTCGTTTACTGTATGAGTACATATATATACACACACACGCACACATAGTTTGAACCAAACAAATGCATATATTATGGGGTAAATAACACTTCAAAATATGAAACTTTAAAGTTTTAAAAAAGACGTTTTAATTGTTGTTGACTTTGTTAATTTTGGTAGTGATGGTGATGATAGTAGGGGAAATAATTCAAGGAATGCAGAACATAGGCGCATTTAACTAAAACAAACCAAAAACTAATGGCAAAAATAACTTACTTTAAAATTGAAAGACCTGGTGCAGAATAACGTCTTGACTGATTGGATGAACCTAACTCTAATAAAATATGACATGGCGGTGAAACCACAACAGTTCGGTGTACAGGTTTAGGAAAGTGAGATTCTAAGTAAAAAGAATGACGTTTAGAGCGTGGAGGAAGCGGTGGAGGCTGAATAATTGGTGAATTAGGCATAAGATTTATTGAGTGCACCACATTGTCACTTCAGTAATGAGGATTATTAAAAAAAGAATGTTATTATATTTTTTAAATTAGCGTGAAGTTAGTTACATATAAGAGCAATTTATGTTTTTGTGTTTTTAAAGGGATTATTCCATGAATAAAATAAGAAAAGAATTTACGGTAGCGTTATATAAAAGCAAGAATTTGCAGAAAGACAAAAAAAAGAAAAACAGGCACACAGTGAATAGGACGTGGGAAGAAAAATACAAAACAAATATGAAATTAGTCATGCATGAAAATCAATTATACAGCGTAATCAATTATCTAACTAATTATGGCTATTTCATTAGGTTATGATCAAATAAATAAAATTAATTTCAAGGGAACATGATAATATTCATGTTGTAGGAGGAAAAATATTACTAGAAACACTAGTACAACAGAGATGAATATTAGAGAAAAAACTTACAAGGTCCCCTCTTTATGCCATCTCACTGCTGCATTGGACAACGTTCCATCGTCTACATAGCATGAGGATTCATTTGTGACAGCACTACCAACATCACCATCAACATTTCTTATCGACTCATCACATGATGATCTTTGACGTGTACGAACAATAGATAACGTAGCCCTTAACTGTTCAGCCTCTTCTAGATCAGCACCATTTTCTTCTTCTTCTTCAACAACGATGACATCACCTTCATCTTCATCCTCCTCTTCCTCTCCTCCGCCTCCAGTGTCCTCGTCATCTTCCTCATCATTCTGTATGTTGTAAGCTCCATAGTTAAAGTCGTCAATCTGGTCATCATTAGAAGCGATGAATTGTACTGGATCTCTTTGTATTCTATCTAAGTCATCAAGCTCATTAGAATCAACATTAGTATTATGGTTCATTTGGTTGTTATTGTTATTCAACACACGAACATTCTCAACAACAGTAAGTCGACGAGGATCTATTTCTGAATGTCGCTTTCCATTCAGTATAACTCGACACGCATTTTCATGATTTTTACGTTGATTAGAATCACATGAAGAAATAGTAGAAGCAGAGGATGAAGAACAAGTGCTTGACGTGTGATATTCATGATTTGAACCAACAGAATGAGATCTACTCATTGTAGATGAGTTGCTTGTTGAATGTTTATTTTCCACATGTACTGGTGAACCCTCATTACCGTGAAATTCAGATGATATAGAAGAAGAATTAGTGGTAGATGACGAAGAAGAAGATGATGATGATGTTGAAGAAAGTGAACTAGATCGATTCCGTTTTTCAACCGCACATACTGATTCCATTGATGTAACTAATTCATTAGATGTTGATGATTTCACATTATTATTTTCATAAGATTTTTGTTGCTGGTAGTGTTGTTTTTGTTGTGATGATGATGGTTGTTTATCATTTGATTTTGTGTCGGATTTACCATTCAACTGATTTCGATTATTTTGTCGATGAGGGCTAGGTGAAACAGCGCCTAAATTAGTCAATTGTGCGGCTAATTGATCAAGTTCCTACAGGAGTAAAAAATATAAAAAAACAATAAGAGAATAATTCCATATTGCGATAATGGTAAAAGACAATACCGATATTTTTGTTCATATTACAACATTGAAAGCTATTTAAACAAAGTACGCAAGGAACAAAACTATGATGTATACTGTTACCACAATATGAAGAGTGAAGCAAAAGGTCAAATAGGTACTACTAACAGTAGTACTAATATAAAACAATGGGTACTATAAACATTGATAACTCATTCAGGACTGAGATTTTATTGACAATGATAATAATAATAATGATAGAACGAATATATCACAGGCATCTTAATAGTTAAAACCAATTTATTTGAAAGAAATATTAGTAACACACAAACTATACTAACAACGAAAATGAATGGGAGAGGAAATGATCTAAATGAATGTACATTGCACGTAAGTGAGGAAAACATTAGAATAATAATAATAACACTTATGCATCATAGATGCTACACAGTGAAAAATATCCTACCGATTGTAAACTAATCATTTCTTCAGGCTTTGTTTGACTATCATTATCCTCTTCAGTTACATTTAAACAGTTATTACATTCAGTAATAGGTTGAGATGGTTCATTTTTTACAAAGTCTATTTTTTCCCAGTTAACAGACATAGATGAGTCATAAATGCGGGAGATCTCATCCAAGTTAAAATGATATGTTGAAGTGGGATTTTGATCGCTCTCGACTAATTCTTCGTCATCATCTTCTTCAACAACAATAAACTCATCTGGTCTTGGTTTTGGTAGTCTACGCCTTAATAATCTTGGACCTAGAGGTGGTTTTGGCGATGTTGATAATGATTCAGAGGTTATAGTCTGAATAAATGATAAATCAGCAGCAGTTAAATTGTCATTGTTATTATCATTATTTTTTACTTCTATTAAGTCAACATTAGATCCAAACCAATCATTATCTACTAACGGTTGAGTAGTTCGTACAGTTTCATCTGAATGACTGAAAACATTCAATACATTTGTTTGTTGTTGCCTTGGGAAGTGATGAACAATATTTGATGTAGTAGTTAATGTTGTTTTCGTCATTAAGTTTAATGTTGTAGGAAGTGGTATAGTTGATTCAGTTCCATGATGCTGTTGTGATTGTTGTAGTTGGTGGTCCTGCGATCGCTGAGAGAATAAATTCTGTCGGAGCTGTTCTCTTAAATAAACTAATGATGCAGACGATGGATTCAACTGAGTTTGTTTAAGCCATTGGAATAAATTAATATGGAACTGTTGCGTACTAACATGCTCAGATGATATATCTGTTGATGAAACAACCGTTGAAGGAGAGGAAGTTAATAAATAAGCAGATGAAGATGAAACGATATGTGATGACGAAGAAATGGTCGGTTCACTATTTGTTTGTAATGTTGGCAAGATAGTGCCCACTTTAGTAACAATATTATTGACAATACTATTACTAACACCAGAACTACTTAGAACAGGTAATAATGATGCTTTTCCTATTGATTTTAATAAGTTATTCCGTTTTCCATACTATTATCATCAAAAAGCGGATCCAACCAACAACGCACAAAAATAGACCGTTTTTATTTAGAAATGGATATATATAATATTCGTGTAGATATACAACACCAACAGACAGATTATCATCCAAAACATTGCCATATCAATCGGTTTTTACAAGAAAACACAATCAGTGTTTATGTTATATAGATACCATGTGTCAACAAAAAACAAAATTACGGGACAACACAAGTTTTAACATTCAGAATTTTTCAATTCAAAATAATAGAAGAATGACAGCAGAAGTGATAATACATTCATTTTTATTAATCGGTTTGTTGTGATAGTTTCATTGAACAGTATAATTTACCATATGATATATAGTGAAAGAAGATGAAGGTTTGAGAAGGGAAGATGAACACATAGCAGATGATGAACAGATGTATAATACCACAGTGACCCGAATTAACGATACACATACAGGTGGATAATTACAAGCCGAAAATGAAATTATGGTGATACATCAAAAACGTAATGAAACGAGGATGAACGAATACGAAGACAAGAAAGTAACATCAAAAGTGAATTGTATTATATGACATAACCCCCACCCATCCAGATCCGTAAAAGACAGGTACCGCCATCGACGAAATCGTACATTATGCAAAAATGGGCAAGATAAGCGCAGCAAAAGTAGGGAGAAGATAAAAAAGGGAAAGGCATATGTTAGTTTCACATTATATTCTAAAAAAACATACATAAATGTAAAACTGTAATAAGATAATGCAAATAAGAAAATGGAAAGTTTACAGATCTAACTCATGAAGCAATCTGATCAAATATCTATGGAAAATCATTCTAGTCAAAACTAATTAGATAAGTCAAGCAATTAGAGTAAAAGGAAGGGAGGAAAAAGGGTACATATGTACAGCATACCATATTATAGAGCATACAAGAAAATTGGAATGAGGGCTATGGGGTCCAGCAAGAGGAGGGGTGTGACTGGCTTTAGCGAATCGGATTGGATCGATGAAGAAAGCTAATCTTACCTTATCAATCATTTAATGAAACAAACACACACATACGCGTATACATTTACACACACAATTGATTAAAAAAGACATGTTCGCAAATATACGCCAATACATAAACCATAAAGTTCACTTACCTCAAGACGCGATATCTTTATATTATATGAAACGAAAAAAGAATTATATTCATTGAAACAGTCAAATGAGAACCATGATTACCCACTAAATCTACAAGTTTTATGGATAACCTGTAGTGAGAAACATTACTACTTAATACATAGACAAGTGAATTCATACGTAAGACGTGATTATTGGGAAAACCAGGTAATCAAATGCATCGGTAACATGTGATGATTGACTTTTTATGCCTATAAAAAAGACAAGTTCTGATCAATGTAATGTATCAACTAATCCCTTATCTAACCCTTTAGTACTTAGAATACAACAATATTAACATGGCACTACTGTGCAATGGTGTACAACATCTGTCCTACAATATATAGAAATTTAGAACTGTTATGTGTAGTAGCAGTGTTGAAATCTAAAGTATATTATTCCTCAGTATTTTTGAATCGGTTATTCTATCTAAAGAAATACAAACTACAAATTCTCCATACAATTTTCCAACTCTTTATCAGTAGACGAGATCACTGCTTTTACATTAAATCCATTAGAAATGCTTTTGAAGAATGTTCGGCGGAATAAAGGTAAAAAAAAATATTTCCCTAATCCCAATGTGAAATAAAAATATGATCATCGTCTACTAGTATTGGAATTAATAAACTAAAAACCACAAATAAGAAACTGATGCAAGCACTTTATATAAAACAAAAGAAAGCATATACAAGATATAATACTTTAAAAAGACTTGAAAATCAAGTTTAAGGGACACTATTTTACATCAACTGTAGCAACAAACAAATATCCACCAGAATATTTTCTTTAAGATCAAGTGAAATTTTCAAGAGAATCATAATTATTTTTTTAAAATACATTCATTTATTAAGCATAAACAATGTAGTTGTTCAAGCTGTCACACTTCACATAAACATACTGAGGATAGAAATTAAAACAAAATGAAGAACATAAAGCCCAAAACAATTATAATATAAGTAGTAGTAGTAGTAATCAGGATATAACGCATAAGAAATATATTTCGAAGGAAATATGGAAAATTGAGGAATGTTGAGTATATGATTATAATAAGTATGGTATTTAGATTTAGATATTTTTAAAAACAAAAACTTTTAAGGAATCTGCATTTAAAAATAACAATCTTAAATCTAAACAAGGTCTTAAAATAAACCGATGAATAAAAACGAACCTCATATCCCGTGGACTGATGAATGAACTGATTTCTAACCCGGTTGTCATGTATCATCATATTAAGTTAATACAAAGTGAATGATATTTGAAAACAATATATTGAAGTCATTACTAAACATATATAATTGAATCGATATAATCTATTCATTTACCATAAGTTAGCATATATTAAAATGATAAAGCTGCTATTATTATTATTATTATTATTATTATTATTATTATTATTATTACTGTCTAGGCAAATTTATACAGACACTGGGTTTTGTACTTCGTACATCACGAGTATATAAACTAATTTATGCCACTTTCTTTTTCGTACAAAGTGTAAAGTATAAACAAAAAGTGAATTATAGAGGTAACCGATTACTTTCAACTTGCAGAATTCTTATGTATTGGTACGGCTTATGAAGAAGCATGATATAGTCATCGACTTAGAATCTTTTAAATAGTTAAAAATTAAGACTAATTAAATGAAAAGATAAATTATAATTTCAGATTAACGGATTGCAGGTGATTTAGTAATATTAAACACGGTTATTAACCCAAGCTCATATCGACTGAAAAATCGGAGGAAATTATAAAATAAACATTATAATTATTAAAATATGACATCTGGCTTGATGATATACAAAACAATAACTTCTGGCGAATACTTTGCTATAATCAGTAACCTAGTTCTGATTCCACTGATAAATATTTCTAATTACAAACATACAAGTATAAATTACAACCTGGATATTATACTATTACAATACAGTATGTAAAACATGACTGTATGTTACTGGTAACTGTTTTCCCCAGAAAAAAGTTTAATTATATATCACGCTATTGAGCTAGACAATGACTGATTGTACAAATTAAGTTACCCAAATCAAGTTTAAATGAACAATAACAATGTGAAATCTTACCTCAGATTTTTTACTTATGTGATTTGGATTGTTTTGCTGATGTAAATGATGAGCATGATGTAATTTTTGGGGGATAACACCTGAATTTTGACGATTAGACAATTGTTTACTTGCACGTGAACGAAGTTCAGGTTGATTTGAATGCATTTTATGATTATTACTTATACATGTACTGTTATTTGCGACAGTTGTAGTGATGTTCTTAGTTGAAACTGTTAATAAAATAATTGAATTTATATTGTTCGAATGAAATTCATTACAAATGAGAATGAGTAGATGAAAAAAGGGAGAAACAAAAATATATCCGATTAATTATGTTAAAATTTATTATACATAATATTATTGTTATAAGTAAAACCAATTACAGATAAAATTGAGATAGCTTAATAAATTCAAAGAGAAATGAAGAAACATGTTTTTTTAATTGAAAGAATAAAAATAAATTCCTATTATGCATAATGAAATAAAGTGTGAATCTGTGTCAGCACCTAATATTCTCATTACATTATGAACGGTAATTATACACGTTTAAAGTTAACAAAAATAACTTAAAATTACATACAACAATATCATGTCTAAATACGGTGGATCTAGACATTTTTCTACTTTACATAAAATTATTTGGTATCCATGATTAAAAAACACAGAGATTGTAAGCTAGAAAAACCAATATTCAATGGATAAACTATTCCGATTGATATTTTCTATTTAGAACATTTATTTTGACTACCATTCAAATGAAGTTGGTATTTTAGGAAACGAAAATATAAAGCAGCTCGTTTTAGGTTTTGAAATTGTAAAACAAAAAAGATGATAAATTACAAGACGGAACATATGAAGCATAGTTACTTAATATGATACAATAATTTCCGATTGATATCATTAAAGAAAAATCAATATTGTAAATAGGAATGAAATATTTTCTTAAAATGATGAGCTCAACTTACATATCTATAAAAGTGAGAGAAACACAATGTATCTTTTTTTTAAAAAAAAAAAATATGTATTTTACTGAAAGTAAAGCGAAAATTCGATAGCTGTTTGTGTCATTTTTTGTAAGTCTATTTAATTCCTTTTTTTTAATGTTATTATCTATCAATATAATGGAAACAAAGGTTTAGAGAAAGAAAGAATTAACAGTGATTATCCTACAGTTATAAAGGAAGAAAGACTATTTTCAGAATTTATCTTTATTTGGTTAATTTTGTTGTGTGTTTTTTCATTAACTGTATTGTAGAATGAGTAATGTTAGTAGAGAGACTATAATTTATGGACGAATAAATCATATTTAAGATAGCAGATCTTGGATTTTGGCGCGAAATTCATTCACTCATTTGGCTAAATACCATTTTGGCATTATAGCTGATGTCAGTTCATGATGAAAATGTTCATTCTAATTCCTCGCCCTAACATTCAACTGTGAATCCTAATCTTAATTCCTCACACTTATATATAATCTTCATTTAACCTTGATAAGTGAACATTCTAAGGTTATTTTGACGTTGCACAAAGGTCGTCCATAAATTAAAGTCTTACCATGTTAGATTTTGTAAAATATAACTTATTAATGTTTCGATTGATAGCATTAATTCCAATAAACACACTAACAGCCTTATGTGGTAGAAAATTTTTTTGTTAGTTTAATGTGTTTAGATAATAAAAGTGAAACTTATTCACAGTATTATGATATCGTGTATTAAATTTGAGTATCTAATTGAATTAAATATCAAAATCAAATGTGAAGTCGAGAAATTCGATTACATTTATTTTCATCTCTCCTTAATTACAACTAAATATTACCTGATATGTTATGTTATTCTTAGTGAACCATCTCCGTACATTAATATCAATTTAATTTTAACAAATAGTAACTAAACAATATAACCCATGTGGTTAGACCGCAGTTCATAAGAATTTAACTAAACAGTCATTTAAAGCATATATTAACCACTGATGGGCAGATATGATTAAAACATTTTATCAAAATTACTTCCATTTCAATAGATATCAATTGTCGAATATTAACCTGGATTTTGATACCTGGTCGATCAGAAACAAAGTTACATCTGTACTTTATCGAAAGTCGGTAACTTATCTTATTTTTACGGCTTCGGATACAAAGCATGGCGCGTGTAGTCGATAAACAATATGATTTACTTTATCCACAAAAAGGATACTCGCATTCGAGTGTAACTTAGATTAACTTAGAAACACGCTATTTATCCAAACATGTGTATTCTTGGTTTTGGAATGGATAATTTATTCATTTAATAATAAGTATTTTTGGCTAATTGACTTATTTTTGGTAGCCGTCTGGTTAGCTTTAGCGCGCAATCACCAGTAGGGCACTACATAAATTCCATTGACCGATAGAGCATTTACTCTTTCGTTCATTTATTATTATGACATGATAATAAAAGCTCGTCAAAAGACATGATAAAAGGTAGAATACAATCCACGATTAAAGTCCCCGGAACTAAATAGTTACAATAGGTAGAAATGATCTAAATCTCTCATTTTTTTCTCCATGTTCAATAATAACTCCTTGTAAAAACGAGATTCTACTAGAGGGAGAATAAAAACATTTTATAATGTTGGGATACGGCATTTGTCATCTAATTACTTTTGATTAGTTTGGGATATGCATTTATTAATTATTAATATGCACAAAACAACAGCCTTCCTATTTATCGCAATTTCAAATGAATAGAAACATCGATACCTCTATGGTTGAAGGAAACAGTTTTAAGGATAACAGATCTTAATAGCTCAAACTGAGGATAATTCATCCAACTAACAAATTAGCTGGTTGCTTGCATAGAAGTAGGTTGGAAGAAAGTTATAGGCAACCAAATCAAAAGGTGGTATCAGTCCATGATATCAGTGACTGTTGGACTGAATCATGTTGGTAGATGCATACCGTCTGGTTGAGGTACGCGCGATTATAGTGATCAGTGAATGGAGTTGGGTGACATGGATTACACTAATGCCAGGACTCTATGTTGACTATGACAGACAACTGAACTAATATTTAGTTTTACGTGATAGTAATTGTAAGTATTTATATGCTGCTATATTTAGGAGACATAATTTTATTGCAGAGAGGGTAGTATTTAGGTTTATATGAAGCTTACATACATATCCACGCAAATAATATGCTGAAAGAACTATTAAAACTAACCATTTTCACCAAGTAAGGATATTTGGTGTGCTGGAGATCGATTGCTGAATCCAGATAGTAAATTTGATGTTGCTGATTGACGAGCAAAGTTAGAATTAAAAACGTCACTTGTTGTTGTCGTCACCGTCGTCATTGTTGTTGTACTAGTCGGCACTGATGTTGTCGTAGTCGTGGTGGTGGTAGTACTAGTTGTAACAGCAAAAGCCATTGCAGCTCCACTAGACCGATTAACAGGGCTCGATATACTTGCGTTTACCGATGACTTGGGTTGGTTAGCAACTGGACTAGTTGATGTGATGATTGATTGGGGTAAAGCTGATTCTAATGGTGGTTTACGAAGATCTAAATGTGGTACAGCCTGTTCAAAGAGATAAAGGATATTTTTGAAACAGTGGAGGGAATTCTCAGCCCAGGGAGATCATTTTGGTGACGCAGAGTTTTCTGAATTAGATGGTTCGAATATAGAGCTCTCACTGTAATTCTGGACAAGATTTTACGAGCCTACTTCATATGAGTGACAAACAAGGCCATCGGAATGAACTGATAACACTTATGGAATAATATGATGTAGGGGCTGAAAATCTTGTTCAGAATGACAATGAAAGCTCCCTGATTAAATCATTTAACTGAGAGAAATCAACGCTATCAAAGGGAAAGGGATATTAAATTAGGAGATAATAAAATTGAACAATGGTCATATATGAATAGGCATATGAATATAACTAATTATAGTCTAGTGTACATAAGGAATGAACAGCATCATTTCCAAAATTCTATTAATCTTTTGTATTCTAAACAATTATTTTCCAGTTTAACTAATAACTGTTGTTTTCATTTTGTGGAAGTTTTCGCCACAAAATCGAAGTTCGATTAAAAAAACGTATTCTTTTAATATTATAGAATTGTGGTTGTGAATTTCGACAAGGAAAAAAATGGTTGAAGGCATTATGTTCACTACATGTAAGTATTAGTTCTACTGACAAGATTGTGAAAATGAGACAGAAGGCTCATTAATGTTTTTTGACAATACGACTGAGAATATTATTACTTTTAAATGTTGAACGTTATGGTGTTCTTTGCGTCCTAACAAATCAAATAGCAGGGTAGATTGTTCACAATCACATAATTTTAACACAACAATCTACAGTTGTTAGTATATTTAAGAGCAGTCTTCAGCTATATAAAGTACCAAAGCCACATACATTCATTCATTGTATTATTAACATAACTGATTCATCTAACTAGTCACTTATTATAATAAGAATCCTAAAATTCATCCGATAGCTAGTTGGAAACCACTTTGTTCAAGATATATTTGGATTTGTCCGTATAAAGAATAATTGAAATATTTCAACAATGTATCATCACTATTACAAAGACAGACATTAAATAACTTTTTACTAAACGATATTTTCCAAACACAAACAAATAGTTTATATGATAATTATTTAGAGAACTCAACAGGAAAAATAAGAGATTAAAAATACCTGGCTTGTTGGACGGGTTGATGGAAACTTCGGTGCGACAATGTGCTGAAGACGAGAACTAGCAGGGTTACCCATGCCAACTATACTAGATGAACTATTCACTTCATCAGTTTGATGTTGCACTCCTGAAGCATTATGTAATCCCCCGTTCAATCCACAATTATTAATACGAACCTGCTGATGAAGTGGAATGGGTGGTGGACCAGGATTGGCAAGTTTTGCACGAAATGGTGAAATAAGTAAATTGCCCAAATGATCATTTGAAAATATCGATGGTGATGACGATGAGGAACAAGAAGTAACAACAGTCGGATGAAAAGAGTTGGGAGGATTTGGCTATGAGTATTAGGTATCATATGAATTGTTACAAAAGAAAGTACCAGCATCACCATCAATATAATCAACATGCGTCAAGCCAAAAAACAGCAAGCAATAATACATGAAAGAAGAAGAAAAAACTTAAATTACAAACTTACACATGCAAAAAGAAAAAAGAACAACGAAATGAAAACAAAGTGGAATGACGAGAGAAGGTTATTGACTTTGTATGTATATTAAACCTTATGAACTATATGACACGAAAATACGGGCGAATACTCAACAGAGAAAAAGACATTACAGTAAACCTAATAAAATCGGTTCCTTTAACTCATATAATTCTTATACAAAATGACAACTTACGTTATAAAATTAAAGTGATATACTTATCATGAACAGTGGGTCTACATAAAATGGATTCCTTACAATGGCTTCGGATTATTTTTCTGAATTTAGTTTTATACGCAATTTTACTAAGATGTATTTAAACTTTCAGTGTGATTGGATGCGGTGTGACCTAACAACATTCACAAAGCGTGCAATTTTTTAGTCAAAACATGATATGTATTTATGGATTTCATCAAAGCGTCTCAAAAATACGTTCTGAAAAAATACCCAAAAATACAAAACACATTTTGCATCTACACAAAAAGTAACATGAATAAATGAATTCCTTAACGGTTAAATCCCCATGTAGACACCTAGTAATACAAAATATCGAGATTTAATAAACTATTTAAGGAATTTGAAACTATATTCAATTGATAATTGTGACCAATAAACCAATACTGGGTGATAAGCAAATGTGTACACTGACGATGGTACAATTTGACGAAAGTTAACGAAATGCAATGATTTTTTAACATAGATTTATTGAGATTAACTGAAGAGTGCAGAAACTATTTAGCTACACTCAACAGTCTTACTATATTTTAGAACACACAAATTTGTCCAGTTATTCTGAGGATTCATTTCACTAACAAAAGTATGCATATTTTATATCTAACATTACGGATTGAACTTAATTAAACAACTATTTAAAACTAAAAAGCACTGTATGACTGTTTCGTCATAATATGCGACTCTTCAGCAATGCGTATCCACGGCTCCAACTAGAAAATTCAACAACCTCCCTATAGTTAGTTTATATATATAACTATACTCATAGAGAAGTCATTCGCTCAATTTTTTTGCTAAACTATATGAAAATATAACTTAGCATGATGCAAATAGACAGAAAGCAATAACGTTCACATAAGCAATACTCGAGAATTAGGATTAAATCAGTTACATTCTATGGGAAAACCGTTAAGATCGTTAGTGTTTTGATACACACACTAAGCTAAAACTTCTCCAACAAATTGATTGATTAAATACAAAGTATAAATGGCTGACCTTTAGAACTCAGGGCAAAAAGTTAACTGCTTTACTGATCAATATTGAATTAACTAGTACATAATTATTGATTACAATTAATATTCTACAGTTATAATAAATATATTTTTTTATCCCGATGAGTAGAAAATTGTATTTCTGACGTTTCGGGACTTTAGGTAAGCCACTTCTTCAGAGTGAATGAATAACCGAATCCAATTAATACAGGTTTAAATACAATTCCCTACTCATTAACATCTAATAAAAAATATATTTATTTTTAACTTTCTACCCAATGCTCAACTTATTTGAAACTATCACGTCCGACCTTGGCATTGATACGTAAAATGGTCTACAGTGTTGGAACTTCTTAATTAAAATACAGATTGACTACAGATGAATAGGTATATTATATATATAAACGCATTAGAACATAGTAATCAATTTAGAACATGACAGGCATTAGACTTATTAATGATAATAATTATAGAATAACCTAATAACTACTAGTTTTAGTTAATCTATAAGAACTAGTTCATGATAACGAATTTTTTTAATAATGTATACATCAAATTACAAACACATTTCAGAAAACCTAGTTTAATTGAACGCTAAACAATTCCAATGAGATAAATTTATGTTGAGAAAAAGCAAATTCAACAAAATAAAAGGAACAGAAGTTTGCATTGAAGAGAAATTCACTTAGAGGAAAAACTACATTCTAGTTATTAAATGAGCAAGCTACAATATCTAAGAGAAAATCTACGTCACACAAAAAAGGTCGATATTTAATACAATATTTAACGAAAGCCTAACGATGTATAATAACAAGAAATGTATAGTAAACAAGAAGAAAAATACTAAAAGTAAGCCGAAGGATAATGTCCAGCAACAACATCTTGAGTTATGAATTATCGATCAGTTAATCTGTGATTTATAAAGACACTTCTCAATGCAATGAAATGAATTTGATTCGATTTTGAATCACAATTTGTGAATATTTTAATGTTTAAATTATACTGATGAAATGAAAGAAACAACTTATATTCCACTGACAATTAGTCAGTAGAAAAAGTGAATAAGAAAACAGATCATGCAAATAGTGAAGCACTTCGATAGAAGTTGCTTGTAAAGATAAAACGCTAACTCAGAAATAAGATCTGATGAATTAAACTGAAGTTACTAAAATCTTACTGAGTAGTATGGAATTCACTAAATAAAACTGGAAAGAATAGGTTACCAAGCTGTACATAGAATCTTGTTACGTGAGAACGGAAACAACTTTATCAAGTTTAATCGATATATTTCAGTCAGCTTATTATGACTCAGAGTAAAAAATCCTGAACTAAGTGTTAAACACAAGAGAACATGCTGAATCTTGACAAACTAGTAAAGACTATTTAATTATGTTTTATATTATGAGTAATAGCTTTCAAATTAATTTAACTTTTTCCAATTATGATCACTGATGGAATATACACATCCTAATGAGAGATCAAAAAGTGTCTGATCCAATTCCCTTAATGCATACATTTTATCTAAATAAGCTTTTGTAATCACAGCAGTAAAAATGAGGAGGGAAAAGGTCAAAGCACATAGTTTAATGAAATGTTCAACGAGAACAACAACGACTACTAACCACAGATGCTCTATGATGTTGTAGGGGAAAATGATGCGAAAGTTGCCCACTATCACCAACTGCACCAATAACTGATAAGGGTGTAGTGACCGGATTATTAACTGACGATGACGTGGACACAACCTCATTGTTAGTTACAGATTGGCTATCTGTAGGTGTATCTGAGACTGTAGTATTAGTAGCAGCGTAAGATGATGAACCACCCGCGTCAGCTAGACGACTCCCAGCAGCTAGGACACCCAGTTTCGGTTGATTCGAATGCATTTGCTGTTGTGACTGATTATATGCCGGTGGTCCACGACTACTATTCAAAGGTCGTGAATGTTGAGGAAAGTGATGACTAGATGATTGTGGGCGTCCATTGGCAGATCGTTGAGGGGCAACACCTACAGATGGATGGTGTTCACGTTCCTAGGATGAAGACGATAAATCAACATGATTATTTACACATTTACATGCATACGTACATAGACAGACAGAATTTGATAAGACCTGTTTTTGACAATACACGCGGTCATTATATAAATAATGTAAAACAGAGGATAAGTAGGCTAACGTTTTATAATCACATTTATTCCTTCCCTGATAATACTATGACAACAGTATGAGAAATCTATAATATATATAAAAAAATGTTATAATACCACAGATATGTGGTGCGAACAAAAATGTAAAAAGAAAGAAATTAAAATATGCATATTTAGAAACAACACAGATAAATGAACATGAAAATCAATAAAGTCGTAAGCATACACATACAAACTGATTCAATGAAATTAAAATTAAGACAATGAAGTGAGAATTAAGAAAACGCACATATGAACTAACCCATTCAGATCTGACCATAACCTCCTATACATTATTGTATGTTAACCAGGAAACCTTCGAACAATCAAACTTTCCAAAAACTGCATTTAATTATTTGGTGTTGCTACATTATGCATTAAAATTTTGTTGTATCCTGATAAGAATAATGAATGGTAATTTTTGGGATCCATTTATGGACCAATATTATGAGTATGTTTTTATCGTATAATTGTTATGTAACTAAACTGTTCATATTCATGCCCCTCTTATTATGAGCTTTATTTTGACCTATGAACTATTATCATACGATTTACCATTCATGAATTATTCCCTGTCTGTTAATCGCAACCTCCCTCATTCACAGCCACATCTGGCTAGTTCTCATACAAATGTTGTTTCATATTTTATTGGTACGTTGTGGTCGGTTTCATTGGTGTATAAACGCAGTATGCTTGAAATGCAATGATTCATATATCAGAGGCTGAGATTTGCGTTCTGGACTTAACTGGTTGGGCTAGACAGGGGAGCAGGGCCAATCGGGACTCTAGGTCGTTCTTACGTGTTTTACACGTCTTTGGTTCGATCGATAATTCGCTGCGCTCTAATCTGCAGTCATAACAAATTTATCGACTATTCAACTGTTAACTAATCCGATGTTACCAAAAATAACATTAGGAGAAATAAGAATACTAAATATAATATAGTTAGTCACGGCCTGTGGCTGTGCCGTAGAAAAGAGAAATATGAATACGAGTCAATTAGATATTCACACATAGATTGAAACAGGCTGACTGAAAACTGAACAAATTATATTAAATAATCCTTAATTTTCTTCAGATGGCACAAATTCTAGGCTTTATATAGACACAAAATGAGCGTAAAATAATAGAGTATTCAAAGCAACAGATAGTAGATACTATGCTCAAGAATAAATCATATTGACAAACAATACTGCAACCTTCCGAACACTATCTATATTCTACACTAAGTCGAACAAGTAAACTGAAATATCATGAATCAATCACTTTTTCAAGAATGAATTACTGTCATCTGGAATTACTACCTAAATGGTGAAATTCTACACATACGCTAATTAGTTATTGTTTAAACCTCATAAATGATATTTCTCTACAATTTTAATTGCACCAACCCCCTTACATGTATCAGATTGTTTATCCAACTGACGAATTAATTTTATTTACTAGTAAGTACCTGAAATTGATTGATTACCCATTGTATTACTTGTTGGCCCTCAAATGCCCTGGTATGGCCGAGAGTGGGGTGGGCCCGCCCTCCCTCTCGAAATACTCTCACACGGCCACACGTATACAGCCTCTGCCAGGGAAGTCCTACTCACTGCCTTCTCGCACCACGGGTGTTGTTTACGAAAATGAGAGGACGAAAAGCGAATGTCCAGCGCCTTAACCAGATCCCAAACCAATGGTGCACATGGGCTCCAGTATCCTGAAGTAACAAATGGCGTATGAACCAATCGTTGGTCACCAGGTACCATGGGACTGCATCTCCTTACGATGCTCCACTGCCTTGTGGGTTAGACCTTTAGGTCAAAGGCTCGGGGAGTGGCCCCCTAAGAAAACCACCTGGTTCGGTCTGGGCACCCGGGCAGTATCACAGCCCGCACATACACAAATATGGTGTGGCGCATATATATTTGGTGCCCTCTTATAACAATATTTATGTGTTGAAATAAAATATTTATGTTTATGTATTACTTGTTGAGCCACTTAATAATCACAAGTTCCCAGTGATATTAAAACTTTATCTAAAAGTCTAAATAGCATTATAATGAAAAAAATATAACTGATAACTTAAAATATTGAAGATAAAAATCATTGATTAGACGACTAAATCTTTAACATTATACAAAAATGATTTGTAATAACTTCAATCTAGATATGATTATGATAGTTTAATCATTCTTTATAAATATATCAGATATCATTTATAATCTAGTGTATCAAACTATGATAATAATTAGAATAAATGTTAATAATATAACGAAAATCACATTAAAAATATAAAAAACGCAAACTTGTTTTATTAACCACACTATTTTTGTTACATCATCATGAAATTGCCTTATGAAACAAATTGATAAATGTAGAATTTTCTCAATATTACCATTATTTGGTGAAAAATAGTCATTAGTTTATTTTTATTAGAAAAAAAAACGAACCAACATGAAAATTGGATCATTATCAATAAATAATAATAATAACTCTCTCTTTTTTTAATGATTTTCAATCAGATGATGATATAATTAAGATGAATTGTAGAAAAATTTATTATGAAAGAGAAACATTATTTAGATAAATAAAAGTGTACACAATTAATTGATTATTGAAGTAATGAAAAACGTTTCATTGCATATGTATATATTGATGGAGTTTTGTTCTCTGAGCTGGATGGCTTGGTCGTGGAGATTTCATCTTTCTTCTGAACGACATCATCAGCACAAACGTATTTTCAATAAAAACCAATCAATGTCGAGGTGTACAGAACAAGCTGTGAAACGCATATGGAGAAATTCGAAAACTTCAATTCTATCTGAAGTTTGTGCTGATGATGTCGTTCAGAAGAGCGATAAAAGCTCTACGACCAAACCATCCAGCTCAGAGAACAAAACTCCATCAAAATCATCCACCTGAGCTACGAATCTTCTCCACCATCTCTCATATATATATATATATATATATATATATATATATATATATATATATATATATATATATATATATATATATATATATATATATATATATATATATTAATTCATATATAAAACTAAATGAAATGAGAAAATTTTGTTAACCATAGAGGAAGAGAGAGAGAGAGAGGAGAGAATAAAATTTCAAAATGAACAATTCACTGATTGATATCAGTTTATATTGTTAACCATAACATGTTATTATCTGAGTAAATTATTACAATTCAGACTAGATAAACAGATATATATATAATGTTTAATTGCTACATAAATTAAAGATACGATTTTTTGATGGTTACATTTCATCAGTTTCATACAGGGTCTCATTTGTTAAAATTTGATGAAACAGATATTTTGATATTCACCCTTAAAAATAGTATGTAATGAGTGAGATGAATTCACACATGAGATAAGAAGAGTTAATGATCTAATTCAAACATATATATGAAAATATGTTTATTTCTATTTTAAACCAGGCAGAGATAATCAAAATTTACTCAAAATAATGACATTAAATATGATGAACAACAAAAATATATTTGGTATGACAGAAGGAAAATAAATCAACACTAAAAACCATACAATCCAATATACAACAACCCATAGAGTAGATTACACGAAAGAAAACCATTATATATATATATATATATATATATATATATATATATATATATATATATATATATATATATATGTTTATGATGATGTAATCGTGCTAATGATTCACAAAGCGCATAAATTATATAAAATATATGCAGCAGTATAAATAATGTATACATTATGTGATAAAAACAAACTAGTGTATAACAAAAGTAATATACAATACGATTGCAAATATTTACAAGAAACAAAATAAACTAATAGATAAACACACATGCAAAATTCAACTATTATCAAAATCGTCATTCATTGCAACAATTTGATAGGAGCATTAATAGCAAGAGAAACACACAGAGAAATCTATCAATTAACTAGTTAAAATCTCTGAGTCCCCTCTCACACCTTTATAACTGAGTTGTTGTAGGAATTCTTAAGGGAAAACACAGTGAATTGGTCTTGAGAACTATGAAATGAATAGTTGTGTTATTCATCTAGACAAGGCTGTCTCGTCAAAAATAGAACGATCCAATAATCGAATACTTATTATTTAACAATCTTAAACTATTTATTTTATTGAATATATTACTATGAGATAAAAATATTGACCACTACGGTAGTATCGGAACAAGAGGAATTCACAGAACATATACATAATTGTGAATAACTACTAATAGAGTAATCAGTTATTCACTCATTATTCCATATAAACACTCCTTAGGTTTTTCGGCCACAATGATTATTTCTCGCGAGAGCATTCAATTTTCATTGTTGGATTGTGCTTCAAGAAAGGAAATATCTGTATGTTCATTCTGTTCACTAGAATCCTGATGTCATAACCCACTTGACTAGAAACCGTATTCAATAGTACCACGCTTACATTAGGCATTGAAATACGGGTTTATTCACTTGGCTGGAAGGGTATGAAGAAAGCTCATGTAGTTTGGCTTCGCATAGAAAAGAAAAATCTCGAACTTCAGTATGTAGATCAGTTATTTTTCTTTACAATATAAATAAAATCTAAACAACAAATAGATAAATTAATTTTTGTACTTCTGTTGAGTGACAATATAAAATGACCTACGAGCTTAATAATATTATTACGCCAGAATTCGTCCAAACGTTGGACCCAAATAGATCACATCGCTATCAGCCACCGATGGAGGGGCTCGATAGAAGACTGTCGCTCATTCTGGAGCACATGTTTAGATTCAGATCATGCTCTAGTACGAGCACGTATTTGTCTGCATCTTACTGGACGCAGGAAAGACGCTGCAAGGAAACCTCTTAGGGGCCTACTTAATTGTAGTCACGCTAAGAGAATGTTTGAGGGACAACTAGAAAAAAAGTTAGGCAGTCATGTAAGTGATGCCCAACCCGAGGCAGCATGGGATGATATCCGAAAAGCTGTGGAAACAGCAGTGATATCTGCTAGTAATGTAAACCACAAGGTTAGGGAGAAACACTGGATCTCAGCAGCATCTACTACACTGATAGATGCTCGGAAACTCATCACATCTGGCTCTGAACATAACGAAGAGCGGAGTCAGCTTAAGCGCAAGCTGACAAGAAGTCTACGCAATGATCGCGAACAGTGGTGGGTAACGAAAGCAAGATTGATGGAAAAGGCAGCGACAATAGGTAATAGCAGACAACTGTTGAGACTTGTTAGGGAAACCGGCATTAGGAACCCGACTGTGAGCGAAACAATTTCAGAGAAAGATGGACATATTATACATTCTCAATCCAGGAGATTGGGTCGATGAGTAGAACACTTTAGGGATCAGTTCAACTGGCCTTCAGACACACTCCGGTTTCCCACGATCTCCAATCAACATGAATGGCAAGTTAATGTAGGTCCTCCGCCTCCTTACGAATTTGAAAAAGTCATAGGAAATCTGAAGCGAGGGAGAGCAGCAGGCCGTGACACGTTTACTCCTGATATTTTTAAGGATGGTGGTCCAGTATTACCAGTGAGATTAACCGAGGTCTTAGGTAGAATTTGGGGACTGGACTCGACTAGATTTTGCTAAGATGCGTCATTGATGGCGTAGGCGAGATATCCGTCTATCAACCAAAGGACGTGTTTACTGCACAGCAGTTCGTTCCGTCCTACCTTTTGGCAGTGAAACATGGCCGGTAAGAGTAGAGGATATTCGTAGGTTACTAGTATTTGATCATAGGTGTCTTCGAAACATTGCTCGTATATCCTGGGACCATCGAGTAAGTAAAGTAGTTGTTAGGAAACGGGTACTAGGTAAGGATGGCAAATCAATTGATGACGCAGTGAAACTTCATCAGTTGAGATGGCTGGGACACGTGTTACGTATGCCCAATCACCGAATGCCTCGATGTGCGATGTTTTATGGTGTAGGAGTAGGTTGGAAGAAAGCTAGTGGCGGCCAAACCAAAACATGGCACGAATCCATGAAGTCACTGACAAGTGGATTGAGTCATATTGGTAGGTATAGACTACCTAGTTGGGGACCGTGAAACGATGGCAACTGATGGTTAGAGACCCTGAATGACATGTCTCAAAATCATTTGCAATGGCGCAGGTGCATCCACACTTTATGTTCTCCCAAATTCTAATCTTCTGAATTCTTCATGTCCCTCTCTTTTTTCTCTTTCCAATTTTATTTCACTGGATTATACTCCTTGAATAACATCTTCAAACCCTAATCTTCCCGATCAGTGCTTTTACTTTTACTACCTCTACCACTATGTGATTTGAATAGACAATTGCATCTCCGTACTAATGTGGCATGGCAATTCAAACTGATGTACATACGTACGAAGTTCTACGTTGTTACTGAATGAGAGTATTACGCAAAAAAGAAAAAATATATAAGTGTATTCAGAAGCGAATCATTTCTATTTATTAATAACCATCCGAATAAAAGTTAATTGCTAAAATAAACATTGGCTAACAAGAATTATTAAATAAAACAAAATCTATTCACTAACGAAACTATATAGTCAGCAATTTCGACGAATATGTTATCTTATTAAAATGTTTCCTTAACTCGGAATAAGCGAATGTGTATTTTTTTAAGGTCAAATTTTATAATACAATAACGGCATCAAGTAATTTGATCATGAGTAACTAACAAAACAATTAATGTTGTATTACTGAAAGGTACACTGACTAATTTCACAATCCTAAAAACGATTTTAGCTTTATTTGCTTATCGCCGATCGAATTTTTAATCTGAGTTATGAAAGTTTTGAAAAAATATTCAGTAGAGACTGAACAATAACTCATTATTACTGTTCACAACAGATTTATAATCCGACCATTAGATCTCGAGGTAACATAAACTAAGCTTAAATCTAGATTTATAAATTTCCAACTGGATTATAATTAGGAACCATACGTTGGAGAAATTCTTGGATCTAGGATGTCAAGGATTTTTAACAAATTTGTGAACATATTACCAACCGATAACTCTACTAATATTTATTCACTACATGGGGAAATTCTTTTTCAAATCACCTCTTTCTAACTTTTGTATGGGAACCATAAGACTAGTTTTTGAATGATGGATACGAAAAGCTCCCCGTGAATACAGATACTTACTGGACACTTGTTCTATAGATTAAAGAAGATTAATTTACCATACCTTTCACAATATCATGAGGTGAATTCTGGACAAGTAAACCAATATACACTGACAAAAGAAACCTGCAGGATAAATCTCAACTCATAACAATGTTCCGTTCACAATATATAGTATTTTTTAGTGTTGCGTTCTCTGAGCTGAATGAAGATGTTGTTGAACTTTTAGACAGAATCGATAGCATCCCTACTTCATCATCTAAAAACTAGATAATGACTGATACTTAGAAGATTCAACCGATCAGTATATCTAGGTTATCATTTTCATATTTATGGGATTAGGAAATATTGAATGAATTTCAAAAAATAAAAAATCACATAAGAATCTTTAAAACAACAACTAACAATAGCTCACTTGTTAATGAGTGTTGAGAAGAAAGGACTTGAATTTCGAGTAGTTTTATATCTGATGTTGAGTTGACAAGGAACTCATATTTTAATCAGTTACACAGTAAATATTTCATTCATCACGAGTTTGCTTTGATGTAAATGTCACACTTTTATTAAAATGCTTATATTATTTAAAGAAAAGAATAAATATGTGGCACATATCATGTTTTCATGACTTAATCTTAAGATTTGAGAATTTCTATGTTATTCAATCACAGATTTTGAGTAGCGTTACCTACAAATATTAAAGCGGAGATTAAAAGCTACGAAACATAACTGTCTTACTACTAAGTGTTATGCAAGCATAGTATGCATATATGAGAATAAAATTACAAATATAAATAGCCTGAACAAAAGATAACTTTTAAGCATTCTCAGATAAAAAGAACTAATTCGATACAAATCATATCCGAAGCACGTGAAAACTTTGGATCAAACACAAAGCAAACAACTTACCTGTAAACGAGCGAAATTTTGACGAAGTGTATTTTCACCTGGTTCCTTAGCATTGACAGTTGCTGACTCACCTTCATCTAACCTTGGCAACCGACTATTATGCGGCATCATTGATTGTGGCGTAACAGCAGGTAACCTATTAACTACTGACATAGGATTTCGTGAGATAAATCGAGCATTCACTGGTACATTATCATTTACAATATTCCCACTTTGTATCATATGTCCATGTTGTCTATAGTTTAATCCAGATACAGATGGTTGTGAAACAAACGATGCTACTTCGTTTTGATCAGGAACTCCACTAGTTCGAAGCACTTGATTATGGGGAGGTTTATCCGTTGGTTGACGAAATTGAGGTGGATGATGGCTAATTTGACTAGGTAGACGATGTGCTTGACCATTGCCACTAACAGCAGCTGACATAGCTAGAGCAGCGGCAGCAGCTCCTTTAACAGCTGCACTAGTTTCCTCCTCCTCCTCTTCATCACTTCCTTCATATTCATAAATTTTTTCATGTTCTTCAGCTGATGAGATAAATAAAAAAGTAGAACATGATTATATTGATAGTGCCAAAAAATTTACTTCACACTTACACAAGTGTACAACTGTTTGCTGGTGAGTTACTATAATAGGATAAGTAGATTTGGTAAAATTATAGTATAAGAAGAAGCAAATCAGAATAAAAAACGCGATTTTCAGGATTTTGTGAGAAATTAGAATATAAACTATTAAGAGAACGCAAAGTATCTTCGTACACTACTCAAAACATTTAAAATCATAGCGAAAAATCATAGAGTGAAGATGATAGCGTTGAATGCATAAAATGTACAATCCTTTCTCTGTAGATTGTATAAAACAGAGGACTGGTACTATCCTCAAATACCTTGACCTACTGACATTATATTTTAGATTTATAGTGCCTACTGTATTTTTGCACGAAAATCGCTCGTCTGTCTTTTTGAATTATATCTGACATCAGATGGAGATGAAGACCCCTGATTCTTGCTATACACACCTAACCCTATCCACTCAAGTCCTCATAAAAATTCGAGATGAGTATTTTACATCCATAAGGAAAAATTTATAAGTAGTTTTTTCCAATTTACAGCTAGAGTAACCTTTAGGAGACTTTAATAGATGTTTTCCCGTATACGAACTATCTGTTTACAGAAGCTACTTTCTGACTGACTAGAAATTTGATGAAAATTTGTTGAGGTCATTTTAAACTCATCCCTATGCTATAGTCTCGCCGTAGATTTCCTCATTACTTAACGGACAGTAATTTTCCAAACTTTGAAATACCACTGTATCAAGAAGCCTGAACCTTAAAAATACTGCCTATACGTTCTCACTTGCTTCAAATATTACTTAATTTGCTGTATCACCATATATGATTGATCATTTGAAGAAAATAAAAATCAGACAAAATACTTAACTGTAATTCACCTAAGAATAACCTTTATAGATAAGGAAACTTCGTAAATACGAAGCAAAACTGACAGAAAACTGTGGTATTTATTCACTATTCAAGTAAATATTTCACTATTCTCATTTATGCTACTTAGATAAATACTCGTAAAACAAATTTAATACATAAAATTTAGTCAGTACTGACAAATAGATATTACAAAAATGATCATTACTTCATAACTATCAAGTTTAAAAAATTCAGTCATGCAGGAGTCAGATGTATTCCGAACAGTCGATTAGTAAAGTCTATAACTGTAGCGTTGAACCGCACGAGTTAAAATATACACAAACGCCATTGTGGATCGTCACACAAAATAGTACTAGTCAGCGTCAACTAACATGACATAGATTAGCTGTCAATGACTCCAAGGATCGATGCCAGGTCTTATTGTGGCTGATCCTAGCTTATTTTAACCTACTTACACACTAACAAACATCGCCCGTCGAGGTAGGTAAGTGTTCGGGTAAACGCAACCCATGTTCTAACTACTTCAGTCAAATAATCACTCAGCAATCAGTATCAATCTAAATGATCAAGAATTATCGAAATAAAGTTTAATATCACCTACCTACAGAGAAATTTCGAGATGCTTTGTTTATCAGAACAAAAAGTAATTCATTGGTTTGTGACCGTATAATGAAGGAATAATAGCGTTACTTCGTTTAAAAATAAAGTACAATATATAGACTTTAATGTACGATATGACCGACCATAAGTTATTTTATTTCGATTGTCCTTCACCTATTTAATGTAATCATAATAAACTAAAACTCTTAAACCCGATTATTTCAATGTTTGGAAATGTTTTCACTGAAAAGACCATTAATTTATCCTTGATATGATTTTATTATGTCCTGGAAATGCGTACGTTGATTTATTATTTATTTCTACGAAAGTGTTGAAGCTTTATTCGAAAGATAAATGGTTATTCTTTTTTTACAGATTTCAATTTTCATCAATTTTCCAACAATATTATGTATATGGATAAATAACCGTTTAAAAAATATCTATATGAGTGTAACAAATTATATTTAACGAATCCGAGCTCTTAAGCGTGAGAAATGGTTGAAGACAATAGGAAGCAAAGAATATCTGTAATAATGAGGGAACTAATGATCCCCGATGGGATACGGACCTGCATCGTAGTGTCAATAGAACTGTGTAGTTCGGTTGACGGCTGACTTTTACTTTGTTTATCCTCAGTGAACTTACTTGAGTAGAACTTATGATAGTTTTGACTCAACTAATCGATATTTCAGCCACTTTAAAGTCACTAGCAAATATGTCCAAGGTATCATAAACAAATATAACTTTCTCAAATAATGTTTCTATTAAAGATATCACTTATAACAATCAGATCCATAAACGAATACTGAAAATATCAAAATAATGCACTTAAGGAAAACATTAAAAATTTAACCGCTGACCTACATAAAAATTTATGTAGGATAACTTGTTCTGTTTTATCATGTATTATGTTGTCACAATGCACTCAGTCTTTTAAAGCTACAAAAATGTCATTAATCCTCTAGTGACTGGTGTGAAGTAAAAACACTGTAATAAGATATAGAATAGTGTTATTTTGATAAAGTCATAATAAGTAACGAAAAGTTAATTAATTTACTTTGCCTATTTCGTCTATGTCTGTCTATATGATCTTTGAGTTGAATTCTAATTTGTCGTTCATTTGGTAAATTTGTAATGAATTCATGTCGAAATAATTCTGATGTATTTGGACGTTTATGGAAATCTTTAGTTAAACATTTATTGACAAAATCATGAAATCTTGGTGTCCAATGTCTAGATCCGTTCGGTGATTGTTTTAATCGAGGTGGTGAGTTACGCATAATTAAGAAAAGTGCACGCATTGGATGCATTTCACATAATGGTGGTCGACCTTCAGCCATTTCTAAAGCTGTTATACCCAATGACCAGATATCTGAACGAGCATCATATGTACAACTTGAGTCTTGTTCGCAATGAATCACTTCAGGTGCCATCCTATAAATTCCAAAAAAATAAGAAAACTTGCAATGAAATGTAATAATAATGCAATAGCGACTGAAAATACACCATATCATTAGGAGGAATCATTAATTTGAGCACGTCTTCAATTAGGCAGAACAGGAGTGAAAATTAAGTTAACGATACTGATTAGTAATTAGTAGCAGTTCTATTTCATGAGTTAACTATTTCTGCCACAATTACACGATAGGTACTAACTACTAATGTATTTGTGTGACTCAACGGATAAACAATTTAGTAGGACGGTGTATCACTTCAAATTTTGACAATTTAATAAAAGGAGTCAGAATCTTTAATACGAATGTTAATACAGTTCTACTGTAGAGAGATGCAACTTGGAGAACTACTACATCCATCACCAGAAAAATACAAGTATTTATGAATAATTGATTACGCAAAGTACTTAATGTTCGTTGACCGGATACCAGAAGCAACAGCCTATTGTGGGAGAAAACGAACGAGCTTTCAGATGAGGAGGTAATTTAAAAAAGCTGTTGGAAATGGACAACATAAATTGCGTAAAACACTAAACTACAGCAGGGAGAAAGTGCTAACTTGGAATCCTGAAGCGAAACGGAAAAGAGGAAGACCAGAGAACACACTGAGACGAGAATTGAAAGCAAACATGGAAATGATGAATGGTAACTGAAAAGGATTGCTCAAGACAGAGTTAAATGAACAATACTGGTGGGTGGTCTATGTTCCTCTACGAGGGGCAACAGATGTAAGTAGTGAAGAAAAATCATAAAACTCATGTATATGGATGGAGAAACATTATCAAAATACACTACCGTAACTATCATATTTCTGGCTGAAACTATACTACTATCGTAACAGTGCCGTAACAATACCACTGCAACACTATACTTATATAATCAAGTCTACCATCTCAGTTAGTACTAACATTCACTAAGTAGATTATTGTACTAAAACTATCAAGTAAATAATAACGTTACCTGATTTTTTAAACTAAAGTCGAGGATGTAATTCTCCAACCCATGAGACAACCGTTGGGAATCAAATATTTAAATGACTTGAACACTATTACATATTACAATCTCACTAAAAATATATCAGAGGAATACGCTAATTCTATATTGTATCATACCAGTGCATTAACACGTAATGGCAGAAAATCTGTTTAGACAGTGAATATACTTATCATTTTGTGACAAAAACTCTGATTATTCAATTTTTCAACTACTTTCTTATACTTGTTCTTTAAACTATCTAGTTTACATCCATATTTCACTTTAACACTTTTTTCTGATTTTATTTCGAGACAAAGCACCTTAAGTCAATAGCCAATTTATTCATTGTAAATAGATAAACTCAGTGCGGTCTTTTAATTTATTATATTATAATGAATTACATATTAGATACTTGTAAAGAATCTGGTCAACAGTTGTAATTAAAGTTAGGTCATGACAAAATTTGACCAATTGGATTTCAAATTGCTGAAATGAAAATGTATAAACAAAATGGGGATTGAGAGTGAAAAAGAAACTTTTCTTGGCTGTTAGTAATTGACACATAAAGAAAAAAAAGAAGATAAGAAATGGACACAGCATATATATATATATATATATATATATATATATATATATATATATATATATATAGCCAGTCTACGATACATTAAATTTACTGATGAAAAAAATAACGAGATTCATAAAAAAAATCAGTATTCACATTCTCAAGAAGACAAAGGATATTACTGAAATGTTGAATAATCTCTTAATAAATGTCACGTAGGCTTTGTATAAACTGAAAATATGAAATAACATTTAAAGTAACCTATTGGGTCAAAGTAATATTAAACGTAGGTATATATTGGTTGGAGATGTAATCGGAAACACAGATATTAAACAGTTATAACACATTTGAAGCATGGCCAACACTTAGCGAAACCATAGATTTTGCAATGATATGTCAGTCAGTCAATAACAACGTAGAACTTCGTACGTACGTACATCAGTTCAACTTGCCACACCACATTAGCACAGAGATGCAGTGGTCAAATCAAATCCCGTAGTGCAAGATGCAGTAAAATTATAAGCTGTAATCAGAAAAATTAGGGTTTGAAGATGCTATTCAAGGAGTATAATACAGTGAAATAAAATTGGAAAGAGAAAAAAGAGAGGGACATGAAGAATTCAGAAGATTAGAATTTGGGAGAATATAAAGTGTGGATGCACCTGCGCCATTGCAAATGATTTTGAGACATGTCATTCAGGGTCTCTAACCATCAGTTGCCATCGTTTCACGGTCCCCAACCAGGTAGTCTACACCTACCAATATGACTCAGTCCACTTGTCAGTGACTTCATGGATTCGTGCCATGTTTTGGTTTGGCCGCCACTAGCTTTCTTCCAACCTACTCCTACACCATAAAACATCGCACATCGAGGCATTCGGTGATTGGGCATACGTAACACGTGTCCCAGCCATCTCAACTGATGAAGTTTCACTGCGTCATCAATTGATTTGCCATCCTTACCTAGTACCCGTTTCCTAATAACTCCTTTACTTACTCGATGGTCCCAGGATATACGAGCAATGTTTCGAAGACACCTATGATCAAATACTAGTAACCTACGAATATCCTCTACTCTTACCGGCCATGTTTCACTGCCATAAAGTAGGACGGAACGAACTGCTGTGCAGTAAACACGTCCTTTGGTTGATAGACGGATATCTCGCCTACGCCATCAATGACGCAAGTTGGCAAAAGCTAGTCGAGCCTTCTGTATCCGTGCTGAGATTTCGTCACACACCAGATCACAAGGGCTGATGAGACGCTCAAGATAAGTGAAGCGATCGACACGCTCAATTACTTCACTCCCTATCATTAGTTCGCGTGTCAATGCAATCCAATCCTGAAGTAACATTTTGCATTTCGAGGGAGAGAATCGCATCCCGAACATGCTTGCATTGTTGATTAGAGTGGTCAGAAGACTGTATTTTGTCAGCCACTTCACCAAATAGAACTGTCATCAGCATATCCCAAGTCAACAAGTGAATCTCTCGGTAGAAATTCAACCCCTGGAAATTTGGATGAGGGAAGTGTTATCTCCAAAAGTACGTCAATGACAAAGTTGAACAAGAATGGAGAGAGTGGACAGCCCTGACGAACACCACTTGAGGTAATCAATTCTGATGACAGTTCACCATAAGCTCTCACTCGTCCATTTGTGTTCGAGTAGAGAGCCTTTATAAAGTTAATGTATTTTGCAGAAGTATATAAGTGATCAATTCTACCAATGAAAGTCAGAAACATTCATCATCTTTGTTCCCATATCCCACTTCGATGTAACAAAGTCATTAATGTTATTTCAGAGGTAACAGTACCTATTTACAGGGACTGATTTTCTGTCCAGATTACATCGACAATAACACATGCAGATGTTCAACTTCCACTCGATATTTATAAGAACCAGGGGAACTATAAGATGCTATTCAGCATAAATAAATACTTGTAATAGATAAAATTTTCAAAGGTTCATACAAAACAACTCTCATTCTTACATAAACAAGGGAGAAAATAATGTTTACCGAATAAACTATAAACCGGAAATAGTTTTATGTTGCAAAATATGATGAGCAAAAAAAAACGAGAAACCAACCAAAATGAATCTATTTCTCTTCATGAAATAGATGTATTGAATGAAAAAAATATCTGTATATATACATGCATGTGTAAATGTTAAGTAAAAACAAAAAAAATAAGTAAATGATTATTTAATATGCTTTGTTGTTTACTGTTTTTGAAAGGAAAACCTTCAACAATAATCTAAAACTGAGGAATCCAGGAAGAAGGTGTAATTGCAAAGAAACTTGGTATTCAGGCAGACAAGCTGGAATAGTTCAACTTTGTATATGTAGTAACAAAAACATTATCTTGAAGCACAGTAAGTTAGCAAACAAAAAGTAGTGACAGACAATCAGATAAGAAGAAGGGTTATAAGAAAATGTAAATTAGAAAAATTGTACGCAGGATTATTGCGTTTAATGACAAAAATTAAATAACGCATAATCTCTTTCGTAGAATGAAGACTTATGGTTGGTAGAATCAAGATTATATAGTCAAAATTCTGTGAACTAAATTTAGTCACATAAATTTTTAAAAAAATTCTATTAAAAAGAGAAAAATAATGAAATAAAAAACATGAAACTTTATGAAATAATGGATATTTTTAACAGCATAATAGTTGAACTAGTGGAAAGTCACTAAGCAGTAACTCAAGTTATTTATACTACAAGGAACAAGGTATTATTTTACGAAAAAGGTTGTATACATGATAAATACTGATTTGATTTTCTACACATGCTAGAAGGAATAACTGATCAACTTATCTATGTTAAAGTCTACTACAACAAATATTAAGATATCAAAAAATCATTCAAAACAACAATCAATAAAGTGAAAACATTTTAACGAAGTACACGAAGATACAAGGGAAAATGGGAAGTTAACTAATACAAAAGATTTGGTAAAGATTAATCACGATTGAAAAAGTTTAGAAGTTCCCGGTGGAATAACACTAATTCGAAGTCTTAATGCAGTAGCTACTTTATAGTTCCAGGTAACTTTTGGTGATCAGTGTCTAATAACTGACGCTAACTGCTGATTGTCTTGAACCACTTAACATGTACAACTTAAATCAAAAACGACTTACTCGATGAAATAGTTTACCTAATCTCATCAACTTGGAATGAAATATTTTTCATTTTTATTGTAGTTCTTTCAAGCTAATAGCTTAGTTTAGGTGAGAAAGATGACAAACATATGTTATAAACATCTCAGTAGATTCAAGCTCAAAAATACATGCGAGCAATTTATTCTTATTTATCATAAACTTAATATGTGAATGAGAAATTTAATGTAGATTATCAAGTACAGGTCAATACACTCGACTACCTAGACTGACATAGGTATTGAAAATTCCCAATCAACTCTATCCAATGTTTAAATGATGAGTGCTTTCACTATTCAATCTATAGTTCATCTAAGACTTAAACTGAATACTACCTACTTAGTGACTAATGTATTTTACATGAGCAATCTACTACGGTAATATTAATTAAACAACTATATCCGTTTTATAACACAAATCATTTTAAAGTGTTTTGTCCAATATACCTTGTAATATTAATTGTATATAGTTGAAAGAATAATAACACTTGGATGGTGTAAATATTTATTACAGCTTAGTTTAAAATTCGTAATACACGATATATTTGAGAAAAACTACATAATCCTGTCTATCATCATAAACTGAACATAATATTCAATTTTATTCTATATAAAAAATGGATTGTATTATTTTCAACTTACTATAAACATCTACTGAATAATTAACAACTCAATCACATTGTAGTCAGTCAGTCAGTCAGTGACAACGTAGAACTTCGTACGTACGTACATAAGTTCGAGTTGCCACACCACATTAGCACAGAGATGCAGTTGTCGATTCAAATCCCGTAGTGGTAGAGGTAGTCAAAGTATAAGCAGTAATCGGGAAGATTAGGGTTTGAAGATGTTATTCAAGGAGTATAATCCAGTGAAATAAATTTGGAAACAGAAAAAAAAGAGACAAGGAGGAATCAGGAGATTAAAATTTGGGAGAACAAAAAGAGTGTATGCACCTGCGCCATTGCAAACGATTTTGAGTCATGTCATTCAGGGTCTCTAACCATTGGTTGCTATCATCACATTGTATCGATTCTCCGATGACAATTAATTGAAAAGAGATAATCAAATGATGTTTATACAAAACAGACAAGAATTAATTGAATTAATAAATAAACAATTACATTGCTTTTTTTGTAAAAAAAGACAAAACAGTAAATGATAATATTTCAGTTTTAATAAACCAATGATAGCTGGGATATTATCTAATAGGATTCTGGAAGTACTCAGAGGTCACAAACTGGTAGTAATACAATTCTCAATGGTATATTTTGAAACACTATTTTCAAAAGTTATGAGATCTAGGTAAAGAAGACAGGGTTACAAACAATACAACGATTATATGTTAATAAAATTGAGGGATTGACACATCCTATGTCTAAATGACTGTGGTTATGAAATACTAATAATTAAATTCTGAAGTATCATGATTCTTTTTGCTATTTAAAAAAATCCAGCTTACCAGTACGGGGTCCCAATAAATGTATTTCGTTTACCAAATGTTTTATCTAGTTGTGCACTCACTCCAAAATCGACTAAACATAGTGGCAACAGGAATAGAAACGAAGAAAAAAACACAGAAAAGTCACAAACTGATGTAATCTAAATTAATAAAAACAATTAATATCACAATTAGAACTGTTAACAACAGAAACTTTAAGTATGACACTGAACAGAAATCTATCAGTATCATAAGCTGATAAATATTGAATTTTAAAAAAAACTTTTGATGTACCCAAACAAACAATAACATGATAGCTACAGTTCAATGATGTAACCAAGTGTTACCTGATTACTTAATAACATATTTGAACTCAATCCCATTTATTTTGATTATAAGTCGTTAATTATCGGTTAATACATGTAACATTTAAATTACTTAACATGAAAAAATCTTTGTGGTGATAAGATAATAATATGAATTAATTAACTTGACCGATTGTCTTTTAAATATCAAGAAATTAAAGACATGAGCTCTGTGCTACTGATAGTAAAACAAACTCAGAGAGTTAGACACTATCATTAGATTGAATGTCACGCTAAATAATCGCCCTTATGATTCATTACTGAAACTTATTCGAATTACTCGAGTCACATATACGATGCAAACACACTAAACCAACCTATAATTCATTAAATTTTACAATTCTAAAATGTCTAAGAATGAAGGTAAACTGATACGTTGAAAAATATTTTTGATGTACTGAGATAAAGACAGTAGTATGAAACGTGGAACTCGACACATCAGTACATCAATTCAAGTAGCTAACATCCCGTTAAGACAGAGAGATGAAATTTTCGGGGTAAATCCCAGAGTGGTAGAGGTAATAACAGTATTAATAATATCTAATCATTGATTATGATAATCACGTGGACCCTAGTCAGGTAATCTCTACATATTTACATGGTTCAGTCAAAGATAATAGAGTTATGTCAATCCATGGATGTCTGTAACTAAAATGCAACGAAAGTCGTTACATATACGTATGCAGATAAGCAAATCACTTAGTTTATTTCCAAATGTGAACAATGTGAAGATTTTTTTGCGTTTTCTCTGTAATATCGTGACATCACACATCAACTCAACAAACCAGTAATAGAGATACGGTAAAAGATATCATAAATACAGCAACCGGTGATTGCCAGTATATACTATTTCCAGGACACCGTAAGTGGTTAAATAAAAATCTACCAATCGTGAAAAGTTTCAAAACGAGAAGTGTAAGTGATAACCTGAAGGGTGAACACGACAAATGTGAGAGAATGTCATCAATATAACAAAAAAATTCACATCTTCTGGGCATCACTGAAAACACCTTTATGACATTAGATCATAAAACGCTAATGGTCTGGTAAGTCAGTCAATATAAGATTCATACAGATATTTATATTTGTAATTTCAAGTTTCTAAATTGGTAAACGTCAGAAGCAAATAATAATAAGTTGTTTCCTAAAAATAAGGCAAAGCAATGTAGTGACCTTTAGATATTCGCTTAAACATATTTCGGAACGACAATTCTAGTTTTAGGCATGTTGTCTTTCGCTTAGTACTATATAATTTCATGTGACGCGAATTAGAACCGATAAAACATTGTTGTTTGTTAGTCAGTTCTAACCAAAAAATCAATACATTGTGAAACTTATTTAGATTCGGATACGTCATGCTCTCGTTGGTAAATGTGCAAATCACAAAATTCCCAATAATGTCTTGCTTTTGTTTGTTGTTCAATAACTACTAATATCTAAGACTAAACAAAAAAATTTAACACAGAAGCCTCATGTAATTTAGTTTCATAAAGCATAAATCATAATGCAGTCAAATAAAAAACGGTAACTAATTTTAATACACGTTATATGGGTAACACATTGCATAAAAAACAATATTTACAATAACAATAGAAAGTAAGGAATCAGCCACTAGGTTATGGAGCAAACCTGTTACATAAAACTCAATGATATTAAGTGGTCAACAAAATCAATTAGAAAGGTTTGAATAGGTGACTTTATCTTTGGAAATCTCATATGTTCGCGAATCATTGGCTGAAACTAGAATCCATACGTTTTAATTCTAATATAGTTGTACAGTTAGCTTGGTGACATGAACTTATTCATTTAAAAGACATTAATATTGACACAACTGTGTACCAAAATAAATGTGCATCTCATAAAAAGAATGAAACTGTGACGAAATAAAGAAAGGCGGAGAATACAACAAATAAATGAGTAAGAAAAGAAGTGGATGAGAATAGCGTAAAATAGAAAGTCCAGTTAAAGGTACAACCAAGAAAACATCTTTCGGTTCAAGGAGTTTCTCTCACTTCCCTCTGCGCCATGAAAGGATACTTCTTATTGGAGTATCTGAAAAGGAAACTGAGTTAGATGTGGTCTTAACTACCCGGGAACGTGAACTTAGTGTCTAAGGGTTAACTGCTTCAAACAGGTTACACAACACCTCTTTATGAGTAGTTATGAATGATTTAGCTCCTTACTTTCAATGCTTTACTACCGACTATGTAAATCTAAAGCAAAGTGAGATAAGCTGTTTTCAGGGTCAATCTTCACCAATCTCCATACGTTTTGGGAAGGTGGCATCACTGAAACTGACAGATATTTGAGGGTAATACCTTATTGCCTTCACAGTCATTTACAGTCAGCCAGCAGTTTATTGTTTTTAGTTTTACCACACTGACCGACTTGTCTAGTGTGGTAGGAGGACATTAAGGAACACATTTTCCAGCAAAAGTAGCATAACTGGGTCATCATAATACCAAGGTACGACCATCACATTAAGACAGAAGAAGCGAATAACAATATTATCTTTAGCGACTTAAGTTTTACTAAATACCTACTACATTAAAATCCAGGAACAATGTTAGTGAATGGGAAAACCACTACATATCAGTTATAGTACAATTCAAGGGAAATTAGAATAGGTTAGGATAAGTGAACGTTTCTTTTATGTAAATTTATTTATGTTGAGATAATATATACATTATATTATATATCAAAGAATATAAAATGTATAAACACAACCAACAACCAAAACGGCAACAGTGATGATGATAACACAATCATGATAATAGTGAACTTACCAAGTTTCACCTCAGCGTTATCAGTGAGCAATACATTTTGACCTTTAATGTCTCGATGAATCACACGATTTGCATGTAAATGCATAAGACCCTAGGAAAGAAAGTAAATTTTATTTAAAACAAATATATTTCAAAAAATGAATGGAATGCATATGGAGGAAGAAACAAACCTAAGAACCAAACAAGTTTACCAAAAATAAAACAATGACCTTCCAGATATAGGTCATAATATTTTAATAAATTATAGTGTCAGTTAAAGAATTTTTAATGCCAAAAATTTAGAAACGAAGAAAAATTATTGAAACATATTAAATTGAAATTTAAAAAATATGATTTTTAAATGCAAGTCTTATTTATTTCAAAACTCACCATTAACTGAATAGACAACAGTTAATTACTAACTATCACATATAAATGTTCCTCCATAGGAATGAGATAGCAACCCATAATGTAAAAACAGATGAATTAAATCACATTGATGTCTTTTCTAAGAAAAGCTATCGTGAGTTTGAATGCTATATCTCATATTTAATCGGTTGGTTACAACGTAGAACCTGGTACGTACGCACAACAGTTCAAGTTGTCAAACCTAATTAATTCAGTGAAATGAAATTGTAAGGCCTAATTCTAGAATAGAAGAGGTAGTAATGTGGTGTATGCTACTGATTTCGATAGATATAAGTAGTATGTATCATCAAACGAAACTGAAATACCTAGCACCAGAGGGTTAAGAAGATCGAAGAAAAGGGGGCGAGAACAGTGAATGATTGCTTTAGAAATGAAGGAACAGTGAAGTATGAGACGACTTATTGACATTTTGCAAATTAAGTATTTACTGTATGGTTCTCAGATTTTACTAAGATGTTCTGTAATTCTGTATTCGAATAAATTCAATTGTTCCCACTTGTGTTCTCGTTCACTACAATAACATTATGAGTGATAATAGGAAATATTAAGCATCGAAAATAAAACTCTATGAGAAAATATAAATTAGTGAAATATAAAAACACAAGAAGTTAAGGGGAATTTAGCGGATGCACTGCACCATTGCAAACGATTTCGAATCATGTCAATCGAAGTCACTAACCATTAGTAACGATAACCACATGGACCCCAACTACGTAGTCTACACCTATTAGAATGATTCAATCCAATGATCAGTCTTCATGGACTTGTGCTTTGTTTTCATTTGGCCGCCTCCCTAGCCTTTTTCCAGCTTACTCGTACACCAGACAACATCGATCTTCGATGTAGGCGGTGGTTGAGTATACGTGACACATATGTTCCGACCACTTCGGTTGACCGGGATTCACGATACCCTAACAAGCTCAAAACCACTATTAGAAGATTAATATATATATTTGCACTAAAGATACATCTCAAACTATTCTGTTTTATTGTTGAAATTTTAATCTTTTTATTAGAGATGTGATTAAATTGGGAGTAGTAACTTTTAAGAAACAATCAGAAAAACATGAATTCATTTTTGTAATTAAAATTTGTTGTTGTCTCTTTCTGTAAAACACATTTTAAATGCTTTCCTTAACACGAAAACAATCCACCTTGCTAAACTAAGTTTACAAGACAATTTTAATTACTGATGAGAAAAGACATTGTTTAATTAAAATTCATTGAAAGTGAAATTATTTGACAGAGAATTATTCATATAGTAATCTCTGTTTATGAAATGATTGAAGAACAATTAGTCTAAATATGAGCACAAGTTGAGAATCAGTTGGAAATAAATATCGTTTGTAGAAATGCGAAATTCGCGTCTGTGATTGTATAAGGTTGATCAATACCATTTGGTTTCCAGTGTCCTCATAACTAATATAATAAATTTATATTAGTTTTTCAAGACAAAACTAATTGTATCTTATGATAGTATTGATTCAAACTATACAACCCTAAGGTGTACATTCACACAGTGATAAACTGAATGTTCAGAGAAACATTTTGGTCCACATAGAATAGAATAGGAACGTTATAAATGAAAAATTTATCTCATTTCTCTGGACGCCATACCTAGATTCTAATCATGATTAGTATGTTATGTATTCACCCTTATAATGTTCAAATAACGTTGGAACTAGTTTGCTTATGAAAATTGTTATTTAAACTGTAAGTTTATTTATTTATTTATGTTTTGTTAAAACAATTGAAAGTTTATTTGAAACAATTGTATCGTATGTCTAAAGATACATAATCCACATTAATAGTTAGTTGTTCATTATATTCATCGCAACATCCAATTTAATCGACACTATTTTCCACATTCATGGATTGATTACTAACTGAAAATAGCCAAATTACATCAGAACGTCTGACGAAAATAGCATTGGATTGAGATGAGGTTCTTTGCCTCCTAATGTAAAATGTAACTTCAAGATTGGTTTGCGTCACCCCATGAATTAATGATCGGGAGTGAAATGGTTGAACTCAATGACTGCTCCACTTATCTTAGGAGTCTAACCAGTTCTGATAGTCTGGCATCTGCCGAAAACTCAGCAAGGATTCAGAAGACTTGATTAGTTTTTACCAACTTGCGTCATTTGTGGAGTAAGTGAGATACCCGTCTTCCAAATAAAGGAAGAGTTTACCGTGCAGTTGTTCATTCCGCTATAGTTTATGTATATAAAACATGGCAATTAAAAATGAAAGATATTCTTAGGTTATTGATATTCGATGATAAGTACCTCCGAAGCATTGTTCATGTATTTTTGGAACCCTGTGTGAGCAATGCCTGATTTAAGAATAGAGTGCTAGGTAAAGATGGTAAATCGATAGATAAGGTAGTAAATCATCATCAATTGAGGTGGTCGGAACATATGTGTCACGTATACTCAACCACCGCCTACATCGAAGATCGATGTTGTCTGGTGTACGAGTAAGCTGGAAAAAGGCTAGGGAGGCGGCCAAATGAAAACAAAGCACAAGTCCATGAAGACTGATCATTGGATTGAATCATTCTAATAGGTGTAGACTACGTAGTTGGGGTCCATGTGGTTATCGTTACTAATGGTTAGTGACTTCGATTGACATGATTCGAAATCGTTTGCAATGGTGCAGTGCATCCGCTAAATTCCCCTTAACTTCTTGTGTTTTTATATTTCACTAATTTATATTTTCTCATAGAGTTTTATTTTCGATGCTTAATGTTTCCTATAACCATTCATACTATTACTACCTCTTCTATTCTGGAATTAGGCCTTACAATTTTATCTCACTGTACTAATGGGGTTTGACAACTTGAACTGTTGTGCATACGTACCAGATTCTACATTGTAACTAACTGACTTGTTAAGGTGTAAGTCACATTCATATATACAAATTCAATATAATATTCCTATATATAGAAAGTTAAATATTGATATGAGAAAATAAGAAAACAAAATTACGTTTTTAACTTGTTATAACTTTTTTGTTCAAGATTACTTTCATTTTTAATTTAATATGATGATTACTCAGTGTAATATTTATTTTATTGTCAATGGGTTATTGTATGCAACATAACATTGATATATTACAGTATGATGTTTAATCAAGATACAATATTCTTTGTATTAGTATTAGATTAACATAAATCAGTGTATTTTCGACTAAGGTCATCATCGTGTTTCAGTGGGAATATATATATATATATATATATATATATATATATATATATATATACTCTAAGACAGTGGTCAAGTTCTATTCATATTCAACCAGTTCACAGGAATAATAATAATCTACTTACTCGGAGAATTTCTCGACAAATATAAGCAATCCAATCTTCTTTGAGTGATTTCGTGCGAGTACCTAAAACAGTAGAGAAAAGAATGTCATAACAAGATGACGAATCGTCTGGAAAACTAATAATGTGAACTAAAACCAAAACTCTTTTTAAGAAATACTCTTAAATAAATAAACACTACTACTTGCAACAAGGTGATATTGACAAAATATATATATACAAGAAAATATATAAGCCAAATTTGTGGAAGAGGTGGAAGACTTTATGTAGTATCACTGATAAATTTGTAACATACAATCATTTTTGCATTAAATTCCTTTTAATTATATTTACTCACTCTTATGTAACTGTTAATCAACTATTTATTTTTTGTCTATTATCTTGTATATAAGTGTCGTTTCAGAGGAAAAAGAAATCTATCTTGTTCACACTAGTTATACAGTTTACTGATGTTAGCTCATTTTCGTGGTAACGCATTAATAATTTAAGATTCATGAAGAATTGTCACCTGGTAATTTCAATAACAGTTGAGGTAATCAATTGACTGTACGGCTAAAAACAATGTTTCATTGTCATAATACCATTATACTCTATAAATGTGGGACATATTTCCTGAAAGTAAATACAATAGCACATTACAAGTGTATCCATTAACTCATCAAGAGAACAAAAGAATTTATAGAGTTTAAAAATGATCATCAACTAATACGATATTGACAAGTGTCATGCACACTTGTCAACTAGCAAACTCTTTATAGACAGCTTGCAATATCAACAGGTTAAGAAAAGGTGAATGAATATCACATAATAGGATTGTAGTTCAGTTTATAGTGCTGTTAACCGCTGACCCACGTTAGATAGGGGACCATAAGTGATTGGGATCCACCAGGTGTATCTATGTTCGGTGGTTGTAGATTACAACAATAAGACAGAGAATTTGTTCTCATGGTCCAAATGAATTCATCATATTTTATCTTTCCTGGCATTTTGAATACTATTTCAGCCAATAAGCGCACTTTCCTTAAAATGCGTTTCTTTTGTGTCTACTAGTTTTTTTAGTTCTTTGTTAATACTGATAACTTTGTTTTCGTTACGTTATTTTTCCTTTGGTTTAATCATAAAAAGAAATTATGGTGAGGATTGAAATAACAAAGTAACAATGGATAAGATACAAATTATTATCCCTACTTTTGTCTTAAATAAAAAAACTACTCACTTTTTATTAAATCAGCCACTGATCCAGCACCACAATATTCCATAGCAAGCTAGGGATTAATTTTTGTTTAAAAACAAAATTAAAAAACAAACACTTGTTTCACTAAGAAGAAAAACAAACTTGAACAAGGAAAATCTTTAAAAAAGTTGAAAAACAAAAACATTCTCCTGTTGTTGTACGGTTAGTTAAAAGAAAAAAGATAGGAATAACGTTAAAACAACTGTGGTTTGAATTTGTTATTCACACACCATTGCGCGATGAACAAATTTTATTGCTTCCCTCTGTGCACTCCTCACACCTGTCACCCAATAATATAATATTAATAATGATATGATCAATTATTATTGTCGTTTTAAGATGGAAATAAAAACTAATAATTAGTGTAATGATAATGATAATGATAATGAGCTCTAGTAATCACATTATCACTAGTTTAGATTCGAGTTCAAACATGGTTGCAGTCAGAGATAACTTTTTCCTGAGTATGTTATAATTTCTATATATTTGGGCGAAAAAAGTGTGCATCTAGACATATTGAGTATATATTTCGATAACAATTAAATCGACCATTATTTGTGTTAATACATATGGTTATGGCCCCCAAATTTATCGTTAGGACTAAAGAAAAAACAACTATAGTCGTTTTAATGTCAGCCCTTCCTACAAGCCCTATGGAATAGTTGGATTGCGCCTAATAAAGAAACCTGGGACGAGCGTTTCGTCCTATTTGAGCCGAATCAGCTGATCGGACCTGCATTCCAGTGTTTGTGTTTACATCAGAACAGGTGTAATTTTCATATCATGATTAGAAGGGGTTTGGAATATCCTGTTATTGATTATCTTCACTGAATTTTGACCAGTCTTTGTCAGTACATGTGCATTTTATGTGAGAACCTTTTTCTGTAAGAAAATGTATACACTATTCAGTAGAATTGAGAACTTTACTGACTTAAAAAGTAGTAAATTACTGTTCGCCAAATAAGTTCTTATTCTGCTAAGTGGACAATAGTATTGGTCCTGTTGCTTCTGTGCTTGAGTTAATTTTGGTAGAAGTAGTCTAGTATTATCACTAGCCCTTACGAAAAAAGTGTTACAAAGACGAATATATAAACATGAACCTCATAGATTGAATTTCATCATAGGACATAGTGTTTGGTATCATTCGCTTAACGATGCCTGATTGATTTTCTGAGTTTTCTCTTTAGTAAGCTATATCATCATCATGGATAGCAAAGAATAGATGAAGAATCAGTCATAAATTTGTAACAACACAAAGAACTGGAAAAATATTGTGAAACAGTTTTACCATATTATTCCATTGTCTGTTTGTACTATTCCCTTTATACCCAACAGACATTAACAGACAACCATCGATATATTAATGACAACAATGAAGAGTATGAAGTGTGTGATAAATTGATAAACAGAATTGTTTTCAATATTTATACAAACATTATGGGAGGAGTAGAGAAAAAAACTGGAAATTGTCACAAGCTTTTCATATTCGCTTTATAAACACAAAATATGTCTGTATGAATATGTGTCCACCACTTACCATCATGGTGAGTGGGATGCATCTTCGCATTATTGAATAAATAACACATACGCACGACAATAATCAGAAATATGTGTGTAACGCTAAAGATAGAGAAATTAAAAGGAATGCACTACTTTGTCCAAAGTATACATACAAGTACTATACTAATGAGTCAAGCTATTGATTGATTTGATTGTTTTTGTTCCATTACAAGACAGGTGAATAAAACATGGCAGACATAATTTCTATGTCCACAACGCAAAGATTAGATGGGAAAAGAAGTACGACCTTGTGACTAATGCATTGTTGAGGCTACACATAAAACAATGAATAGCTTGAAAACACTACTAGTCTGATTCGCTTTCGACCAACTATAAACACGAAAATTGATGATCTAGGTGTTACTCATAAGGAACAGGATAAGATATGGTTTGACATGAGTTCTGTGGTCGTACAAGTGATATTCAAGCATATCTTAGAAGTGAAGTCAATGATAAAACTAAGCAAATGGAAAATCAGGCTACTGAATAAATATCACATTTACTTAACCTTTCATAACCTATTGTTATCAAAGATTCCCGACCTAACTTCAGTAAACCGAATGAAAGCGTGTTAAACACAATTGCATTTTAACTCAGTCACTGGTGAATCACACAATAAGTTAATTTTTATCCTAATTATATTGTTTAATCATCTAATCACTTATTTTTACTATGATTACTTATGATCTTACATCCCTGAATTTGTGTAAATAGGTTACGCAGATATTAAGATGTATCAATGTCAACTATATTACTTAAATTTTTTAATGCTTCTTCACAATTTGACTGTCTAATTCGTTTATACCTTGGATTTCAACTCCACTAAATCAAGTATCTGGAACCCAACCATATTTGTTTTAACTGCAGTTGGACGGTAACATTTGACAACGATTGAAATCATTTTATTTTATATATTTCATTACTATTGCTCTGTTTATAATAATATCTAAATCGAAAGATTTGTTTGACTAACTAATTACACCAAAACCATCAACAGAATAATATTTACAATAAAACAAAAGTCATTGTAATAAGAGAAATGAACAAATTCAACATAGTGATAACTTTATTAAAAATTGTTATGATTAGTAAAAAATATCTTACCCAAAGATGATCACGAGGTGAAGATTTTTTAATAAACGCACCATAATAACTAGCAATATTTCGATGATTCGATAACTAAACAAAACAAGAAAATAAGCAACAACAGTGAATACAAAAAGAATCTGACAAATGTTAATGTAAAGAATTTAAGAAAACACATCTTACAAATTGATATGTTGATTTTAGACTAAATAAATACAGTTTAAATAATGCTACATACAATACATTGTTCATTATTTTGGACAATGAATATGAATAATTGAAGTTATTATCATACATAACGTCTAATGGTACAACTTGATTGATTAAATTTCGGTAAATATAAACAATATTGTAATCCGTGATTCATTGAGTGAATAACAGACAGATAAATTAAGTGGATGTACAGGATGAAATAGCAGGATAAACTAGAAAAGTTATATCGACAAAAATGTATCAAAGTACCGTGAGATAACATTTTCCCCAGTCAAAATTAATATTATACGTTGAATGTATACGTATAAGCTAAGAATTATCTGCTTTCACCTTAAATTCAGTGAGTATCGTTGATAACTACATTTTCTATGATAGAGTAACAAAGTACATTATGTATTCCCAAAACCAGAAATAAAAAAATTGGAGATATTTTTTGGTATTACATGACTTTAGAAAATATTCTAGTTGACTCTAGTTATATCCTGAAATATGTAGCGACAAACAATAATAACAAGCACATTAAAAGCACAGAAGATACCTACATCTATTATGGTAGATCCGCGTTAAGCTTAGAAGAATGACTTCAAGTAAAATCTGAATCCTTAACAAAGAATAAGTATATTGACAAACAGTCCATTTTATCTCACTATACAGATATGAAACACGGATCGTGGAAGCAGAACAAAACAACAAATAACAAGTGGTCAGTAATACGTGCCTTCAAAGAACTATTTCAATTTAGTTCCCGAACTATCAAGAAAACAATAACTGTTGAAGAATACAAATCAGTTGATGAGTTTTTAGGCAACCATCAACTAACTCCGCGTATACTTATTAACACATTAACTCGTTAAATGAAGGTTGCAGTGAGAGTAGGATGTTAGACTGGGCTATGACTTTAGTTCATAAATTTTTACCCATTGATCCAAGATACAAGTGAGATAGTATGCTGCCTGACTGACGTCTACAAGGAAGCTGTGATTTATAGTTGAAAAACTTAGACTATAGTTATGGTGCACATTAACCCAACATCTATACTTCCCTAAATCTTAAAAATTTTGCTAATTAATAACCATAGTATATTTTTGCTTGTTTCTTTCGCTGATTTATTTTAAAGTTGGTCCTAGGAACTGTATACCTCTTTCCGACGTGAAATATGATAATTTAAAAGCCCACTTATCCACACCAGGTAAAACTTTACTAAATTCGAATACACTAGAGAGGTTGCATGTGTTATAAGTGAGTATCCCTTATATATCACCGCCGAATGAAACAATAGAGGATATGAAGGATTAAAGTGATTGGAGAAAAATATGATAACACCTTATAAATTCACAATGACTATTAACCTGGATCATGTAGTTAACTGTCGATAGTATATTTATTTATTTAAACACATAAACAGTGGTACAAAGAGGCACCAAATAGATATGCGCCACATAAATCATTCGATTTGTGTGAGGGCTGGGATACTGCCCGGGTGCCCAAACCGAAGTATATAAGAAAGCAGAAACTAATAATATATAACTTTGAATAAAATCGTGGATTTCAATTTATCGTAATGAGACATACATTACCACGTTGATCCCTAACGTCAGACCTATTGTCACATTAAAGAGGACTTGAGAAGTGTTATAACTTGTGGCTTTGTGCCCTATTAATATATAACGCAATGATACCGCCAATTAGAGAACGGTGGTTTATCGACCGGACCAAAGGCTGTGTAAAATAAACAGAATAAAAAGATGTCTTAATATGAAAGAGTATACAAAAAACCATCGATTTCTGCAAAAGTAAACCCTTTCGGTAATAGTTTAAATAAATAATATACGCTGAAGCAACTGATCAACAGACTAAGCTTCTGGTTGCAATTAACTAAAATAGACTCTGGGATTAACAGTGTTTCGTGATATTATCAGTACATATGAAATTAGGAAATAGATTCAAGCGCACCACAATTAGGTAACAGTTGAATAAATGCATCAACCCTAATGAATTAAGCGAATTTCAACTACATACATTCTTAGAACATGAGTCAAAATATGATGGAACGGTTGTCCGATGACCAATAGATATAATAGTTTCCAAAACAACCTCAATCTTATCTAATTTTGTCAGGCCTCAAAACATAATTATTTAATCTACAAATGAGACGAAAGACTAACCTTTTTTAATGTATCAATTTCCAGCTTAATTTCTTCTTCATCCTCTTCAGTAATTGGCATAACCTTGATGGCAGCTAGCTGACCAGTTCGCGTGTATCGTCCCTTGTATACATTGCCATAAGTACCTTTACCAACAACTTCGATGAGTGAAAAGATTCCCGATGGATCACGTAAATCATCCAAATTTGTTATATCTAATCCACTATTGTTGGACATATTGCTATTGGTGATCTTTAATTTTCAAGGTAAAAACAGCGATTAGCTAGACCGGAGTCTCCAAATCACTTGAAGTATGTTTTACTAGGAAAAATACAGAAAATGAAGCACTCATAAGAATATGTATAACATGAGTATGAAGAACGAGTTAGTGATTAGAAAGTTGGATTTTTGTGATCTAATCGATTAATACCTATTGGTATAAACTTTATTTATACAGATCACCTTCAAATATTGATATTTTATTATAGAGGATAGTTCAGAGGATAACTTGCTGCTTAGTTTAGTCAAGCTAACATGTAAGATTTTATAATAAATTGCTTTTTGGTGTGGAAACAAGGTGGGTGCGCTAGACTTAAATTTTGTCACAGGTGTTCAAACTTACAGCAAACATACTAATGTAGATCAATATGTATCGAATCATCTTAGGGACAGAAAGCGAGTTGTTTAAGACCGTCACAATTACTATGAGAAAATAGATGCGACACCAAGTTTTGAGTTTCAGATGTTGTTCATATCTATGTCAGGTAAGAATGGAAGGTTACTTAATAGCCCATCGACTAATATAGTAAAAATACGATAAAACTTGTAGTCATTATCTTGTTTGTCCGAATTGCATAAAAAAGTTAAGACATCCTACACAGAGTTACCAAGAAGATGAAAGTCAGCGATTAGAGACACTAGATGACAGCTTATAACCTGTTACAATGATGCAGATATATTCACTCATTACTCGTTATTCCTTCTCTCTTCACGTTTGGATATCTTTTATCTTGATAATCATTAAGATGCTACGGATTATGGTAACTTGATTTTGTACACTTCCTCAGAGTTCTAGATTATTATGTCTATCTGTTAACTAATTATTTGATTGATGGTACACTACTGTCTACTAGTTTATGATAGTTTATAAACACATGACTAAACATGAGTTGATTAATCCTTTAATGATACGACCAAATAATCACATGTCTGCGCATTTTTCTCATAATAACTGAATTTAATCTGAAATCCTTTATTTCACTTAGGGTCTTTAAAGAGAAAAATTGCAATACTTAATTGATTTTCTTTAATGTGATAAAAAATATGTTAACCATTTTTACAAAACTCATAAATACTTATCTTAACAATAATGTAGGATTGACAGTGCAACTAGTCGACATAATTTCAATAAATGAAACAACTGGGTTAATAAAATGTTGAAAACAGTTATTATAGATTTTGTACAAACTGTATCTAGGTATTTATATAGTAAATCAAACACTAAAACGACAATAAATCGCACTCCATTAAAACCAGACAACCATAAACTAAAACTGAATGAATAGAGTTTGGATATTTTGGAAAACATGTTTACAAAATTGAGAAATTCTAATATATTTGATTTAAAATTCTACACTAACTGGATTGGTAAGAAAGGACTCCCAGTAACAACCATTGACTTCGTAAACTGATGCGATAATAAAAACTTGTTTACTATTACCCATACTTCGGCCAACGACACAGATTGAGGCCAACTAGTCAGCCATATACATTACTTTATCTCAACAATCACACATGCATTAAGTTGTTAACCAATACAAATGATCGACTTTCTCTACCTAAAGCATTTCACAGAACACCAATTATAATAAATGCCCAAAACTACTCCTCAAAACAATGATAAAGATGCTCGAAGAATTAATATATCAGTGACCATATATAGACGTTACCACACGAAAAATTGTAAACAGCACGGTAGTCAGTCACTCAATAACAACGTAGAACTTCGTACGTACGTGCATCAATCCCAGTTGCCATACCACATTAGCACAGAGATGCAATTGTCGATTCAGATCCTGTAGTGGTAGAGGTAGTCAAAGTATAAGCTGTAATCAGAAAAATTAGGGTTTGAAGATGTTAATCAAGGAGTATAATACAGTGAAATAAATTTGGAAAGAGAAAAAAGAAAGGGACATGAAGAATTCAGAAGATTAAAATTTGAGAGAACACAAAGAATGGATGCACCTGCGCCATTGCAAACGATTTTGAGACATGTCATTCAGGGTCTCTAACCATCGGTTGCCATCATCTCGCAGTCCCCAACCAGGTAGTCTACACCTACCAACATGACTCAGTCCACTTGTCAGTGACTTCATGGACTTGTGCCATGTTTTTGGTCTGGCCGCCCCTAGCTTCCTTCCAATCTACTCCTACACCATAAAACATCGCACGTCGAAGCATTCGGTGGTTGAGCATACATAACACGTGTCCCAGCCATCTCAACTGATGAAGTTTCACTACTTCATCAATTGATTTACCATCCTTACCTAGTACCCGTTTCCTAATAACTCCTTTACTTACTCGATGGTCCCAGGATATACGAGCAATGTTTCGAAGACACATATGATCAAATACTAGTAACCTACGAATATCCTCTACTCTTACCGGCCATGTTTCACTGCCATAAAGTAGGACGGAACGAACTGCTGTGTAGTAAACACGTCCTTTGGTTGATAGACGGATATCTCGCCTACGCCATCAATGACGCAAGTTGGCAAAAGCTAGTCGAGCCTTCTGTATTCGTGCTGAGATTTCGTCACACACCAGATCACAAGGGCTGATGAGACGCTCAAGATAAGTGAAGCGATCGACACGCTCAATTACTTCACTCCCTATCATTAGTTCGCGTGTCAATGCAATCCAATCCTGAAGTAACATTTTGCATTTCGAGGGAGAGAATCGCATCCCGAACATGCTTGCATTGTTGATTAGAGTGGCCAGAAGACTGTATTTTGTCAGCCACTTCACCAAATAGAACTGTCATCAGCATATCCCAAGTCAACAAGTGAATCTCTCGGTAGAAATTCAACCCCTGGAAATTTGGATGAGGGAAGTGTTATCTCCAAAAGTACGTCAATGACAAAGTTGAACAAGAATGGAGAGAGTGGACAGCCCTGACGAACACCACTTGAGGTAATCAATTCTGATGACAGTTCACCATAAGCTCTCACTCGTCCATTTGTGTTCGAGTAGAGAGCCTTTATAAAGTTAATGTACTTCTTTGGTACTCCTTCCAATGACAAACGTTGCCGTAGAACCTCACGATTAACAGTGTCAAATGCCGCCCTAAGGTCGTGAAATACTACGATTGTGGGTCCTCTGAATGTGTGTCTATGTTCTAGGACCTGGTCTATACGACCACGTCCAGGTCGAAAACCGGCCTGATTTTCTCTAGTCTGTTCTTCACGAGCTTTGTTTAGGCGTCGAAGTATTATTGAAGCGAATATTTTAGACACTATATTTGTCAAACTGATTCCTCTGTGATTGTCACAAGAGGACTTTTGTCCTTTCTTAAAAACTGGCACAATCAGTGATTGAGACCAGTCAGAAGGGATTACGTCCAGTTCCCAAATTCTACCTAAGACCTCGGTTAATCTCGCTGCTAATACTGAACCACTATCCTTAAAAATATCAGGAGTAAACCTGTCAGGGCCTGCTGCTCTCCCTCGCTTCAGATTTCCTATGGCTTTTTCAAATTCGTAAAGGGACGGAGGACCTACACTAACTTGCCATTCAGGTTGACTGGAGATCGTGGGAAACCGAAGTGTGGCTGAAGGCCAGTTGAACTGATCCCTAAAGTGTTCTGCCCATCAATCCAATCTCCTGGATTGATAATGTAAAACCTCACCTTTTTAAGATTCACTTTGCATAAAGTATTTCAACAAATTTACTTTAGGGAAAAATACATACATACATAGGGCAATAACCGGACACTGAATAGGACAAGAAAATAGTTTATTGACTACCAGTCAATTATTATTCAACTTACGAAGATATTCTGTGATAAAGTAGGGCCTGAGAGTTTATATATATATATATATATATATATATATATATATATATTCAAGTGAAAAGTATTTAGAACTTCAGTACACCTGATGACCCACTACCATAAAACTCATTAACCAACAAGGCAAAATGCGGCTTTCAAACCGAAAAATATAACAATAATCAGGTTCCTGTAATTATTCCCATATGTAGACATAAAAATATATGTGCGATAATCCTTAGTGGTAAACATCAAAAGCAAAACTTGTACGAAAGGGAGGTCACAAAAGTAATACTATGTAATTGTCGAGACTCCTAAGAGGCGAATTAAAAACAAATAACACTACGGACTTAGAGGTGAGGTCAAATGTAAGGCGCCAGGTTAGAAATCCTAGTCAGTTGATAAAGCTGTCAAGTAACATCGACTTAGGTGACCATGATATAGCCTACGTTCTTTAAGGTGGTGAAACTTATGAAACGAGTGTGGGGTCCCAACTCCAAATCAATATTCTCAATCTGTACCAACCTACAAATGTGGATACAAGCGTTTCTTCACGAAGTTGACAAAGACCAAAGTTGAACTGTTAGGGAGAGTCAATCTGGAACGAGCAAGTCAATCAAAGTTCACGGTGCATATATTGGAACAAAATGTCTATCAAACATAAATAATAGTTTTTGATAACAAAAGCATTTTTAGATACGTAACCTTAAGGTTGAGACTAATATTTAGTTATGGCCTCGACTAGTGGAACTATACTTTATGGACGACCCTCAGCGACCTTTTGGCCAACAACGATACGTGATACAAATCAATAATTTATTAAAAACCCAGAAAATTAAAATGTATATACGGTTTGCGCATGATTAATGAATTTGTTAGAGTCCGTAATCAGCTCGTAGGTATGAAAATCAACTTTAGTGTGATACGGAATGTCGTCCATATTACTTGAGTTCATTTTACCTTTAGAACCTTTGTAAGGCTATATGCGGTTCTTTAATCGTAACTGCACTGATTAAGCATTAATATCAACACGTTATTAGGACCGACAAGATAGCGCATACGAACGGTGACCCGATGATTATATCACTTACAATCAATTAATGCTTAATTTTTCTGCACCGGTTAGGTCGTGATGCACGGATCACTATGAGATCTCATAAACACCCTAGATAATTCTCCGAGTAATACCGAGTACCTTCAACCAATAATAAGCGTTTCGGACAAAATCTTGATGAACAGCACATGTTTATTGCAGTTCAACTCACACATTATGTTACATTCACCGTACAGTTTTGCAGTATATATATTTACTAATATTAAATATCTTAAGAACTAAATATCAGCAATTTTAACTGAGCTCTTGATGAAGTACAAACTACTCGTCACAGTGCTCTGAAATTCACGAAAGAAATTCATCATTTTTATCCTCATTGCTCTGTCCATTAAGCACATTCCTACTGCCTTAATCTCAAATGTAACCCTAGGTTTCGTACACTCCAACAGTAAATGATATTCTTAAATCCGCAACACACGCAATGCCGACCCTAGTTATGACCTCAAATTATGAATCCTAGAACCATGATCCTAACTGTAAATCCTAATCCTGAGTTTCTGAATCATTCCTTCATATTTTTACCAGCTGAATGTAGTCAAGAACTACTTAGTGTCCCCAAATGCCCTGATATAGCCGAGAGTGGAGAGTGCCCACCCTCCCTCTCGAAATGCTCTTACACGGCCACGCGTATACAGCCTCTGCCAGGGAAGTCCTACTCACTGCCTTCTCGTGGCGGGGGTTTTCTTTACGAAAATGAGAGGACGAAAAGCGAATGTACGGCGCTTTAACCGGATCCCAAACCAATCTTGCACACGGGCTCCAGTATCCTGCGGGAACAAATGGCCTATGAACCAATCGTTGGTCACCGGCTACCATGGGACTGCATCTCCTTACGATGCTCCACTGCCTTGTGGGTCAGAACTTTAAGTCAAAGGCTCGGGGCGTGGCCCCCTAAGAAAACCACCTGGTTCGGTCTGGGAACCCGGGTAGTATCACAGCCCACACACAAATAAAAGGAAAATGTCGATATTTATGGAAAATACTTGTCTTGCTCCGATTAAAAATCAAACGATTCATATTATTATTATTTATTGCGTCATTTATTCACTCTCTTTTATTACCACTTTATGTATCCTTATTTTTCGACTTATACAGCAGCTCGCCTATGGTGGAAACTCGGTTCTATCTAAACGTTCTCGAGTCACTGACTGATTGAAAATTGTATGCTACCACCAAATACGAATACTGAAACAGTTTTTCTGAAACTACGTGCAACATTCAAACTGGCTGCCTTCAACGTTCGCACACTTATGCAGGTCGGACAACAGATAGGGCTGGCTATGTCTTTGGAAAGTCTTAATATCGACGTTTGTTGTCTATCCGAGACCCGTATTCAAGACTCTGGTGAAGTACTATAAATTCGCTCTCCATCTGTCGTCTCAATAAGCTTGTTTTACGTGCGTTTATCCGGGGACCCTATGGCATATTCGTCTGGTCTTGCTGGCGTTGGTGTCGCACTAAGCGCTAGAGCTGAGGCAGCACTAATCGATCGGATCCCTATTAACAGTCGGTTATGTGCTGTTAAATTAGAAAGTTCTATCAAAGTGAGAAGAAATCGGCGTGAGGAACGATGTCTTTTCGTCATCTCCGCCTATGCCTTGACAGATCCCAGTCCGGATGCAATCAACGATGAATTCTACCACCTGCCTTCGCGAAACGTCCCGCTTATAAGAACTGGGTTTCTTCAAGGCCCCTTACAACTCATCGAAGCCTGTCGATCTCCGGGTTACTGTGAGTTTGACCACAAACGAAGGCTGTTACGTAATGAAACCGGGCAAAGCTTGCGTAAGGACAGAGAAGCCTGGTGATTGGGGTGTGCTAATGAGCTGGAAGCAGCAGTTGCATCTGGTAACCACCGGAAGCTCTTCCAACTCATCCGAGCCACTGGCAGAAAGAAGTCTGGTGTGAGCGAAACAATGTGTGAGGATGACGGGATGCCAATCACTAACATCCATCGACGTCTTGGACGATGAGCAGAATCCTCCGAAGGGCAGTTCAACTGGTCTTCTGCGACGGCATCGGTCACTGTCCTGTCCTCCGTGGCCGGTGAAGACCGATCCACCAAATGAGGTGGAAGCCAGCAAAAACTCCAACTCTTGAAGCGCTACAAATTACCAGGTCCAGATGACTTACCTCCCGCTCTTTTTAAAGATGGTGGTGACTTTCTGGCTAAGAAACTGACTGTGATGTTTACAAAGGTTTGGGAACTAGAGAGTGCACCAACGTCATATAATGAGTCGATAGTTGTCCCTATCTTTAAAAAGGGTTCACGTCGTTCCTGTAACAACTATCGGGGGATAAGTCTACTTCCAATTGCATCCAAGCTATTGACTTCCCCCATTATTACTATTATTATTACACTATCTTACACTAATCTGGTCGTTATCCTTTTTTTCCTTTTACACTCCTTACCTTCCTTTTTTCTCTTCAAATTCTCATTGCTTTGTGCGGCGCATGTATATTTGGTGCCCTCTTGTACCAATATTTGTGTTCAAATAAATAAATAAATAGACTTAGTGTCGCTGAAGCTCATCCTTAAAGTTTAGCTCTATCGAATGCACTAGTGAAACCACCTAAACTTTGTTACCAGATGCTTTGAAAATTCATTTGAATGTGTTTACTAGGAATTTAATTACAGTTATGGTACAAGAATATGTGTATATATCAGCATAACTTAACGAGATAATAAGAAACCTAATTAGATACTGCTTAAGAGCGAATAGCTATATTTACAAAGGTTTGTGTATTTACTGAGTAATAGTAACAGAAACGAGTCCGAAATTCCTAACTTGCTGAAAAAGACCGATTGTATACGAAGTTAACGACATTCTAAGTAAAAATTATTGGTGACTAATACGTGGAACAAAAGCTTGGTTCTGTTACAGTTTATGATGAAAAATTTCAACATCAAAGTCACTTCGAAGTTTTCATAGTTTTCAGCGAAGTAGCGGATGTAAATTACCCTATCGTATTCCATATAAGACTTTGGATGTTTATTACGGTTTATACCGCAATATTAGGTTCACGAATCAAACCTTTACGAATGGTCAGGACGTGGGAGCGAAGCTATTTACCTGGTACTCAAAAGCCAAAGTAGTTAGAAACAATCCATAGAATAAACATTGGGTATCCGCTAAGTATTTACCGTTTCTCGTCCATTCCCCATGACTTGAAAATATTTTAGTGATGTCAACAGAATGAAAAAGATTTTTCGGAATGATTTGTCTCTAGACACAGAACTTATTATCATTATATTACTATGTAAAATCCACCGATTGAGAACGTGGAAACTAGGTTTTTTATGCCTCATAAATTACAAGTACATTATGCAGTTACATAAATAAGTTAAGCGGTACCACAAGAGAACGGAATGATTAGACGAGACGAAAACACTCAGACTCACAAAAGTACGTAAAGACATAAGGATGGCATACATTTAACATTATAATTACTCCTGATCATAGACAGTAAACAACTAATACTTCCAGCAAAGAAAGAAGCGAACACTTTTACACATGGCGCGTAGAAAAGTAATCCGACATCGTACTCGAATAAAGCCAATTCCTGGGATTTTCTTCCAGTATCCACTACCTTTGTGTAGAGCTAATTGAAACTAGCCGAATTCTTAATTTTTGCTACTCAGCCTTGTGGCGAGGTTCCAAGTCCTTGTTATCATTCGATGAGGATAATTGGGCAACTTGGTTAAATTAGTTCCACTGGATCCGACAGTCATTCAAAGGTTAGTACTTCCTAAACACAGATAAGCTCGTTTTCCCCACAAAAACTTAACAGTTACTGTCAGTTGACGCTACGTTGCAAGTTGGCTGTAATACAAAATGTTTCAAAACTGGAATAAAAAGAAGTTGAGAAAGGTACAAGTTCAAGGTATATAAATAACTAAAATGCATAAACAAGATCATAGTTAGAAAGAAGAAGAATATATCAACAAAGAAAATAAAAGGTAGATGTAAGGGGTAAGAAAGGGTATGTAAGGTGTCATGGATAATAATAAACGATGTTGGTGGCGATCTCACTGGATAGATTGAGAAGTTTAATGATTATAAAAATGTCGTATCCGGCTTTTATGTGTACTGTACTGTTAGTTTCTACAGAACTGTCGTACTTCTAAAACTGGTCATGGAAGTGAATGCTGCCAAGGTTACTAGAAGAGCGTTTCAGACACGAAGAACCTGTAGTGATTAAAGCCGACTCCGTGTGAGTATCGATATGGAAAATCGGAAGTAGTTTAGTGAAAAGTTTAATCGATGACAATCAGAAATGGTCCGAAATTCAGGTACATTTCATCGGGTTAATGGGTCTATTTCCCAAGGTATAGTGGTATATATATGCATGGGCATTTGTACACTTCATTCGGCAGTCCAATACACTTCATCGCTAAAGTAGTCAGCTAGTAGGTTAGCGCGCAGCACACCATGTATCAGTATCAGATTTAAGACACTGTACGCCACACTATTATTTGCTCTGTGGTGTATAACTTGTTAAAGACTACCTCAAAGTCAGAAATTCCGGATGTGACGGAATACTGTTTAGCTGAGGTGTCAAAAGTTACTCATTTTATTATGCGTCATGTTTAGAGTCAGCGACAGTAATCAAAGACATTGTCATCACATTTTCTATGGTTTAATCCCGAGTACTGTGCAATACTTTCCATCCAGCCCTGACATAAAATTCATTTTGAACACTTGTGGCATTATGGTGTAATGCGGTACTAGTACATTTATCTTTGTTTCCACGACAATACATCAAATCCCAAAATTGTATATTTGTCTATGTGGACGTCTTGGTATTGTGTTCGGAGTTATACTTCTGATAGGATTAATATGCAGGTTTTTGTGAGACCTGTTCAAATAGAGTTCAATTTTGTAGTTTCTGGTAACTATAGTCTTCTTAGTTACACTACTCATTGTCACTCGTGATAAGAGTTTAACAAGTGGTCTGACACTACTTATTTTATGATCTTAATAAATATCACTACCTTTTTATTATCATTTCATTTAAATACAAATCCATCTAGAAAGAATTTTTATGTCCACTAAGTATATTAAAGAAGTAAATTAACCTGTCCACTAAGGTTGGCGTGGACCAAGATAGAGAGTAACAGAATAGTATGGCCACTTGGGCTATTCCTAAACCAAAGCTAGTGAAGGAATCACTCCAATAAAATTATGAATTACTCCGAAATACTGATCTTGTAAAATATTTGGTAGAAAAAACAGTTTTACAGTGCAGCGTTTTGGCCATTCCATTCCATTCATGTGCCTCATCGTGCAAAACGTGATGCCAATCTAGAAAGAAACAGAGGAAATGTAGATATATCACGGACAGTGTGTAAAAGTATCAAGCTATCCAATAATAATATCGTTACGAGTGCTACAAATGATAAATCCACTGCTTCACTTTATTGGATGTTTGACCTCTGATTTATTTGATGTGCGCACATATAGCCTCGTCTATTACCACAGACATAAACGATTACTACCGACTGGGGATATAAAGGAATTACACATACTTATAACCCAGGAACCTTAAACAATATCTTTGATCAGTGGTAAATGAGCCATCAACCTAGGTTGTATCCTCGAAAAACCTAAACCTCTAAACCACTGCAGATCTTAAACCTACATTGATGGTATTCTAAAAAAGGCATCGAGATAACTGACTTATTCGGAAAGGTTTACGAGTTGCAGTGTGACAACCTAATTTCCAGTACTTAATCAGAACCCAGGGGACCAACACACCAAAATTTATTAGGCTCAACCAAAATATTTTGTTCTATGTAGAGTACAAGGCCTTTTTGAATCACTCGCATTAAATTATTTCAGCACGCAAAATATATGCTTAATTTATTCGGTTTTCATCTAACGAGGAAAACAAATTTTATCGAAGTTACAAAATACTCTGGACGATACAGATTGTACAGCCTGGTACAAGACGAAATACTAAACAAAAGTGTAGTTGGTAAATGGGAGTTTAGCACCTGAGGATTAACATGAGTATTCCCAACAGGATAGGATCTGATATCAAGCTGCAAGGATCATGGTAACAGTGTTCAGCAGGCAGTCAAAGGTCAGCAATGGTTAACAGAATCATTCAGCAACCACGAGTCTGGTCAAACACGACCTTATAATCAACTGCGTAGCGTCATGAGGCAACAAAACTTTATAACGAAGGTCAAAGTATAAGGTTAAAATACAAGACAGGACGGAAGAATAATGAGTGAAAAATGTCACTCAATAAAACACTGAATTATAGAACGAAATAATTACCAGTAAATTTTATACAGTAACTACGGCTCGATCACTCTGTTTCTCACTGCATTCAAACCATTGATCTCTGTCGTAATTTGGATAATATTTAAAACCTGTGAAATCCTTGCTCGGTGAGAGAAGGCTCGTTTACACCCTCATTGTCCATGAATCGATTATATCTCCATGCCGTGCCAAATTTCAAGACACCGTCACATTAATTCCAGGTCAACATCGTTGTGTCACTTTGTCCTAGATGAATTATGGTTTGTAAGTTGGAGACATTCCCTAGAATTTTCTGTTGTAGAAGAGTTTTCCTTCCATTTGAAACCTAGCGCATCCGAGGCAATGATGTTCAGCAACTCTCAGTACTTGTTATCGTTGTTTCTAAAGGATCGCTGATATTCAGTGACAGTACTATTTCAGGGGCGATAGATTTTGGTGGTATGTGTTCCCGAGCTGTGACAAAAATAAATTGTCATTACCATCTAAAAACGCTGACTTTGGTGGCTTGCACACGGATTGAGAGTGACATCTCATTGACTTCCACATCGCGTATTTCTTAGACTAACATTAGTCTCTTGTTACATCGCAAAATCAGAAATTTTCCTCTAGATTCTGTTTGGAACAGTGATTACGGCTGACAGAAAGCCAGTGAAGAGCAAGGCCAAATCATTTAAACATTTAAACTATTCATCAATGCACTTGCATTGGGTGAAAAAATGTCAGAAATAATTTTTGCTCGTTGAGATATCACAAAAAATATATTTGTCATTGGTTTTCTACCCAATGCTCAATTTACTTGAAATTATGTAGTAATAAAATGATTTTGATATGAGAGTAATGAAAGGTTAGTGAAATATCACTAAATTCCACCCAAATAACTAGTCTAGGTGAACTTATAAATGTCATTAAATAACCGTTGAATGTCTAGTGGTTTGCCAAACTTTATTAAGGCCATGGGTGAATAGAATGGATTGACCAATTACTGACATGACCACGGAACGAACGGCAATTTAAGCTCAGCAGTTTCACAGCAACTCTCCATAACCAACTCCACTAACTAAATCCCTACACTGATAACTGAAAAAGGACAATAAAACTGTTTATAGATTATTTAAGATAAAGTAATTAGCATCTCGAAACACCTCATCCTATATTTATAATAACAATATATTCTCGGATAACAATGTTATAGAAATGCGTTGTAACAGCCGTTGATTAATAGCTTAACTTAAAGACAGTATGTGTACTTTGTACTGAGAGATCGAAAAGCAATCAATATTGTAGAAGTGTTGATATTGGTGTTGTCTTTGGTTTAAACTAGAAAGTCATTTAATGTTCATGTCGATATCCTATCCATATGAGTTGATTTACAATTGCATTTTCATCAGTACGTCGACTGAACTAAAAGCATAATGTGCATAGGAAGGATTTCAACTAGTGTTTCCGTTAGTTTGTTTAGTTTAATACGGACTATTTATTTACTGTGAGATCTCGACCTCACTATTGCTTAACTACGATAGGAATTATTTAAACTACTGATGCATATGAATGGTTAGAAAATTCTTTCAATACGTAATAAGTGATAATTATGTGAATGTAGATCGCCAACACCGATTATGTATGTCGGATGACTGGGGGCCTACTCGAGTTAGAAGGGAAAGATGTGACGAACTAACTAGCTTTGAAGTCATACCTCGCAGTAAGCACCAAACGTGGATTACCCCTTCGTCGTATCAAGGTACAATGGCCGCTTTGAAAACCGTGTAACACAAAGGACGCTGCTATAAAAATATATTGACAAAATTAGGTACAAATTGGAGGTTGCGACCATCATGACGATGTAGCAATGATGATCAGAACCAGGATGTGACAATTAATGTTCAGCTTAATATGGCTTCCCTGAAAACGACACACTCATAGTTGTATGTCACTTGAAGCCGCTAAATATATCTTGTACTGAAAACCGTTTGGAGAGTGGTTCATAAGAAATATATACGGCTAGTCTAAGTGAAAAAACGTGTATGTTAAGAAGCACCACTAACATGCTAAGCCATCCAGCAAATTGTTTAAACTCGCCCGCATTACTTTCCGAAATTTAGATTATCCGATAGATATAGCCAATAAAATCGCTGCCTAAACGCATATCACGTCAACCTTTTCTGACATGTCCGTAAAATACCCCTGTTGCATGTGACTTGCCAACTGAAAGATATTATTATCTTATCATATTAGTTTGACTGGGACTCATATTTTTCCGTTG